CCCGAATAGTATCGGTACAACAACAAGTAGAAGGGCTGTAGGTAACTTATTCGGAGAATCTGTTGCAATAGTCCGCTTGGTTTCTGGTGCTTATGGTCCGCGACCAGTGCACTGGAGGAAGATTGCGGCCCTCAAGCTGGTGTCCAGGTCAACTTATCCCAAAAATATCACGGTCGTTCCTACTGAACACTGAGCTGTACCGGTGTTGTTCCAACCAACACTGGGGAATTCACCGCCCTGCAGAACGAAGAAACGCTACATTGTACAATAGTGGACAATCCAAAGCAAATTACATAGGAATGTCTCGACTATGCCACAAGCTCGTATTGATATAAAGCTGGATCAACGACAATTTACAGTATTTTCCCACAATGTCGCTGATGCGCGTCGCGGTCCCAGTTCCCGGAGGAAGTGCGACCTGCGAGATGTGCAAGCCTCAATCTACCCTCACCGGTCATGATACATGCAGTAATTTGGGTTGGACACGGCCACGTCCTGCCATGTAAAGCCGCCGTCCCGAAAGCGAGCAGCCTGAACCGACTGCCTAGTCTACTTAACTTGAACTCCGCAAGCCGAGACGCCATGGTGACTGACGCCATGGTTCCTGCTTCAAAACATACATACAGGCTGTACACCCGAGACGATACCTGTTGTGACACCCATCCCTCGTGTGTGGTGTGCTAATCCTTATCCAAGGATGGCTTTAGTGAGGATCTTGGACCCCAGGATACTCCAGGCATGCGAAGGTCTCGAGTGCTCTGCAATCTGCCTGGTGGTGATGCGTGAAGGGCGGCTGGAATCAGCACCCCGGTTGCCTGCCGCCGCGCGGCAGGGCTCCATGCATGCACTTCATCTTGTCGGAGACCTTTACATTGTTCAGGGCTCAGGGTCCGGGGTTCGAGCGATCGCAGCTGAATTTTTCGATCTAAGCGTCGCAAAATTCACTACGCACACACAGACAGATAATAGGTAGATGGATAAACGAACAGACAAACAAACAGAAATTGAAGGGTCATTGAAAATTGTACACTGTCAACCTTATTCCCAAGAGAACAGAGTGTATACATGTATCCAACATTCGTCATACGTACAGGCCGGCATGCATGTCGTGCATACATACATGCGCAAGCGCGTGTATGCACATGCACATGCATACATACATGGCTGCATACGTACATACAAGATCATACAAGCATGCATGCATGCAGGCAGGCAGACATACGTCAAATACACACACGGACATTGACGGACATTACATACATACATACATACATACATACATACATGCATACATATATCCATACATACATGCATATTAGACGTACGTACAGGTACGTACATACAAACTTACATGCATACATAAATACTCACATACATAAATGAGTATACCTGCATACTTACATATGCGTACCGACCTACCTTTACTCACATATCTACCTACGTATGTAGCGTCAGTACAACCAACACGGCAATGCAACGCAGCGCAATGCAACATGCTGCACTGCACTGCGGTAACATGCAATGCCATGTGATACCATAGGCTATTGTGAAATAGAGTTGTACTCTATTTCACGACAGTGTACCGTCTCGTGTTCTATCGCAGGGCATTGCATGGGCTACGCAGACAGCAAATACGCAACCATGCAGGTACCCATGCAAACTTTCGAGAATCCTAAAACACCTCATATGGGCCCGCAATGGATGAAGGTGGCAGCTCGAAGCTGCTTTAAATGCCTCCGAGCACAAGATCTTGCTGCGCAGTGGCAGCACACGGCAACCGGCCACAGTGGCACCACAGCAGAGCTATGGCAGCAAGTGGGACCAAGATCGGTAGAGCAACCACACGATTCAAGTACACGCGTACAACCCTACAAGGTCCTCATCCTCAGGGTGAAAGTTATAGCTTTTGGTGGTTCTTGGTGTGTAACACTGGGACTAAGAGCAAACTTCCAGCGGCATGCGCAATGCAGTGTGCTTGCATAGACCATGTATCATCAAGAGCCAAAGGCAGCCGAGAATCGCAGTTCCGGCCAAAACCAGAGTTGGCCAACATGCATGAGAAGTGGAAACATGTGAACACCTCTTCAGATTCAGATCATGCGTGCACCCACAGGAAAAAGGGCTGCAAGTAACTCATGCTCAGAATCTGCTGCATGTGTACGCACGTGTATGTATGTGTATGCATGTATGCATGTGTGTATGTCGGTCTGTGTGTATGTAACTGTGCGTATGTGTGTGTATGTATGTATGTATGTATGTATGTATATGTGCATATGTATGCATGTATGTATGTATGTCTGCATGCATGCATGCACGGCGAAGTGAAGCTTGGCTGTAGCTTGTTTTACGAGATGGCACAGCACAGCTCTCAAAGCAAGACAAGAGCCTCTGCCCCATCGATAAGCGGACTGATGCCATGGCTTGGGCATGATCGTTCTCCGCAAGACAATCAGGGGCTAGGCGAAGCCCAACAACTCTCCCCTTCAGGGAAGATGTGGGGTCACGAAAAGGGCGCAGGTGAAAAATGTTGGCTCGACTCACGGACTCGATTTCCGCTCTGTACACTGACAGATGGGCTCGATTTCCACTATATACACGGACATCCATTTTGTGAAGAAGCATTCGCCTAGGGCATGTCCTCCCACACTTGTGAACTTGACGAGCAGAAGGGCTCGGGTGCCACCGATGGTGGGCCGGCGTCACCCAGCGGCAGGAGGGGAGCGGCGGTGCTGGGCTCCTCGGGCCACCGGGTCGTGCGTCTCTCTCTCTCCCTCTCTCTCTCTCTCTCTCTCTCTCTCTCTCTCTCTCTACCGGGCTTGAGGGCACAGCAGCGTCCTGGCTGTGTCCCTCGTGCGCACGCGCACCCCCGCGGTTCGAGGGCGGTTCCTTTGTTCCTTGTGGGGGTTTCCCCCTCCAAGGCTCTGCTTTACAAACTCTCTCTCTCTCTCTCTCTCGCTGTCTCTGTCTCTGTCTCTCCCCTCCCTCTTTCCACCCGCCGGCCTTCGGCGTGACTGCTTGGCCGGCTCTGGCTGCGGTTGCGCCTCCCCTGACAATCACCGTTGCAGCTCGGATCGTCTTGCGATCCAATGCGCAAGCAGACACGGGAAGCTGCGGAGGCTGTGTGGGAGGGGGCTGCAGCCCTGGTGGCTCGTTCGCATCCATGACGGCCTTCACGGCTTGGGGAGCGTGGGCCACACGGGCCTTGACAGTAACCTTCGGAACGACCTTCTCCTTGGCTGGCACTTTCGCCGTCGTGGGCGTCGTGGTGCTAGTCGTGGCATGCACCACATGTGAGGCAGAGCTCACGCATGTCCGAGCGTCAACTGGGCGTACACCAGAAGGGATGGGAACTGCCTCCTCATTGAGCAGTGAGACTGCGGCAACCGACACCTCTGGCGCCCTCGCTGCCTCGATCGATTCCAAAGGAGTCTCGGGTACCGTCGCTTTGGAGACTTCCGAAGCTCCTCCAGCCAATCTCTCACTCAGGTGCTCGCGCTGAGCTGGCTCGGTCACAACATCCGCATCCGGAACCACCTCGATGCTCACCATGACCTCGGGCTGTGTGGGCTCCGGCTGCGCCGGCGGCCGCGGCTGCACTGTTTCTGCTGCTTGCGCAGCAACTCTCAAGTCGGAAACCTCGGAACTCTCGGGCCACACGGTCTCAACCACATCGGTACTCGGAGCGACCTTGTCGGCATCACGACCGGCGCAGAGGTAGAAGATGCTGGCAAAGCCGGAGATGCCGCACACGAGGACGCCGAGGACGGCAAAGACGACTCCGACTCCACTGCCGCTTTGGTCCGATGTCTGCTCGAACGAGGGACGAGAGGTCGAAGCATCTCCCTCTCTTGGGTCTCGCTCCACATGAGCGGTGAAGCTCTGCAGGCCCTGAATCTGGTACAGGGATGCCTCCAGTCCAAGCTCCTCTGTGATGGCTGCGTTCAGGAGCAACAACGCCTCCTCCCTAAAGCCTCAGGCGAAGGCAGCCAAGGCAGTGGCCCACATCAACACTTGACTGAATAGGCCTCACCTCAACCTCCTTCAAGCATCATACCATCCCAGGCATTGGGCTTCTGCACCGCTTCAAGGTATAGCTGTAACATATTGGAAATGCAGCGGCAGTGGATGTGCCGATGGTAGAGTCTGGTAGTGGTAGAGGCTTTTTCACGTTCCCGTCATCACGTCTCAATCACCGTGGAAGCTAGGCAAGGACAACAGGGTGCAACTCTCCCCGCCCAACACCACACTGAACACCTCCAAACCAAAATCATTCAGCACTGCCATCATCCCCCCATCTCCTTTCCCGAACTGAAAAGAGTCCCGCAACCCAAACCTGCTTCAACCAGAGGCAGTCCAGCCCTGAGGACGACAGTGCAGCCTGAGGGCGAGCATCGAGTTGCGCGGATCGGGTGTCCAGCTCCTCGAGCTTCGCCGCGGTCAAGTCATAGTTCGCCCAGAACAGCACCCGCACCACACCGTCCACCCCAAGGCGCCTACTGGAGGAGTTGGAGCCCACGTCCTGCGCAAGACCAACGTGCCCGAGAATTACCCGAAGCCTGCCTGCCTTCAACCCCCCACAAACCCTTACGACCCCACAGCTTGGCTTGGGACCTTTGTGGGACCTTCTGTGATGAAAATCGGGGCGCTCCCTCGGATCTTCGCATCCGAGAAAACTGTCTCAGAAAAGCATGTCCGGCTGCCGAGGCGGCGCGCGTAAGCGTTTACAATGAAGCCCCAAAGAAAACCCTTTTCCCTCTTGCCTGTATGCCCGAAACTCCAGAACCCTGCACCTAAGCAGTTCCGGTCCAAAGCAACGCCGACATCCGCCAGGCCGAAGAGCTGGGAGACCGCTGCCTCCCATGGATGTGATTAGGGTTTAGGGCGCTAGGGGGCCTTGGTGTCTAGAGTTTTCCGTTTTGCGGCTTGGTTTTTGCCACGGCCTAGCTGACTCATAGGGTTTAGAAAATGCTCTTGCCACCTGACCTGACCGTCTAGAGAGTTTAAGTTTAGGGTTTAGCGTTGCACCGTAACGCCAGACTCAACCCCTTGAGCCTCCAAAACCTGCCGATACACCTTGGAACCCATAACACCCCTGACACATCCGGACACCCTACGCCCAAGAGTCGCCCACCTCCAAGTGCTCCAACAAATTCTTACCTCGGGCTCATCTGGAACTTATAAATAGGCATACGCCCAAAACTCGAACAGGAATACAGTTGAAGTCTTGGTTGTCGGATTCTAGCCACCAGTGTTCCTTCGCAACACGTGCCGCGCCGCTTCACTGCCTCTCCACGGCGAGAAGTCCCTGAACACTAAACTTCCTCTACCCCAATAACCCCGAAACCCTACAAACTCTATATCAAATATATGAACCCCAAAGCGAAAACCCCACAACCGGCCTCCACAGCTCGCAGGACCGCCTGGGAAGTCGCGAAGGCCTTAGAACAAGGCAATTGGGAGATGTTGGGGCGGGGGTGGTGGGGCGGTAAAAGGGTCTTGATTTTTATGGTTTAGGGTCAAGGGGGGGGTTTAACTCGAGTTTTGGACTTAGGGCCAAGTTAGCATGAGGGTTTAGCGCTCAGGGCTAGGATTCTGGAGGGTTGTGTGCGAGAGACCTTCACTGATATCTTGGTTGCAGAGGTCGATCTCTGTGAATGCTTCAGAAGCCGAGGGCGATGCGGCAGGGTCGTCCACGACCACCTTGGGGGAGTTCGCAGGACATGAGACCTCTGACTGCATCCCTCAACAATCCGCAATAAGCCCCAGCTTCCACCTCGAAGGAGCCGGAGAACGCCACCGCTTCCGAAGCTGTCGAGGTGGTTCCGGACTGCGCGGTCGTTGTGGACGCCGACCTGTACAGGAGCAGCAGTACGCCGTCTTTGTTTCAGTGTCAATCATTTTTTGTGTCGGATTCCCTGCAAAGCTGGGGCCCAGGCTCAGACACGCTCGGGCCGCTCGGGGTGCGGGTGGTTGTGCTGGAGGCCATTGTCTCCGTGGTCGTGGTCTCCACCTTTTCTGTGGTGGCTGTCTGCGTGGTCCACGTGGCGGTGGTGCGGGTGGTTGTCGAGGTGGTAGAGGTGCTGGTCCTGGCCCCCGAGAAGCGAAGCCTACAAGCCCTAGGCAAGCCCTCGGCCCTAGGCCCTAGGCTCGAGCAGACACCGGCATACACAAGTTCCTGGGCCCGAGCACGTTGGCAGCACCGAGGGCCACCAGACCGTATGCGTCCAGGGCGGAGCAATCGAAGAGGCCCAAGGGCAACTCGGTGCCTCTAACTGCCAAAGAAGCGTTCTTCTCCCCCAAGCCATAGACTTCACAGGCCACAGAGCCAAAACCACCACAGAGCGAGCACGAGAGGTTCTGGATTGTGCCTGAAGACACACTGTACAGATGGAATATGACAGAAACAGAAATAGATGTGCGGATATATGTCCAGAGATGTGCATAAAGTATGGATGTACCTGGTGGACTGTCTTGCACATCCAGCACGGAACCGCCTACGATATCTAAAACAAGCTTACCTCCCCGCGACCATGGAACTGCACCCATGTAGCTGGCATTCTACATTCACTCTTGCGGCTAACGATGGCGAGTGAATCATGCTTGACCTGCTTGTATCAAAAGCTGAAACTTGGCAGTGGTCGTTCCAAAGGCTGCATATTCCACCTGCATCCTGCATGCGAAGACCCATCCCCTGGAACATCCCGCAGGCCTGCACCGGATGCCACAGCAGAGACTGCTACCTGCGTCATGGGTGCCGCACTTGGCTCATAGAAGACCTCTGTGGGGAAGGAAGCGAAGAAGGGGGGATCCGTCGCGTTGAAGGACACTGCCTCGCCAGAAAATCTTGACAAGTTCATCCTACAGGCGGTACACCGTGGAGCATGAGACAGCATGCTCCGCATCATCCACTGCCTTTCCACTCGCTGCAGCTCGGCTTCTCGCCGCCGCTGTACAAACAAGCCGTCTCATGCCGTACTACTGCAGTACCCATCAGATGCTTTTCGTTCACAACAATTTTGCAAGAATTAGGTCTACCCTGCATGTCAGCTGCGCAGGCTTCATGGGGGAGGGCTTGAGGGACAGGCCAAGCTGCCTGCTTTTTCGACCCTCTTCATTGGCCACTTTTTTGGTGCACCCTCACGTCGCACGGCTTTGTTGTCATGCTGTGCAGGTGGTCCCAGCCGAGCTCACGCAGCCACGGCCAGAACGCATGAAACTGCAAACGTCCCCCCCCAAGCCATCTACTAATCTAGTATTATTAAGTTCATTTGCAAGTATTCATTGTGTCATAGCATTCGTGGGTTTCATTGTCAATGCATCTCTAGTCACCTGCATGTGAGCTGCCGACACCTCTACTAAGTACAAGCACTGAGCCAGGCACAACGCGACTCTACCAAGGGTTCAATACTACCCATTGCGCACTCTGTACTGCAAGCTCCAAACTCTAAACACTACGGAACCTGGCCTGGCTCTGCGTTTCGACCACCGCCTGGCCATCCGCAAGAGACGCCAGTGCGAGCTCCTCGCCGACCGCCGCATAGTCGAAGCAGCAGGAAAGGTCACCATCACCTCTTTGACTTCGGCACCCCCTTTTTACCCGATCCCGCCTTCCTAATTGTGCAAACTCCACCAAACTCCCAACCCCCAAATGTCTTTTCAACTCCGTCTCGTCGCAGAGCGCTGGGCAGGAGTCGAGGTCCGAAGAAAGGAGGGGCGAGAAGAGGCGGTTGCAAGAGTGGAAGTGGTCGACAGGGAAGAGGGACAACTCCAGGTTCTCGATGCACCAAGAGAGGACGTGCCTCTGATAGATGTCCTTCGGGAGAGTTCAGCAACAGTTTGGACAGTTTGGGGTTTACAGTGTGTGGTTTGAGAAGATGTTTAAAAGTTTGAGCTTGCCAATTTCCACTCTTCGGTGTCCTCCACAGCGGAATTGGACGGAAGGAGCTCGCTGGAGTTGAATGGTTGGAGGTCATCCGTTGGGTCGCCGTTGTTATTTCCCAGGAGCCCTTCAGTCTTATTGAAGCACTCCTCCGACCCGGCATTGCTCAACATAGCTGAGACACGAACTACAGCGCTCGTTTTGAACCATCCTACTGCACTACTGCATCCGGATTCTGGAGGCTACAGGCTCATGCCACTGAAGCTCCTCGGATGCCGTGATCTGAAGGAAGATGTGTGTAGAATGGAATACAGCCAGGACCTGACGCTGAAGATTGCAAGTTCTGCCACATTCTGCTGAAAGTTTCGCCATGAGCCGCGTTGCTTCGTGGCCGGCGGCCGTTTGCAAGGAGAGCATGTCGTCGTCCAGCTCAGCGGTGATGTTCTCGCTCACCAGCTCATTGAGCACACCGTTCAGGTATGCCTCGCAACGAGTGCCAAGATGTGCCAAGCAAGGAAGTACTAAGTAATGACCGTACTGATAGAACGAGGAAGCATGAGACTACGACATTCACTGCGAACACACACGTAGAGATGCACTGCCAACTGCAACATGCCACGGCTTCACAGATTGAGCCCGGCGGCGTCAAATAGAGAGTCGGAAGAGCTGTTGTCATCGTTGAGAATGGCGTAGGCAACATCATCCCCCTCCTGGAGTTCAGCTTGCCAACATGTGACAGCAAACAAGCTCCTCTGAGCCGCAGTGCTTCAAGGGATTTAGCATGCAGGCTGTGAAGGCTGCAAAGCGATAGAAGGCCAAGCGTGTAATCTCTCGAACCCTCTGGAAATGATGAGCTGTCAGGGCCTGCTTGCCTCATCAGCTGTTGCTGGTTTAAGGCAGAGCGCCTTTTATTCGCAACTAGAGACTCAGCAAGTGCAGCCATGCGGCCTGGACTGCCACTCCCTTGATTACAGTCGCCTGGGTGCCGTTGGCTTGCTCTGTAAAGACGTGCACGGCAAAGACGCCGCAGCGCGTCCAAACTGCCTCTCCAAGGAAGTTGCACTCGAAAGTGAGGCCGTCATAGGTCATGCAGTGGGGGTCACCCCAACCCCCTCCGGGCGGCCTCGGAGAATTCAGGAAGCTTCGAGATACTATGGGATTTGTACATGCTTCGGCTTCGGGTATCTGGAGCCAGGTCACTAGGAAAAGCTCAGGGGCCTGATATGGCCTGATGCTAAAGCCAAATGGGGCACATTCAAAAGAATTAGGGTCAGGGCTTGGGGCTTGAAAGGGTTTTTTGGTGTCAGCCAATGCAGAAGCTCCGCTCCTTGCCTTTTGCGTAAAGTAGGGAGGAAATCAAACCCAAATCAACAATTAAACCTCCCCAGGCCCCGTGCCGCATGTGTCGCGCCTTGGCCGGGTCCACTCAGTATTCTCGAAGACCTCGTTGCTGGCCCCGGGCACCGGGCGGATCGGAAGGGCCGGGACGTCATACAAGGCTGCCTCGCAGTTCAGGAGACCACCCACGCCTTTCAGGTCCTCGGGAGATCAGGGGACTGTTTTCGATCGTTCAAGTCTTCAGGTATTCGGGGGGCCTCGAAGCGTTCCGGTTAGAGTAGTAAGGGGGTCACAGAGCTTCTGGGCTTGGGGTCCTTCCGAAGTATAACGCTCACTGAAGGCCACGCGGTCGAGGAGAGCTGGTAGACGATGGCATCCCTGGTGGTATCAGCATCCACTCTCGCCTCACGTTGGAGCGACACCACGGGCTCTGCATTGGAGCTCAAGACTTGGGTACGCGTGGAGTTGAGAAGCCACAAATGCAAGCCACTCGGCGTCAACCTTTCCGCCCCTGGCACTGTAAATGAACACGTGGAGCCAGGCACGTTGGTGACCTTGAGGTCCTGGAGGCTGAAGAGCTTGGTGCTCAAGTTCACAGAAGGCGAGAGCTCCAATGCTTGGGCACAAAGGTGCTGAAATGAAACGAAGAGCCCCCCAACCTCCTCCTGAGTCAGAGAATGTCAGAGACAGAACAGGTGCAAACAGCTCGTTCGTGGGACGTAGACTTGGGTCTTCTGCACACATCTACATGCCATGACACGTCACAGGTGCCCATCAGGCGACCTGTGCTGACGGAGCAGCACCGATTTTGTCGTCTTTTGTCAAGTGTGGTCGCAGTTGCATCGCGTCTGCTTTTGAGATTTTGCTCCGTCCGATGGCGCTACCTCGAGCTGGGGCTTCAGCCCTTAACCTTGCAGTTTCGCTGGCTTGGTTTGAGCATCCTGAGCTTTGCCAGTCCAGGTTCCTGTGGGACCTGGGCCCCAGGCTTCACTTAGGCAGGCGTGAAATGATAAAGAGATTCAAGTCAGAAATGTCAAAGAAGCGTAGAGGTGGCAGTCCTGGCAGAGGTAGCGGAGCTCCAGATTTCCCTGGTCGGAGTCTAGCTCAAGCACGGAGAGCACCTCAGAACTTCCCGAGTTTTCCTCGTCCTCGACGAGGGCCTCCAGCTTGAGCTTGGGACTGAAGGCTGCCTCGAAGCCGAAGCCACTGAGGAGCACCTCATAGCCGAAGCCAACACTGACGTTGGCGGAAGCCGCGCCACGTGCTAAGACCGTCGGCTGCACACCTGGCAAGCTCTCTACCCACAATGAGATCAGTCTTTGAGCCACTACGATCGCTTAATCGTTCAGTCAACCATCAACATTCCGCTCGGGGACTTTTGGCCAGTGTGCAGCAGTTGGCGTGCACAAAGACGAGACACAAACCAGTGCAGAGAGCAAGAGCGGGCTCCGCTTCGAGCTTCTCCCCCCTCTGCTCTCCCCCACCAAAAAGGCTCTCCCTCCCCATCTCGGATCGGTTGCGACCACTTCAGCTGCATGCAGCACGACGTTGTGCACTTTGGTGCCAGATCATGAAAAGATTCAGAATTCAGGGTATATGGAGCAGAAAAAATCAACTCAAGCCTCGAACCGTAAGGTGCGCCTCCGTCCTGGCCTTGGGCACTCTCGTCCAAGCTCCAAGTGCCGTTGGAGTGTCCTGTGACGTGGAGGGAGCGCGTGAAAGTTGCCGTGAGGTGCGCGCCCAGCTGAGCAGAGGCTGTTGCACTCGCATTCAGCATGAGACGTGGCATCAGCTTCAAGAACACTGCCGGAAGGAGCTTGAAGGAATGGGTGGACGACGCAGACATGGACTGGTTCCGGGTCGTGGTTCCTGAAGGCCGCCGGATCAAGATGCGGTCGTTGTGGGAGGTCTTGTACTCCGTGACGTTGTCGATCGTCCGAGTGGCGTAGACCCGGCCGCTGCCCCAAGAGCACTCACAGGAGGTGTAAAGGGGAGTGCAGCTGCAGTGCTCGCGGGTGGTGCTGCTGTGCACGATGCGGTGCGCGCCCCACGGGTGTCCCTCCGCCACAGCCCGCACATCCTCCTCCCACGGAGCGATCTCCCAGCCATCCGGCAGAGGCAGCCAGTAATCCTGGTATCCTGCAGAAGTGCTGTCTGGGAAGGTGCCGTCCAAGGTCCGGTACTCGTAGCCCTCGTACACAATGCACTGCCCTGGGGCGGCGCACAGGTCTGGGGCACTCGTCGTCGTCATGAGAAAGTCTAGAAGGCCACCGAAGCCAAAACCACCGGGAGCAGAGGACTCCTCGGGTTCGAGGAGTGACTGGCAGGCTGTGGACAGCTTCAGGTCGGTCGCCACCTGTACAGACTTCGAGTATGCCATCCTATGCCCTCCTGTCTGTGCCCCTGCTGCCCTGCTATCTTATGCCCACCTGTACTTCCGAGAAGTCTGGCGCAAGGGTCAGCTGCAGAGCCAGCTGAGCTTCCGGATGCAGCTGGCAAGAGATGTTCACCTCCGGCGAGTTCCCCTAAATAATAATCATAAGCCTAAGCTTTCAGCTGAGGCCCCCCCCAAGACAGAGACGAGCCTCCACTCCGCATCCCCCCCCACCCTGAACCCTAAACCTACGGTCGGCCCGCAGCGTTGGCCCACGCATTTCGTCGCGTCGCTGTAGGCTCCGTATTGGAATTTACAAGACTTCTCGCAGACCTGGTGCCGAACACCTCGACGTTGGCGACGTTTCCGGCACATGCGACATCATGCGACCACACCCGCGGCGCGCATCTGGGACTTGACCAGATAGCATAGCTGCCGCTGTGGGGCTGTGTCAGAACCATTACTGCGACGCTGTGTCACGCAGGGATCTGTGCAGGCAGGTTTCCTTTTTGAAGCCTGAGGCAGACTGAACACAGGAGAATAGAACCAGCACGTTTGCTGGCGTTGCTACGAGTATCTATCATTTTCTGCATAGATTTCACGGAGCTGTGCAGTTCCGTGACTTTTGCTCGGAATTCGAACCCTTCTTTAACTGCACCCTGCCATGCCCGGCCAACGTTGCCAGCACGCATGTGCGGGACCCTAAACCAAGGATTTCCACGGGCGGGTGGGGACTTTGACCGAAGCGCGTGTTGATATTATGGAGATGAGCTACCCTGTGATGAAGACTCACGCAGCCTTGTAAAACTCGCCCCTAAACACTGTAACCTATAAGCCCTGCAAGCGCTAGAAGCCCGATAAGCACCACAAACCTAAACAAATTTGTATCAGTGTCAGTCCTATGAGCTACATACATCTAGAAAGCCTGTAAGCTGGACCCAGCTGGTGGCAAAACAGGCAAACAGCAACACCGTCAAACTTGAGAAACCCTCAGTTATCTAACGGTCTTGGGAAGATCTCAGCGGACTCCAGCCTCTTGGGGTCTCAGCTCTTGCACGTCGGAAGCTCTGACCCATGCATTCAAGTGGAGGCGCTGGTAGACCTGGCCAGATCAACTTGGGTCTTGGGAAATTTTGCCACCCGCTTAGCTGACTGTCATCGCACTGCCGGGATGAAGATGACATGGTAGGCCTAAGGACACGTTCTAGAAATGTGTCCCGGACCCCGCGTTCACAGATGTTCACAGTGTCCCTCAGTGACCGGCCACAACAACTCCTAACAATCATAAAACAAACCTTGACTTAGCATGCACAATTTACAACTCAAGTTTCAGTGGACATCAGTTTACAGACTTCAATTCAACACAATCAAAGCTAACACACCACTGTAGGAACGAACCTGCTTCTGTCCTCGTGATTTGCACACCGAGAGGAGAATACAACCAACGGGATTGAAGATCTTGGGTTTACCATGCAGGGTTTACGCGGACCTCAGGGGGGGTGGGGGGTTTTCTGTTTTGAAGAAGTTACACCCTCCACTGGAGTAATAACTAGATGGAACTATGTAGCCAAACATACGAGACAGCAAAGACTTTGTTTCTTCGTTGAGCTGTAGCGCGCTAAAAGTCCCAGGGTTGAGCATGTGCAGAACAACACTTGAAGGGCCGTCCACTGCTCTTCAGGTTTATAGGGTTTGGGCTTATAGGGCTAATATGGGCTTATTATGGGGTTTATTGCAGGTTTTATAGGATTTACCAAACCCGACAGGCCATCCAGACCCCCAACCCCCCACCCATGAACTTTTGGAAGAGGCAGGGCAATGAACTTGAATGAGTCCTACGCAAGCCTTAGACTCTAAACGGCTAGCTGAGCAGGCGAAGGGCGGAGCCTCATGGAGCTCGGCCGGACGACCTGCGACCTCCAGCCGCGTGTCCAATTCATCGACGGCCTGAAGCAAGCGTTGAGCTTGTTCGATGCTTGCCGAAACCAAAGGGCTGTTAGAAGTTTCGGGTCCAGGGTGCAGGTTGGGGGCTTCGGCGGATGATACGTTCCGGTGGTAAGCTGATGCGTGAGTAACAGAGCAAGACCTCAGGTTTTGATCGAGAGTGGGGAAGAACCCCAGAAAGCAGAAGCCCGAGAGTTTGGGCGGAGGTCAGAGGCCTCCAGCAAGATCAGGAACGGCTCCCCAGCATTGCTCCTGAGAAAGAGCAAAGATAGCAGTAGCAAGGCATTTCTGCTTGTGCATACTGCTACCAGAGCTGCTCTAAACTCTACTGTCGAGCTAAAACCCTCCCTGGTCCTGCCACTCAGATAGTCGCCAGGCCCCAGGTTTGGCAAGGACCGATTCTGGGACACCTTCCGAAGGCCAATCTTGGGGAACGGTGAATTCGCGCTTGGTGGTTGCCACCCACCTAGCTATCCGCACTTATGGGCCAATTCAAGACCTGGTTCAATCATCATGCGTAGTCAAATGGAGTGGGTGCCCCTGCCCGCCCAGTCGCACCAGGAAAGACAAGGGTTGGGGTTTGGGGTTTAGTTTTTCTCTCCCGCCTATAGCTGGGCTGGGTACCAACTACCTGACGTATCCGCACTCCGATTTCAGAGGCCAGATCGTTCCAAAACTTACATCACCCCTAGATGACGGACTGGGAATGCACTCCCAAGGCCCAAAACTCCCACCGGTACACACCCGAATGGACCTAGCTGCCAGCCCTTGGGTTTAAGGATTTTTTCTTGAAGGGGAGGGTTTAGGAAAGGGGGAAGGGGCGGGCGTTCTTGCGGCCTGTGTGCTTGAGGTAGGCTAGATGTTGACGCCCTTGTGGAGTTCGAGCTGAGCTGGTTTAGAGTTGGCACCTTCTTGGCTGTACGAGTTCTTCATAGGAACTGGGAATTGTAGAACCGCAAGTGGTTCTAGAAGGTCTGAACGTCTGAGACTAGAGGGCTTGGGCCCCCAAGCTATGAACTCCCCAGCCGCCTCCTTAAACACATTATTCAAAACCACCTTGAACACCTGTGAAGAACAAACCTAAACCACCTGAAAGCCTGAAAGCCTAAATCCAGTTTTTGTTGGGAAGTGCGCACCAGAGTCACGATGGAGTGGGAGTCGTTTGTGGCCAGCGCCACCTCCAAGCCCTCGCGCGGATCCACCTCCAGGAAGAGCTCGGGTGTAGGGTTTGGGGTTTGGGAGTTTGGCGGCTAAGGCTTGTGTAGAAGGTTTGGCGTTTAGGTGTTCAGAATGGTTCAGAGAGGGCTCAGGGCAGAGCTTAGGGGCATTTTTCCCGCCTGCCTAGCTGGGCTGACCACTCTGCAGGGGTTCATTGGGTCCTACTACCAGCGATCCCCTTGAGAGACCTGAAAACCTACCCGTGTCCCGATCACTGCCAAGGGATGTGTCTGACCTAGACCGCAGCCCCGACCAGCTGAACCCATACATGGCTCGACACATCCCGACTAAGGGGTGCGGTTGTGGAGGATTCACGCAGTTTTGGATGGGTTGGGACATGTTGGGACCAGATTTTGTCACTGTCAAAACTATGCGAGTATGGGGGTTGGCTGCGCCTCCGCCAAAGAGATGTTGGATAGCACGGGGTCCGCAGGAGCCATGACGATCTTTGCCACTTCGCCGTTCTGGGACATGCAACCGCCCGGAAGGAAGGCGACGGCCCTGAGGAAGAGTGGGTCCTCCGTAGCCGTCTCCTGGAGGTCGACACTTGTCACATCATCGAAGATTAGTAGAGTGGCATTGGAGCGGTTTTGCAGCAAGTCTTCCGGCCGGATCTCAAGGGCACTTGGGTCTTTGCTGTAGAGCAAGGCATACCTCACCGAGTGGTTCGACTTCTCCACTGGATCCCAGAACACCTCGAGATGCCCGAAGCGCGAGGAGACCACCCGGGAGATGCCCTCAAAGGCCGTCAAGGGGCAGATATTGATGCTCCTTTCTTGGCTCACGGGAGTGGCCCTGCTCTCGAGTATCTCGGGGTCCCGGTGCCGAAGGTCTTCGGCATCCCGCTCCTGCGCCCACTTCCACGGGTCTCCACCGCCCAGGACCTCGCAAAGAAAAGACCCTCTCAGCCTAAAGCCCTGCCCTCTATGCAAGGTTTCACGCATGTTCGCGGTTCAAAGCCAGGGACCATGGAGGGCCAGGCTTGGATGAAGCGGTTGAAGTCGTAGCAGCACTGCACACCGAAAGACGAGCTGGATCGCGGGGGCGCCCGGAAGCAGGCGGGGTTGCGAGTCTGCCACCTGAGCTATGACAGTAACGAAAGCATCCCTCCTGCTTGCGCTACTCCACCGGCATATGTTGCCACTTGCTGGCCACTCCTCACGCAGAACAATGTATGCTGTGACACTTCCTGGGGCCATCTCAAGCCTCTCATAGCGTCCCATACCCTTACACTGATATCTAGATGATTGACCCGCATTTACATTGCATCGACCCGCATCCCCCCAGCGAAGGCCTCGGATTCAAGCCAACTCCCTGCATCTGCCTCGGAAGGTTGCCTGCAGGGCTGGGAAATCATGAAGTATAGCTTTATGGCTGCGATGCTTTCCAGGAGTCCATCTGAACTAGCGGTTGCTATGTGATGTGAGCTTTCCTGTTTTAAGCTGCTGGTACAAACTGGGACCATATAGGGTGCAGCGCAGCGTCCCCCGCCTGCAGTGTTGGCTGTTCGAGGCAGCCAAAGGAACGGACAGGGCCGCCGTGTGTGCAGGTCTTCGGCGGCCGCGCGTGCAGCCTCCATCTCGGCCACGTCCGAGTACCATGCGCGCAAAACCTGCACTCCAACATCGTTGCTTGGGCTATCTATGGCTCAGGAAGGTTACCAAAACCACGCCTCTTTGCGAGCCGTCTTGTGAGACAAGATGTCCGACTTCACTGGAAGAGGGCTGAAGTACTCGTCGTTTTCCGGGGAAAGCTCCACGTTCTCCTGCAGCCTGTACAGGCAGGGCATGCCCTGCGATTGAATCTGCATCTCGGACAATATGCCCAAGTTGTAGGAGGCATCCGATCTCCATAGGCCTGCGCCAGCATAGATGGTGACGAAGCCGAAGGAAGAAGACAAGGTCGAGGTCGAAGTATTGGACACATTTGTCGCATTGAAGGCCGGCAGAATCAAGACATCGCCCCGAAGGGCGCTCTTTTCAATCTCTGCCCAATCGGTTTCGATCATCCTGAAGCCCAGTCGAATGAGATGGGGCCCTGCATCTTTGGCATCCGAGCTCCAAGCCCAGAAACACCTACCGAAGGCATCGGGCACGTCTTGGTCTTCGCACACCTTCCGGTCGCCTTGGGCAGTGTGGAGCCCGGCCTCATTGAGAGCTTCTCGCACCGCCCGCATCGCACTGGTGGAATTCAGGCCCGCGGCAGCATCTGCGGCCGACATCTCGAAGGTCTCGACGCGGTGCATCCAATTCCACGTAACCTCCTGAATGGCCTCAACGGCTCCGGTGCTGCTGGTGCTGGTGCTGGCGCTGGTCTGCGCATTGAGGCTAAAGGCCGGCTCGGCCACCAGGTCACTCCGCCCGTCTGCCAGCTGCAGCTGGGGTGGTCGATAGCAGCGCCAGGCAAAGACGGCGACCGTTTCTGGGAAGGGCTTCGGATGGTTTAGGCTACTGGGAAGGCGCTGGAATCTTCGCCACCAGTACCACCGGTTTCGAGTCGAGTGGCACTCCGGGGCTCCAATTCGGCCCAAAACCTGACGCTTGCTCCCCAAAGCCACCAAGTCGCAGCAGAAGGTGCCAGCTGTGTCCAGTCGGTAGCGGAAGCTGACCCAAGAGTTCCATCGCACAAAGCCGTAGGAGTCCTAGGAGTTCCACGGTTAAAGTCTGTAGGGTTGACGGAGTTTGGAGTCCAGGGCGATTTGAGGTTTAGGGTGCGAGTGGGCAAAGAGACCCAGAAGGCATGTAACCCAGCATTGCGAAGCATTTTGAACTGCACTGTTTAGCTAGGAGTCCAAGTTATTGGAGCGTCGGCTGGCGTCCAAGACATTTCGTCGCCAGGACGCGAAAAGCCAGGCCTAAGTGAAGCTCCACTTTAACAGGGAGCTTGTGGAGTTAAAGGCTTAGAGCCTTGAGCATTTGACCATGTCCACGGATTGAGAACAACAACTTCAAGTACTCTACCTGGCATTCGCAAGTTTGACTTTACAGAGGAGGCAGAGAGAGAGAGAGAGAGAGAGAGACAGAGAGAGGGGGAGAGAGAGAGAGAGACACAGAAAGAGAGAGAGAGAGAGAGAGCAAGCGAGTGAGGGATGGAAGGAGGGATGGGAGGGGAGGGAGAAAGAGAAAGAGTTAGAGTTGAACTAGCAAAACCTGGGTTGTTGGGGAGGGGTTGCATATAGACACATGGATGGACGGCTGAATGGATGGATGGATTGACGGATAGACGGAGAGATGGGGTCATGTGTGGAAGAATCTTGCTGCAGGCTATGCTGATTTCTTAAACAAATAAGGGCTGCCGGCTTCGCAGCGGAAAGTTTGCCATGAATGCTGGGCTTTGCAGCCCACAAGTTTAACACTTTCGGGCAAAACGCGGAATCTTCGAAACCCTCTCAGGAGTCTGCTTCCGCTGCCACACTTGTACCATTGCGCAGGAGGATGCTGACGGCATGGTAACCTTCAAGTAGTAGCGGAGTGTAGCAGTCCACATCGCCATCACCAGTCAGGGTCACAAAAGAGGAACACTGATTGTCAAAGCAGCAGGACTGCACTGGCTCTCCGCCCCTGCCCGCACAAAGGCCGGTGAAAGTGAGCCGCCGGCGCTGCAGCGCGGGGACCCGGCTTGGGAGGAACTGAGGAACTCGGCTTTGGCAGGCATTGTCGGCGTCGACTTCATCCCACCATGACTTGGACCAGCTCTGCAGCAGTTTGCAGGCACGGGCAAGGTAGCCATCCGTCCAATCGGAGGGATGGAGGGAGGTCAAAAAGCTGGGCTCCGGGGCCTCCAGATTGCCTATGTGCAGCAGGCGCTGGCCTCGTACGTGCGGCAGGAGCCCCAGCAGTTCCTCCTGGCGGAGTGCAGAAACCTTCGACGGCATTCTTGTCTGCTAGTTACTTGCTCTTGTGCTTGAAGGCTTCTGGCATTCTGGAAGCATAAAATTCCCATCTGCCCCTCTCCTCCGAGCCGCACAGCTTGCCCGCAAGCACCTTGGCCCAGGCAGGTGTGCCTCCGCTCTAAACTCCTGTCGCACCAGCCTCTGCGTGCTCTCCGCTGGGGTAGCGAAAGCACCGTTTCAACTGGAAGAAACTGCAGGTAGGTTCGATTGCTGAAACAGCACCGTCCTGTTCCAGGAAAAGAACCTCCAAGCCCCAGAAGACTTGTTCGGAAAAGAGGCTGGGTTGGGGGATCGTGCGTTGTCTGGCTTGCGCCAATGATGGTCAGTGCAGGCTACCAGGAACTCATGCAGTTTTGCTGTTGATGCTGCATCCTTGCTTGTCAATATTGCTGACGACACGTATTTCTCACCAAAAGGTGAGCCGCATGAGCATGGCGTGCAGCCCTCACTGGCTACAGCCTTGCAGCGGGCTTGCCGCGTCTCGACTTTCCACAGCCTACACCTGAAACCAACACAGACCCTAACTACCCAAAACCGCCAGAATATGCCGTGCTTGGCCCCCGGCCAGAAGTTGGACGCTCGTCACGGACGAGACCCAGCCCAACTCGTCGTAGGATCTGCAGTCTGAACTCCAGACGCCGGGCTCCCGAAGCTGCTGGTTGAAGAAAACCTGGTAACAGTCCCGAAAATGTATGGTGGGGGCAGGGGCGGGGGCGCGGCGGGGAGCAGGTTCTGACAGATGGGAATTATCGGAATTAGATTAGATCAGAGGAAAAGAGCCCCACCTGCACACCACTCAGAGAGGACCTGTGCAGGGGAGCCTCGAAGGTGTTATTCCAATGGTCACGGAGAAGGAAGGTGACATTTCCGGAGCTGAAGCTCGCACACAAGAGCTCAAGGAGGGCGAGTACCCCCGCTGTGGCAGCCGAGTCCCAGTGGAACATGTGGATCGCAACAAGTGGGCTTTCGTGGCTCTGCGGGAAACTCAGTGCAGTGCATTCGATGCTGGGTGCACAGGTCACAGACCCGATGGGCTGCCCGTTCCCGGTGATGTACAGCTGGGACCACGACGACCACGACCACTTGCCACAGGAATCGATCTCCAGCTCTACTTCTCCTCTGTCATCCTGCACTTGGATCCGGGCATCCCACCAGCCGCTCATCCAGTAGCTGATGTGGATGTCGCGCACGCAACTCGCGTAAGCAGAAGGCCTGTCTGGGGCACATGCGATCACATGAATGTGAGTAGCTAAGACGACACTTGAGACGATGAGATGCGCTGCAGGTCAACACAAGTCCTCTTGTGATCCGGGGGTCAAGGACATGAGCCGAGAGTGCCCCTTCTCTTGTTTTAGCATCTGCTTGTGCTGCGCACTGTTCGGCTGTTTGAGGTGATCTCGTACCATCTGGGAACTGGGAGTTTCACTTATCAGGTAGCTAATTTCGATACCTGCAGATATCTATATATATATATATATATATACATACTATACTATACATCTTCTCGCGTTTTCATTCCGGCACTCCGCGGGGGAACTTCCTTCGACGTGCCGTGTGAAAGTTTGAAAGGCCTAAAAGGAGAAGCAGAGAAGCGGATTCGACACCACGCCTGGCCCAGGTGAGGTTCGAGTGGTGCAGCGCGACGAGCTCGGCTTTCGCCGAGGAGAAGCAGTTTTCGCAGGAGCCGTTGATGTAGGTCTTCAGCGAGGAGGCCTGGCACTCGTTGCACCTAAGTCCTGCATAGGGCCACCAGCAATCACAGTAGCACGTGGCATTGGTGAGCCTCGAGGGCAAGGAGATGGCCAAGCTCGAGGAAATGTGCCTACTCCAACCATGGCCGCTGCACATCTCACTGGTGCAACAGCTTGCTTCAAGTTGGTAGCTGCCTTCTGCCCGCCAGAACCCATCCACAACCACATCGTAGCAGCCTGAACTGTTCGAATTGCCTGAATTGCGGTGGCTCCGCGGAGGTATCCAAACCTTCATCACAGACTGCAGGCCGCATCTACCACAGTCATCGCAGGATCGGGACACGCCAGGTCCCTGCACGTGGAGCCTGAAAAGTGGTGTCGGGAGAAAAGAGAAAAGAGCAACTGAATCCGAAAAAAACATTTCTCCTGTGTACACTGTCGTTATCAATTTCTTTAAACAATTTCTGACATAATCTCCGTTTGGCCTTCGATGGCCGTAGAGTCTGACGTAATGCGGTTTAAAGTTTAGGGAAGCGATTTTCGTCTAATCTAGCGATGTGAAATCGTGGCGGTAGCAACATGTAGCAACAGCTGCTGTAGCTTCCCAAGCAACCAAGTATCAAAGGATGAGTCGCAGGTGCTGAACTGTACTTCGGCCCAGTCGTCGTTCTCAAAGCAGAAGCTGTGCTGAGCATCTCCGCTTGGCCCCCCGAGCCGATGTGGCCGGCCGACCGTGGAACCCACAGCCTGGCTGCCACACGTCATCTCGAGGACGGACGGGACTGAAGAAGAGGCGTCGGAGTTGGCATCGGTGGAGTTCTCTCTCTCGCAGCTGAGGCCGCCTTCCAGCAGCTCGGTCCAGCCGGGGTAGTAGCCCTTCTGATCACGGGCGAAGTAGTCGAAGCCCACGTAGGTGAGCCGGCCCTGGCCAAACGGGATGGTCCAGGCCACGCTCTGGCCCGTGAACCGGTCGCTATAGAGCCCATCCACACCCATAGGTAAAGAGCTTTCCGGGACGCCGAAGACTGCATTCCGTACTTCCAGAATTGCTGGAGCTAAGCCTTGAAAGCTGAAGCCATCTCCCATTTGGAGCTGCGGCCAGGACCACCAACTCACTCTGGAACTAGAGCCCACCGACCAGTTCCCTAAACGGTTCAACACGTCCACGCCCAAGCCTTCACGGTCCCCATGCACGAAAAGGTGCACTCCCAACAGCAGGGAGTTTCGCAAAGAAGCGAAGGAAAACTCTGTTAGGTTCAGAGAGCTCGTAAGCTCTGGGAGAACGATGCGGCCCCCCAGGCGAACCTCCAGCGCCTCTTCCATCCCTTCCACGTTCCGCCAGAATGTGATGTTGTCCACGATGGTGCGGACCTGCCTCAGCAAGTGGGCCACTTCCCTCCGGCTGGTACGCTCACCACCGTCCGCAAAAAAGTACACCCAGCATGGGTCCAGGTCAACAGTCGTGCTGCTGCTACTGGTGCTACTAGTTGTACTGCTCGTCACAGTCCTCGTACTTGTAAAGCTCCTGCTGCTGGTGCTGCTGGTGGTACCGGAGGTGGACGTGGTCGTAGTTGCACTACTGCTAGCAGTCCTGCTGGTACTGCTTGTTGCGGTGACGGTGGTGGTGATGCTAGTGCTGGTACTCATGGTGCTGGTGCTGGTACTGGTGCTGGTGATGGTACTGGTGGTTGCGCTCATGCTGCTGGAAGTAGTGCTCGTTGTAGAGCTGCTGCTCGTAGAACTGGTGCTGCTGCTCAGACTGCTAGTGCTACTGCTCGTGGCAGTGCTGCTGCTGGTTGCGCTGATGCTACTGCTCAGAGTACTGGTGGTCGTACTGCTTCTAGAGCTGGTGCTGCTGCTTATGCTGCTGCTTGTAGTACTTGTTGCGGTCACACTGCTTGTTGCACTGGTGCTGCTGCTCAAGCTACTAGTGGTTGCGCTGCTTGTGGTGCGGCTGCTGCTTGTAGAAGTGCTCGTTGTTGTGGTACTGCTTGAAGTGCTTGTGCTACTGCTCAGACTGCTGGTAACAGTGCTTGTTGCTGTCGTGCTGCCTGTGGCACTCGTGGTAATGCTCACTGTGCTGGTGGAAGTGCTTGTCGAGGTAGAGCTGCTTGTAGCGCTAGTGCTGCTGCTGACACTGCTTGTCGAAGTGCTGGTTGTAGTAGTGCTGCCTGAAGCACTCGTGCTGCTGCTGGCACTGCTGCTGCTGGTAGTGCTGGTAGTCCTGGACGTGATGCTTGTTGAAGTCGAGGTGCTTGTATCACTTGTGCTGCTGCTAACACTGCTTGTGGAAGTGCTCGTTGTAGTAGTGCTGCCTGAAGCACTCGTGCTGCTGCTGGCACTGCTGCTGCTGGTAGTGCTGGTAGTGCTGGACGTGATGCTTGTTGAAGTCGCGGTGCTTGTATCACTGGTGCTGCTGCTGACACTGCTTGTGAAAGTGCTCGTTGTAGTAGTGCTGCTTGAAGCACTCGTGCTGCTGCTGGCACTGCTGCTGCTGGTAGTGCTGGTAGTGCTGGACGTGGTCCTTGTTGAAGTCGCGGTGCTTGTATCACTGGAGCTGCTGCTGACACTGCTTGTGGAAGTGCTCGTTGTAGTAGTGCTGCCTGAAGCACTCGTGCTGCTGCTGGCACAGCTGCTGCTGGTAGTGCTGCTAGTGCTGGACGTGATGCTCGTTGAAGTCGCGGTTCTTGTATCACTGGTGCTGCTCCAAGTGCTGCTTGTTGCAGTGCTGCTTGTCGTGTTGATGATTTGACCTACGAGCTGCCGGATCAAGATGCGGTCGTTGTGGTTGGTCTTGTACTCCGTGACGTTGTCGATCGTCCGAGTGGCGTAGACCCGGCCGCTGCCCCAAGAGCACTCACAGGAGGTGTAAAGGGGAGTGCAGCTGCAGTGCTCGCGGGTGGTGCTGCTGTGCACGATGCGGTGCGCGCCCCACGGGTGTCCCTCCGCCACAGCCCGCACATCCTCCTCCCACGGAGCGATCTCCCAGCCATCCGGCAGAGGCAGCCAGTAATCCTGGTATCCTGCAGAAGTGCTGTCTGGGAAGGTGCCGTCCAAGGTCCGGTACTCGTAGCCGTTGTACACCACGCACTGCCCTGGGGTGGCGCACAGGTCTGGGGCACTCGTCGTCGTCATCGTCATGGTGAACGCTGTGGAGGTGGTGGTACTGATGCCTAGTGTCTGATAGGCCCCAACTGCCTCGAGCAAAGTCGACATGTCGAGCATGTAGGCGTCTAGGGACGTGTTGGTGGTGGGCTCGTAACCGCCCAGCAATGCGTCGTGCAAGCTCTGCCCACTCTGTAGCTCTCCACCAGCATCGAAGAATCCGAAGGTGCCCGTGCCAGCGCCGATCAAGCTGGACCAGTTCCTGTTGTACCACTGCTGCCCACACTGGCCAGCACAGCTGTCGTTCGAGAACATGCTATGCTGGAAAGGCCTATCAGGCAAGGACTCCACATTCAGAAGCCGCACAATCCCTCTGCCACTCCCGTCCATGGCGTCGTAGATCTTGGACTGCACCACGTCCACCGAGGTTGTGTTCCAGCAGATGGACGACACATCCAGGTCGTAGAGCGCAGTTCCGGTGTAGTACAAGTGATAGTCCTCTGCTGACCCGAGGAAGTTCATCCGTTGAATATTTGTAGTTGCCACTCCAATGCTCATGCTGATGCGGTTGTCCAGAAAGGTAGCGTCTCTCCAAGTACCACCCCCGGTCACGTAGGCGATGTCGTTCTTGAAGAACAGCAGATCCTCAAAGACTTGCCAGCACGAGCTTCTGCAGTACACAGCCTGCCCATTCTGGACGAATGCAGAATTGCTGTACTGCGCGCCGCGTCGGCTGTCCACTCCAATGTTGTTCTGGAGGAAGAGACTGCCTTCGATGCGGCAGGTCCGGCAATCCAAGCTGGCCCCCATGTCATTGCGGAAGAAGACCGAGCTCTTGACTGTCCTTGGTGTCGTCACCCAGCCACGATCGTAGATGGCCTGGTAGGTATCCATGAACAAGCTGTTGGTGATCGTCACTGTCGCGTCCTTGCCGTCGCTCAGAAGCAGGCAATGCTTCAAGCCCTCGCAGATGACATGATCCATCACCACGGTCCCGGCACCTTCGAAGCGCACTCCGGTGATCGCCGGGGGCCTTTCGGAGCTCGGAACGCCATCCAGGTGACGCCAGCCTCGGAAGGGCGTGTAGAAAGCCGCATGCCGCACCACCAGCCGGGCGCCAGAGTAGAGCATGATGCCGGCGCTGCCGTGCACGAAGGACAAAACCTCACCGAAGCATGCCGAAGGAGGGCTGTTTCCCAAAACTCAACCTGACCGGCTACTGATTGCTTTGCAGGTCCTCCGACATGCCTGCACAGATATCAAACTACGCATAACAGCATACATCAATTTACTCATAACATACGAATGCTGCAGGCTCTTTCCACGCTCTCTCCAAGCCCTCTCAAGTCTCTTGGGTCAGGACCGCTGTGGAATTGGCATCTCCTTCGATCGTGAGCGTCACATCCGGCAGGATCGTCACTTGCTTCGCCAACGCACGCACACCGTCTGCTGCCCTCCAGGTGGTGTCGTGGAAGAGCCAAGATGGCTCGCTCATGACAATGCTGGCACCAACAAGCAAGTGCGCTGCCAGCGTCGTTGTTGTTGTGGAGGTGCTGGTCGTGGTGCTTGAGCTCGTACTTGGGAGCGGGCTTGTAGTGTTGCCGACTGTCTGATAGGCCCCAACTGCCTCGAGCAAAGTCGACATGTCGAGCATGTAGGCGTCTAGGGACGTGTTGGTGGTGGGCTCGTAACCGCCCAGCAATGCGTCGTGCAAGCTCTGCCCACTCTGTAGCTCTCCACCAGCATCGAAGAATCCGAAGGTGCCGGTGCCAGCGCCGATCAAGCTGGACCAGTTCCTGTTGTACCACTGCTGCCCACACTGGCCAGCACAGCTGTCGTTCGAGAACATGCTATGCTGGAAAGGCCTATCAGGCAAGGACTCCACATTCAGAAGCCGCACAATCCCTCTGCCACTCCCGTCCATGGCGTCGTAGATCTTGGACTGCACCACGTCCACCGATGTTGTGTTCCAGCAGATGGACGACACATCCAGGTCGTAGAGCGCAGTTCCGGTGTAGTACAAGTGATAGTCCTCTGCTGACCCGAGGAAGTTCATCCGTTGAATATTTGTAGTTGCCACTCCAATGCTCATGCTGATGCGGTTGTCCAGAAAGGTAGCGTCTCTCCAAGTACCACCCCCGGTCACGTAGGCGATGTCGTTCTTGAAGAACAGCAGATCCTCAAAGACTTGCCAGCACGAGCTTCTGCAGTACACAGCCTGCCCATTCTGGACGAATGCAGAATTGCTGTACTGCGCGCCGCGTCGGCTGTCCACTCCAATGTTGTTCTGGAGGAAGAGACTGCCTTCGATGCGGCAGGTCCGGCAATCCAAGCTGGCCCCCATGTCATTGCGGAAGAAGACCGAGCTCTTGACTGTCCTTGGTGTCGTCACCCAGCCACGATCGTAGATGGCCTGGTAGGTATCCATGAACAAGCTGTTGGTGATCGTCACTGTCGCGTCCTTGCCGTCGCTCAGAAGCAGGCAATGCTTCAAGCCCTCGCAGATGACATGATCCATCACCACGGTCCCGGCACCTTCGAAGCGCACTCCGGTGATCGCCGGGGGCCTTTCGGAGCTCGGAACGCCATCCAGGTGACGCCAGCCTCGGAAGGGCGTGTAGAAAGCCGCATGCCGCACCACGAGCCGTGCGCCAGAGTAGAGCGTGATGCCGGCGCTGCCGTGCACGAAGGACAAAACCTCACCGAAGCATACCGAAGGAGGGCTGTTTCCCAAAACTCAACCTGACCGGCTACTGATTGCTTTGCAGGTCCTCTGACATGCCATGCCGTGACAGATATCAAACTGGGTACGCTGCATAGCAGCACACATCAATTTACTCGTTTACTCGTTTACTCGTCATACGACTGCTGCAGGCTCTTTCCACGCTCTCTCCAAGCCCTCTCAAGTCTCTTGGGCCAGGACCGCTGTGGAGTTGACGTCTCCTTGGATCGTGAGCGTCACATCCGGCAGGATCGTCACTTGCTTCGCCAACGCACGCACACCGTCTGCTGCCCTCCAGGTGGTGTCGTGGAAGAGCCAAGATGGCTCGCTCATGACAATGCTGGCACCAACAAGCAAGTGCGCTGCCAGCGTCGTTGTTGTTGTGGAGGTGCTGGTCGTGGTGCTTGAGCTCGTACTTGGGAGCGGGCTTGTAGTGGTGCCGACTGTCTGATAGGCCCCAACTGCCTCGAGCAAAGTCGACATGTCGAGCATGTAGGCGTCTAGGGACGTGTCGGTGCTGGGCTCGTAACCGCCCAGCAATGCGTCGTGCAAGCTCTGCCCACTCTGTAGCTCTCCACCAGCATCGAAGAATCCGAAGGTGCCCGTGCCAGCGCCGATCAAGCTGGACCAGTTCCTGTTGTACCACTGCTGCCCACACTGGCCAGCACAGCTGTCGTTCGAGAACATGCTATGCTGGAAAGGCCTATCAGGCAAGGACTCCACATTCAGAAGCAACACAATCCCTCTGCCACTCCCGTCCATGGCGTCGTAGATCTTGGACTGCACCACGTGCACCGAGGTTGTGTTCCAGCAGATGGACGACATATCCAGGTCGTAGAGCGCAGTTCCGGTGTAGTACAAGTGATAGTCCTCTGCTGACCCGAGGAAGTTCATGCGTTGAATATTTGTAGTTGCCACTCCAATGCTCATGCTGATGCGGTTGTCCAGAAATGTAGCGTCTCTCCAAGTACCACCCCCGGTCACGTAGGCGATGTCGTTCTTGAAGAACAGCAGATCCTCAAAGACTTGCCAGCACGAGCTTCTGCAGTACACAGCCTGCCCATTCTGGACGAATGCAGAACTGCCGTACTGCGCGCCGCGTCGGCTGTCCACTCCAATGTTGTTCTGGAGGAAGAGACTGCCTTCGATGCGGCAGGTCCGGCAATCCAAGCTGGCGCCCATGTCATTGCGGAAGAAGACCGAGCTCTTGACTGTCCTTGGTGTCGTCACCCAGCCACGATCGTAGATGGCCTGGTAGGTATCCATGAACAAGCTGTTGGTGATCGTCACTGTCGCGTCCTTGCCGTCGCTCAGAAGCAGGCAATGCTTCAAGCCCTCGCAGATGACATGATCCATCACCACGGTCCCGGCACCTTCGAAGCGCACTCCGGTGATCGCCGGGGGCCTTTCGGAGCTCGGAACGCCATCCAGGTGACGCCAGCCTCGGAAGGGCGTGTAGAAAGCCGCATGCCGCACCACGAGCCGTGCGCCAGAGTAGAGCGTGATGCCGGCGCTGCCGTGCACGAAGGACAAAACCTCACCGAAGCATACCGAAGGAGGGCTGTTTCCCAAAACTCAACCTGACCGGCTACTGATTGCTTTGCAGGTCCTCCGACAAGATATCAAACTACATGTAGTTAGCAGTATATCCCACGAGTTCCTGTCTCCGAGGCGTGCATGCACCGCGACAGCAAACACTAGCTGTCTGTCACTACGAATCTACGAGTAATAGCTCTCTCCCAGTACTGTAACACCCAGTAATGCCTGTGAGACAGTATTCAAGTTTCCATCGATTGGAAAGAAGTCTTGTCCGGTGATGTCCGCAGGGCAGCAAGAGAAAAGCGAGAGCAAACACAAGCGGTCACAATACGAGTCCACGAGTAGCTCAAGAAGTCTTGTCCGGAGGGCAGCAAGAGCAAGGCGAACATGAGTCCGCACAGCAAGAGCGACAACGTCTCCTGTGAGGCACAAGCCTGTCAGCATGCGCAGACAGCGCATTTCAGCACTGAGCCCTGGGCTGCAGGGAAGTCGGGGTCGCCCTGAATGGTGAGGGTGGCCCCGGGCATCACCGCGACGGTGCTGCCCAGGGTGTGGAGCCCTGCCGTCCAGTTGACATCCGCCTCCAAGAACGCGGGCTCCGTGACGTTCACACCGCTCTCCAGGAGGCGGCTCGTCGACGTGGAGATGCGGCTTGTGGTGGTGGTGCTGATGCCCAGTGTCTGATAGGCCCATACGGCACCCAGCATGTCTGCGATGTCAAGCACGTACATGCTCAAATCCATGTTGCTGTCAGGGCGGTAGCCGTTCAGCAGTGCCTCTTGCAGAGCCTGGCCGCTTCGCAGGTCGCGATCTGCGTCGAAGTAGCCGAAAGTGCCTGCGCCCGCACCTATCAAGCTGGACCAGTTGGCGTTGAACCACTTCTGCCCACATTGGCCTGCGCATACGCCGTCCGAGTACATGCCATGCAGGAAAGGTCTCATGGGAAGGGACTCGGCCGCAAGCAGGCGAACAAGGCCCTTGCCGCTCCCATCCAGGGCGTCGTAGATCTTGGATGACACCACATCAGTGGAGGTTGTATTCCAGAAGATTGACCCTGCATCCAGGTTGTAGAGGGCACTTGCCGTGTAGTGGAGGTGATACTCCACCGTCCCGAGGAAGTTCGTCCAACGGATGTCGGCCACGTCCAGGAGCTGCATGCTGATACGATTGTCCAGAAAGGTGACATTGGAGTAGACAGATTGCCCATCATCGTTGCTCATGTATCCGATGTCATTCTCGAAGAAGAGCACGTTTTCGAAGTCAGGCCAGCGACCTCGCATGCCCTTGCTGTTCTGGGCGAACATGCAGTTTCTGAACTGCACGCGTTGACTGTAGCCGCCGATGCTGTTCAACAGGAACAAAGAGTCTTCGATCTTGCCGTAATCCATGAAGGCCCCCTCGTGGTTCCGGAAGAACACGGAATTCTGCACCGTCACCGTGTGCCGAACTGCCCGGATGGCTTGGTAGTTGTCCATGAACAAGCTGTTCGTGATGGTTACGGCCACATTGCTGTCCACTCGCAGGCAGTATGTCAGGCCCTCACAGATGACATTGTCCATCACCACAGTCGCACCTCCACTTTCAAACCTGATCCCCGTGATGGAAGGTGGCCTCTCCGAGGTGGGCACGCCATCCAGATTCTGCCAGCCCCGGAAGGGCGTGTAGAAGGCTGCATGCCGCACCACCAGCTTCGCACCGCCGTAGAGCAGGATGCCGGCGTCGCCGTGCACAAAGGACAAGACCTCAGCAGAGCTGAGCGGTGTGAGACATCTCATTGCACCATAAGTCACTAAGTTATTGAGTGCTCTGCGCTCGCACTTGAGGGCGCGACTGCTGTAGAATTTTCATCTCCCTCGATGGTAAGCGTCACATCCGGTAGGATCGTGACCTGCTTGGCAAGGGCCCGGATACCGTCAGAAGCAGCCCAGACGGTGTCGTGGAACAGCCAGACTGGCTCCGTCATGATAGTGTTGGCGCCCACCAGCAAGTGCGCAGCCACCGTCGTAGTGGTGGTGGTGGTGGTCGTCCTGGCAGCGGAGCTCGTGCTGGGCAGGGGACTTGTCGTCGTGCCCACGGTCTGGTAGGCCCAGACGGCACCCAGCATGTCTGCGATGTCAAGCACGTACATGCTCAAATCCATGTTGCTGTCAGGGCGGTAGCCGTTCAGCAGTGCCTCTTGCAGAGCCTGGCCGTTTCGCAGGTCGCGAGCTGTGTCGAAGTAGCCGAAAGTGCCTGCGCCCGCACCTATCAAGCTGGACCAGTTGGCGTTGAACCACTTCTGCCCACATTGGCCTGCGCATACGCCGTCCGAGTACATGCCATGCAGGAAAGGTCTCATGGGAAGGGACTCGGCCGTAAGCAGGCGAACAAGGCCCTTGCCGCTCCCATCCAGGGCGTCGTAGATCTTGGATGACACGACATCAGTGGAGGTTGTATTCCAGAAGATGGACCCTTCATCCAGGTTGTAGAGGGCACTTGCCGTGTAGTGGAGGTGATACTCCACCGTCCCGAGGAAGTTCGTCCAACGGATGTCGGCCACGTCCAGGAGCTGCATGCTGATACGATTGTCCAGAAAGGTGACATTGGAGTAGACAGATTGCCCATCATCGTTGCTCATGTATCCGATGTCATTCTCGAAGAAGAGCACGTTTTCGAAGTCAGGCCAGCGACCTCGCATGCCCTTGCTGTTCTGGGCGAACATGCAGTTTCTGAACTGCACGCGTTGACTGTAGCCGCCAATGCTGTTCAACAGGAACAAAGAGTCTTCGATCTTGCCGTAATCCATGAAGGCCCCCTCGTGGTTCCGGAAGAACACGGAATTCTGCACCGTCACCGTGTGCCGAACTGCCCGGATGGCTTGGTAGTTGTCCATGAACAAGCTGTTCGTGATGGTTACGGCCGCATTGCTCTCCACTCGCAGGCAGTATGTCAGGCCCTCACAGATGACATTGTCCATCACCACAGTCGCACCTCCACTTTCAAACCTGATCCCCGTGATGGAAGGTGGCCTCTCCGAGGTGGGCACGCCATCCAGATTCTGCCAGCCCCGGAAGGGCGTGTAGAAGGCTGCATGCCGCACCACCAGCTTCGCACCGCCGTAGAGCAGGATGCCAGCGTCGCCGTGCACGAAGGACAAGACCTCAGCAGAGCTGAGCGGTGTGAGTGACATCTCAGTGCACCATAAGTCACTAAGTTATTGAGTGCTCTGCGCTCGCACTTGAGGGCGCGACTGCTGTAGAATTTTCATCTCCCTCGATGCTAAGCGTCACATCCGGTAGGATCGTGACCTGCTTGGCAAGGGCCCGGATACCGTCAGAAGCAGCCCAGACGGTGTCGTGGAACAGCCAGACTGGCTCCGTCATGATAGTGTTGGCGCCCACCAGCAAGTGCGCAGCCACCGTCGTAGTGGTGGTGGTGGTGGTCGTCCTGGCAGCGGAGCTCGTGCTGGGCAGGGGACTTGTCGTCGTGCCCACGGTCTGGTAGGCCCAGACGGCACCCAGCATGTCTGCGATGTCAAGCACGTACATGCTCAAATCCATGTTGCTGTCAGGGCGGTAGCCGTTCAGCAGTGCCTCTTGCAGAGCCTGGCCGTTTCGCAGGTCGCGAGCTGTGTCGAAGTAGCCGAAAGTGCCTGCGCCCGCACCTATCAAGCTGGACCAGTTGGCGTTGAACCACTTCTGCCCACATTGGCCTGCGCATACGCCGTCCGAGTACATGCCATGTAGGAAAGGTCTCATGGGAAGGGACTCGGCCGCAAGCAGGCGAACAAGGCCCTTGCCGCTCCCATCCAGGGCGTCGTAGATCTTGGATGACACCACATCAGTGGAGGTTGTATTCCAGAAGATGGACCCTGCATCCAGGTTGTAGAGGGCACTTGCCGTGTAGTGGAGGTGATACTCCACCGTCCCGAGGAAGTTCGTCCAACGGATGTCGGCCACGTCCAGGAGCTGCATGCTGATACGATTGTCCAGAAAGGTGACATTGGAGTAGACAGATTGCCCATCATCGTTGCTCATGTATCCGATGTCATTCTCGAAGAAGAGCACGTTTTCGAAGTCAGGCCAGCGACCTCGCATGCCCTTGCTGTTCTGGGCGAACATGCAGTTTCTGAACTGCACGCGTTGACTGTAGCCGCCGATGCTGTTCAACAGGAACAAAGAGTCTTCGATCTTGCCGTAATCCATGAAGGCCCCCTCGTGGTTCCGGAAGAACACGGAATTCTGCACCGTCACCGTGTGCCGAACTGCCCGGATGGCTTGGTAGTTGTCCATGAACAAGCTGTTCGTGATGGTTACGGCCGCATTGCTGTCCACTCGCAGGCAGTATGTCAGGCCCTCACAGATGACATTGTCCATCACCACAGTCGCACCTCCACTTTCAAACCTGATCCCCGTGATGGAAGGTGGCCTCTCCGAGGTGGGCACGCCATCCAGATTCTGCCAGCCCCGGAAGGGCGTGTAGAAGGCTGCATGCCGCACCACCAGCTTCGCACCGCCGTAGAGCAGGATGCCGGCGTCGCCGTGCACGAAGGACAAGACCTCAGCAGAGCTGAGCACAGGCAAATGGGAACTATGGTTTTGTGATGCTTGCTCTCTGCTCTTAGGGCCGGAACAGACTGTGCGAACACCAGGGCTATTCACCGCAGGATGTCAGTTTAGCACATGTCCGCTTGACACCTCACAGCCCTGAGCCCTGGGCTGCAGGGAAGTCGGGGTCGCCCTGAATGGTGAGGGTGGCCCCGGGCATCACCGCGACGGTGCTGCCCAGGGTGTGGAGCCCTGCCGTCCAGTTGACATCCGCCTCCAAGAACGCGGGCTCCGTGACGTTCACACCGCTCTCCAGGAGGCGGCTCGTCGACGTCCCGGACGTGCTGGTGACCGTGGCGCTCGCTGTGGTCGTGGTTCCGGAAGGCCGCCGGATGAGGATGCGGTCGTTGTGGGAGGTCTTGTATTCCGTGACGTTGTCGATCGTCCGAGTGGCGTAGACCCGGCCGCTGCCCCAAGAGCACTCACAGGAGGTGTAAAGGGGAGTGCAGCTGCAGTGCTCGCGGGTGGTGCTGCTGTGCACGATGCGGTGCGCGCCCCACGGGTGTCCCTCCGCCACAGCCCGCACATCCTCCTCCCACGGAGCGATCTCCCAGCCATCCGGCAGAGGCAGCCAGTAATCCTGGTATCCTGCAGAAGTGCTGTCTGGGAAGGTGCCGTCCAAGGTCCGGTACTCGTAGCCGTTGTATACCACGCACTGCCCTGGGGCGGCGCACAGGTCTGGGGCACTCGTTCTCGTCATTGATGTCGTGGTGGACCTGAGTTGCTTGCATTAGATAGGCTGATGTCTTGGGTACTTACGATGGTCTGACTCCTGTTTCACACTTCTGCAAAGGAGGCACCCGGATGTGGTCACGGAGGAGCAGTCTGTGTGAGGCGATGTGTTGATCACGAGCTCCACGGACGGCAAGCTGTCACCCATGCGGCTGGGGTCGTCGTCAACCCGGTTGACTTGGTCGCCATACCCGAGACGACCCCAAGCATTCATTCCCCAGCATTTCAAGGAGCAGTCGTCCAGCAGAGCGCAGCGATGCCAAAGCCCCGAGGAAATCTGCTGTGGCTTCGCCCGGCTGCCCAGGTCCACCTTGGGCAAGTTCGCCCCCATCTCGTTTGGCTCGTCGCCTTGATGGAACGTGCGCCCATTCAGAGTGTTTCCCCAGCACTTCATGGAGGAGTCATCCAGAAGTGCGCACGTGTAGTAGAGGTGGGCATCAATGTCCAAGACGGTGTGGTTGCCCACGTCGACCAGGGGCAAGTTCGTGCCCATTTGGCCGGGCATCGTGCCGATGTCCGAGGTCGAGCCATGGCCGACCTGACCACGAGATCCATCGCCCCAACAGGCCATGTTTCCGGTGTCGAAGAGCACGCAGGTGTGCCCGCCGCCCAGCGCCACCTTCGTCACTCTGCGGCCGCCGACGTCGATGGCAGGGGTGGTGGCAACCGCGCCGGATGCGATGGAAGATGTGGTCCCCTGTCCAAGCTGCCCATGGGAGTTGTCACCCCAGCATTTTAGGGAGCTGTCATCCAGAACGGCACAGGTGTGGCGGTCTCCGCTGCTGTAATACGTCTTGCTCGTGGCGATCTGCTTCACAGTGCGGTCGCCCATGTCAATCGCCTGCAAGCTGTCTCCCATCTCCCCGGCAGTGTCTCCAATGCCGTCCCCCCAACATTTGGCAGATCCATCGTCCAACACTGCGCAGGACTGGATGCCGCCGGCCGCGATGTCCACGGCTCTCCGGCCAGTTCCCAGGTTGATCGGCGGCAAGTTCTCACCCATCTGGTTTGGCTGGGTCCCGATGCTGGCGCTGCCGCCCTGGCCAAGCTGACCCGAGCTTCCTCGGCCCCAACACTTTACGGAGCCTTCGTCCAGCAGAGCACAGACGTGGTAGTTCCCAGCAACCAGCTTCCGTGCCCAACGGCCAAGCCCCAGGTCGATCGGCGGCAAGTGCACGCCCATCCTGAGGGAATCCGCGGCAAGCGAGCGAAAAAAACTGAGCTCAAAGATGCTCAAAGTCTCAAAAAAACACGTGCTATATTGTCTTTAGCAAGCCCTTTCTGCAGCGAGGCATCTCGTTGGCTGAATCACCGATGTTGCTGGTGCCACCTTGACCGAGCTGCCCCTCCCAGCCTCTGCCCCAGCACCGGGCATCACCCAGGTCGTCCACTGCGCAGGAGTGGTCAAAGCCTTCACACCGTACAGCCATGACTCATCACCCATGCCCTTCAACTTTCAACCCACTTCCCCCCTCGCCCCCTCTCCACATCCCTCCAAGACCCCCTCAAGAGCATCTTGCAGCCCCACAGGCCTGCGAGAACGGAAGGCTGTACCTGCAAGGGGCATCTCGCAACTTGGGTCCCGCATCGAACCGAGCGGCACTGGAAGGGGCACCCGCGCCAGGTCTGGGGCGCTCGTCGTCGTCGTCGTCGTAATTGTGGCCGTTGTCGTGGTGGACCTGAGTTGCTTGCATAGATAGGCTGATGTCTTGGGTACTTACGATGGTCTGACTCCTGTTTCACACTTCTGCAAAGGAGGCACCCGGATGTGGTCACGGAGGAGCAGTCTGTGTGAGGCGATGTGTTGATCACGAGCTCCACGGACGGCAAGCTGTCACCCATGCGGCTGGGGTCGTCGTCAACCCGGTTGACTTGGTCGCCATACCCGAGACGACCCCAAGCATTCATTCCCCAGCATTTCAAGGAGCAGTCGTCCAGCAGAGCGCAGCGATGCCAAAGCCCCGAGGAAATCTGCTGTGGCTTCGCCCGGCTGCCCAGGTCCACCTTGGGCAAGTTCGCCCCCATCTCGTTTGGCTCGTCGCCTTGATGGAACGTGCGCCCATTCAGAGTGTTTCCCCAGCACTTCATGGAGGAGTCATCCAGAAGTGCGCACGTGTAGTAGAGGTGGGCATCAATGTCCAAGACGGTGTGGTTGCCCACGTCGACCAGGGGCAAGTTCGTGCCCATTTGGCCGGGCATCGTGCCGATGTCCGAGGTCGAGCCATGGCCGACCTGACCACGAGATCCATCGCCCCAACAGGCCATGTTTCCGGTGTCGAAGAGCACGCAGGTGTGCCCGCCGCCCAGCGCCACCTTCGTCACTCTGCGGCCGCCGACGTCGATGGCAGGGGTGGTGGCAACCGCGCCGGATGCGATGGAAGATGTGGTCCCCTGTCCAAGCTGCCCATGGGAGTTGTCACCCCAGCATTTTAGGGAGCTGTCATCCAGAACGGCACAGGTGTGGCGGTCTCCGCTGCTGTAATACGTCTTGCTCGTGGCGATCTGCTTCACAGTGCGGTCGCCCATGTCAATCGCCTGCAAGCTGTCTCCCATCTCCCCGGCAGTGTCTCCAACGCCGTCCCCCCAACATTTGGCAGATCCATCGTCCAACACTGCGCAGGACTGGATGCCGCCGGCCGCGATGTCCACGGCTCTCCGGCCAGTTCCCAGGTTGATCGGCGGCAAGTTCTCACCCATCTGGTTTGGCTGGGTCCCGATGCTGGCGCTGCCGCCCTGGCCAAGCTGACCCGAGCTTCCTCGGCCCCAACACTTTACGGAGCCTTCGTCCAGCAGAGCACAGACGTGGTAGTTCCCAGCAACCAGCTTCCGTGCCCAACGGCCAAGCCCCAGGTCGATCGGCGGCAAGTGCACGCCCATCCTGAGGGAATCCGCGGCAAGCGAGCGAAAAAAACTGAGCTCAAAGATGCTCAAAGTCTCAAAAAAACACGTGCTATATTGTCTTTAGCAAGCCCTTTCTGCAGCGAGGCATCTCGTTGGCTGAATCACCGATGTTGCTGGTGCCACCTTGACCGAGCTGCCCCTCCCAGCCTCTGCCCCAGCACCGGGCATCACCCAGGTCGTCCACTGCGCAGGAGTGGTCAAAGCCTTCACACCGTACAGCCATGACTCATCACCCATGCCCTTCAACTTTCAACCCACTTCCCCCCTCGCCCCCTCTCCACATCCCTCCAAGACCCCCTCAAGAGCATCTTGCAGCCCCACAGGCCTGCGAGAACGGAAGGCTGTACCTGCAAGGGGCATCTCGCAACTTGGGTCCCGCATCGAACCGAGCGGCACTGGAAGGGGCACCCGCGCCAGGTCTGGGGCGCTCGTCGTCGTCGTCGTCGTAATTGTGGCCGTTGTCGTGGTGGACCTGAGTTGCTTGCGTTAGATAGGCTGATGTCTTGGGTACTTACGATGGTCTGACTCCTGTTTCACACTTCTGCAAAGGAGGCACCCGGATGTGGTCACGGAGGAGCAGTCTGTGTGAGGCGATGTGTTGATCACGAGCTCCACGGACGGCAAGCTGTCACCCATGCGGCTGGGGTCGTCGTCAACCCGGTTGACTTGGTCGCCATACCCGAGACGACCCCAAGCATTCATTCCCCAGCATTTCAAGGAGCAGTCGTCCAGCAGAGCGCAGCGATGCCAAAGCCCCGAGGAAATCTGCTGTGGCTTCGCCCGGCTGCCCAGGTCCACCTTGGGCAAGTTCGCCCCCATCTCGTTTGGCTCGTCGCCTTGATGGAACGTGCGCCCATTCAGAGTGTTTCCCCAGCACTTCATGGAGGAGTCATCCAGAAGTGCGCACGTGTAGTAGAGGTGGGCATCAATGTCCAAGACGGTGTGGTTGCCCACGTCGACCAGGGGCAAGTTCGTGCCCATTTGGCCGGGCATCGTGCCGATGTCCGAGGTCGAGCCATGGCCGACCTGACCACGAGATCCATCGCCCCAACAGGCCATGTTTCCGGTGTCGAAGAGCACGCAGGTGTGCCCGCCGCCCAGCGCCACCTTCGTCACTCTGCGGCCGCCGACGTCGATGGCAGGGGTGGTGGCAACCGCGCCGGATGCGATGGAAGATGTGGTCCCCTGTCCAAGCTGCCCATGGGAGTTGTCACCCCAGCATTTTAGGGAGCTGTCATCCAGAACGGCACAGGTGTGGCGGTCTCCGCTGCTGTAATACGTCTTGCTCGTGGCGATCTGCTTCACAGTGCGGTCGCCCATGTCAATCGCCTGCAAGCTGTCTCCCATCTCCCCGGCAGTGTCTCCAACGCCGTCCCCCCAACATTTGGCAGATCCATCGTCCAACACTGCGCAGGACTGGATGCCGCCGGCCGCGATGTCCACGGCTCTCCGGCCAGTTCCCAGGTTGATCGGCGGCAAGTTCTCACCCATCTGGTTTGGCTGGGTCCCGATGCTGGCGCTGCCGCCCTGGCCAAGCTGACCCGAGCTTCCTCGGCCCCAACACTTTACGGAGCCTTCGTCCAGCAGAGCACAGACGTGGTAGTTCCCAGCAACCAGCTTCCGTGCCCAACGGCCAAGCCCCAGGTCGATCGGCGGCAAGTGCACGCCCATCCTGAGGGAATCCGCGGCAAGCGAGCGAAAAAAACTGAGCTCAAAGATGCTCAAAGTCTCAAAAAAACACGTGCTATATTGTCTTTAGCAAGCCCTTTCTGCAGCGAGGCATCTCGTTGGCTGAATCACCGATGTTGCTGGTGCCACCTTGACCGAGCTGCCCCTCCCAGCCTCTGCCCCAGCACCGGGCATCACCCAGGTCGTCCACTGCGCAGGAGTGGTCAAAGCCTTCACACCGTACAGCCATGACTCATCACCCATGCCCTTCAACTTTCAACCCACTTCCCCCCTCGCCCCCTCTCCACATCCCTCCAAGACCCCCTCAAGAGCATCTTGCAGCCCCACAGGCCTGCGAGAACGGAAGGCTGTACCTGCAAGGGGCATCTCGCAACTTGGGTCCCGCATCGAACCGAGCGGCACTGGAAGGGGCACCCGCGCCAGGTCTGGGGCGCTCGTCGTCGTCGTCGTCGTAATTGTGGCCGTTGTCGTGGTGGACCTGAGTTGCTTGCGTTAGATAGGCTGATGTCTTGGGTACTTACGATGGTCTGACTCCTGTTTCACACTTCTGCAAAGGAGGCACCCGGATGTGGTCACGGAGGAGCAGTCTGTGTGAGGCGATGTGTTGATCACGAGCTCCACGGACGGCAAGCTGTCACCCATGCGGCTGGGGTCGTCGTCAACCCGGTTGACTTGGTCGCCATACCCGAGACGACCCCAAGCATTCATTCCCCAGCATTTCAAGGAGCAGTCGTCCAGCAGAGCGCAGCGATGCCAAAGCCCCGAGGAAATCTGCTGTGGCTTCGCCCGGCTGCCCAGGTCCACCTTGGGCAAGTTCGCCCCCATCTCGTTTGGCTCGTCGCCTTGATGGAACGTGCGCCCATTCAGAGTGTTTCCCCAGCACTTCATGGAGGAGTCATCCAGAAGTGCGCACGTGTAGTAGAGGTGGGCATCAATGTCCAAGACGGTGTGGTTGCCCACGTCGACCAGGGGCAAGTTCGTGCCCATTTGGCCGGGCATCGTGCCGATGTCCGAGGTCGAGCCATGGCCGACCTGACCACGAGATCCATCGCCCCAACAGGCCATGTTTCCGGTGTCGAAGAGCACGCAGGTGTGCCCGCCGCCCAGCGCCACCTTCGTCACTCTGCGGCCGCCGACGTCGATGGCAGGGGTGGTGGCAACCGCGCCGGATGCGATGGAAGATGTGGTCCCCTGTCCAAGCTGCCCATGGGAGTTGTCACCCCAGCATTTTAGGGAGCTGTCATCCAGAACGGCACAGGTGTGGCGGTCTCCGCTGCTGTAATACGTCTTGCTCGTGGCGATCTGCTTCACAGTGCGGTCGCCCATGTCAATCGCCTGCAAGCTGTCTCCCATCTCCCCGGCAGTGTCTCCAACGCCGTCCCCCCAACATTTGGCAGATCCATCGTCCAACACTGCGCAGGACTGGATGCCGCCGGCCGCGATGTCCACGGCTCTCCGGCCAGTTCCCAGGTTGATCGGCGGCAAGTTCTCACCCATCTGGTTTGGCTGGGTCCCGATGCTGGCGCTGCCGCCCTGGCCAAGCTGACCCGAGCTTCCTCGGCCCCAACACTTTACGGAGCCTTCGTCCAGCAGAGCACAGACGTGGTAGTTCCCAGCAACCAGCTTCCGTGCCCAACGGCCAAGCCCCAGGTCGATCGGCGGCAAGTGCACGCCCATCCTGAGGGAATCCGCGGCAAGCGAGCGAAAAAAACTTGCTATATTGTCTTTAGCAAGCCCTTTCTGCAGCGAGGCATCTCGTTGGCTGAATCACCGATGTTGCTGGTGCCACCTTGACCGAGCTGCCCCTCCCAGCCTCTGCCCCAGCACCGGGCATCACCCAGGTCGTCCACTGCGCAGGAGTGGTCAAAGCCTTCACACCGTACAGCCATGACTCATCACCCATGCCCTTCAACTTTCAACCCACTTCCCCCCTCGCCCCCTCTCCACATCCCTCCAAGACCCCCTCAAGAGCATCTTGCAGCCCCACAGGCCTGCGAGAACGGAAGGCTGTACCTGCAAGGGGCATCTCGCAACTTGGGTCCCGCATCGAACCGAGCGGCACTGGAAGGGGCACCCGCGCCAGGTCTGGGGCGCTCGTCGTCGTCGTCGTAATTGTGGCCGTTGTCGTGGTGGACCTGAGTTGCTTGCGTTAGATAGGCTGATGTCTTGGGTACTTACGATGGTCTGACTCCTGTTTCACACTTCTGCAAAGGAGGCACCCGGATGTGGTCACGGAGGAGCAGTCTGTGTGAGGCGATGTGTTGATCACGAGCTCCACGGACGGCAAGCTGTCACCCATGCGGCTGGGGTCGTCGTCAACCCGGTTGACTTGGTCGCCATACCCGAGACGACCCCAAGCATTCATTCCCCAGCATTTCAAGGAGCAGTCGTCCAGCAGAGCGCAGCGATGCCAAAGCCCCGAGGAAATCTGCTGTGGCTTCGCCCGGCTGCCCAGGTCCACCTTGGGCAAGTTCGCCCCCATCTCGTTTGGCTCGTCGCCTTGATGGAACGTGCGCCCATTCAGAGTGTTTCCCCAGCACTTCATGGAGGAGTCATCCAGAAGTGCGCACGTGTAGTAGAGGTGGGCATCAATGTCCAAGACGGTGTGGTTGCCCACGTCGACCAGGGGCAAGTTCGTGCCCATTTGGCCGGGCATCGTGCCGATGTCCGAGGTCGAGCCATGGCCGACCTGACCACGAGATCCATCGCCCCAACAGGCCATGTTTCCGGTGTCGAAGAGCACGCAGGTGTGCCCGCCGCCCAGCGCCACCTTCGTCACTCTGCGGCCGCCGACGTCGATGGCAGGGGTGGTGGCAACCGCGCCGGATGCGATGGAAGATGTGGTCCCCTGTCCAAGCTGCCCATGGGAGTTGTCACCCCAGCATTTTAGGGAGCTGTCATCCAGAACGGCACAGGTGTGGCGGTCTCCGCTGCTGTAATACGTCTTGCTCGTGGCGATCTGCTTCACAGTGCGGTCGCCCATGTCAATCGCCTGCAAGCTGTCTCCCATCTCCCCGGCAGTGTCTCCAACGCCGTCCCCCCAACATTTGGCAGATCCATCGTCCAACACTGCGCAGGACTGGATGCCGCCGGCCGCGATGTCCACGGCTCTCCGGCCAGTTCCCAGGTTGATCGGCGGCAAGTTCTCACCCATCTGGTTTGGCTGGGTCCCGATGCTGGCGCTGCCGCCCTGGCCAAGCTGACCCGAGCTTCCTCGGCCCCAACACTTTACGGAGCCTTCGTCCAGCAGAGCACAGACGTGGTAGTTCCCAGCAACCAGCTTCCGTGCCCAACGGCCAAGCCCCAGGTCGATCGGCGGCAAGTGCACGCCCATCCTGAGGGAATCCGCGGCAAGCGAGCGAAAAAAACTGAGCTCAAAGATGCTCAAAGTCTCAAAAAAACACGTGCTATATTGTCTTTAGCAAGCCCTTTCTGCAGCGAGGCATCTCGTTGGCTGAATCACCGATGTTGCTGGTGCCACCTTGACCGAGCTGCCCCTCCCAGCCTCTGCCCCAGCACCGGGCATCACCCAGGTCGTCCACTGCGCAGGAGTGGTCAAAGCCTTCACACCGTACAGCCATGACTCATCACCCATGCCCTTCAACTTTCAACCCACTTCCCCCCTCGCCCCCTCTCCACATCCCTCCAAGACCCCCTCAAGAGCATCTTGCAGCCCCACAGGCCTGCGAGAACGGAAGGCTGTACCTGCAAGGTGCATCTCACAACTTGGGTCGCGCATCGAACCGAGCGGCACTAGAAGGGGCACCCGCGCCAGGTCTGGGGCGCTCGTCGTCGTCGTAATTGTGGCCGTTGTCGTGGTGGACCTGAGTTGCTTGCGTTCCATAGGCTGATGTCGTGGGTAAATGTGGGTAGATAAACTTCCGACTGAGGCCGAGGCATGCAGCCGGAGTCCAAAGAGCTGATGTTTGCGTAGCCTATGTTGCGGAGGAAGCCCATTGGGGAACTGGGCGGCGACAAGACCAGATCCACGGGGAAGTCGGCCGCAGCGAAAGCGGTGGTGCCCCGCACTTTCCGGACACCCTGCGCAACACATGTTGATGCACATCGACAGGACAATGTCTGTGCTCGATCGTACACACCCACATCGATGCACATCGACACACATCGATTCGATACACGCTCACGCACTAGACTCAATCACTCACGTCGATCCAACGGGGTTGTGAGATGGGCCTCCACGTAGAAGTCCACTGTGCCGTTCTGGGTTACCCACAGCACCACATCCTTGCCCTCGTGATTGAAGCTACTCCAACCACCCTCCCAGGACTCTAGCAGAGAGCTCTTGCACTCCATGTTATACTTCCACCCATCGCCCCGCCAGATGCGTTCGCTCCAGTCCCTGCCCTGCATCGTGCGAAGACCCAGGTGGAAGTTGTCACTGTGATCGCACTTGAACTGGAATCCTGCAGGCAGGCTCTCCCATCGCAGCTTCTGCTCGGAGTAGAACATGGTGTGGTGGCCACATTGCAAATCCCCAAAGTCGCGAGTGCCGTCTTGATTTGCAACAAAGCTGTAACTGCAGCCTTGGCAGCGGTTTGCAGGGAAGCAGTGGCTGTTGGCATCGAAGTCAAAGCCGCAGGTCCTGGGTGCCATGTGAAGTCAGACTGAATTGAAACATGTGTCGAAGTCGAACATTCCTGACCCGACCCATTTATCAGTGCTAAGACCAGCGCTGGCTTGCTGTCGGCGACGAGGGCAAGGTCGTTATTGTTGTCGTTAGTGTTGCCGTTGCGGCCGTGGCCTTGTAGGCCCCAACTGCCTCGAGCAAAGTCGACATGTCGAGCATGTAGGCGTCTAAGGACGTGTCGGTGGTGGGCTCGTAGCCGCCCAGCAGCGCATCTTGCAAGCTCTGCCCACTCTGTAGCTCTCCACCAGCATCGAAGAATCCGAAGGTGCCTGTGCCAGCGCCGATCAAGCTGGACCAGTTCCTGTTGTACCACTGCTGCGCACACTGGCCAGCACAGCTGTCGTTCGAGAACATGCTATGCTGGAAAGGCCTATCCGGCAAGGACTCTACGTTCAGAAGCCGCACAATCCCTTTGCCACTCCCGTCCATGGCGTCGTAGATCTTGGACTGCACCACGTCCACCGAGGTTGTGTTCCAGCAGATGGACGACACATCCAGGTCGTAGAGCGCAGTTCCGGTGTAGTACAAGTGATAGTCGTCTGCTGACCCGAGGAAGTTCATCCGTTGAATATTTGTAGTTGCCACTCCAATGCTCATGCTGATGCGGTTGTCCAGAAAAGTAGCGTCTCTCCAAGTACCACCCCCGGTCACGTAGGCGATGTCGTTCTTGAAGAACAGCAGATCCTCAAAGACTTGCCAGCACGAGCTTCTGCAGTACACAGCCTGCCCATTCTGGACGAATGCAGAATTGCTGTACTGCGCGCCGCGTCGGCTGTCTACTCCAATGTTGTTCTGGAGGAAGAGACTGCCTTCGATGCGGCAGGTCCGGCAATCCAAGCTGGCCCCCATGTCATTGCGGAAGAAGACCGAGCTCTTGACTGTCCTTGGTGTCGTCACCCAGCCACGATCGTAGATGGCCTGGTAGGTATCCATGAACAAGCTGTTGGTGATCGTCACTGTCGCGTCCTTGCCGTCGCTCAGAAGCAGGCAATGCTTCAAGCCCTCGCAGATGACATGATCCATCACCACGGTCCCGGCACCTTCGAAGCGCACTCCGGTGATCGCCGGGGGCCTTTCGGAGCTCGGAACGCCATCCAGGTGACGCCAGCCTCGGAAGGGCGTGTAGAAAGCCGCATGCCGCACCACCAGCCGGGCGCCAGAGTAGAGCATGATGCCGGCGCTGCCGTGCACGAAGGACAAAACCTCACCGAAGCATGCCGAAGGAGGGCTGTTTCCCAAAACTCAACCTGACCGGCTACTGATTGCTTTGCAGGTCCTCCGACATGCCTGCACAGATATCAAACTACGCATAACAGCATACATCAATTTACTCATAACATACGAATGCTGCAGGCTCTTTCCACGCTCTCTCCAAGCCCTCTCAAGTCTCTTGGGTCAGGACCGCTGTGGAATTGGCATCTCCTTCGATCGTGAGCGTCACATCCGGCAGGATCGTCACTTGCTTCGCCAACGCACGCACACCGTCTGCTGCCCTCCAAGTGGTGTCGTGGAAGAGCCAAGATGGCTCGCTCATGACAATGCTGGCACCAACAAGCAAGTGCGCTGCCAGCGTTGTTGTTGTTGTGGAGGTGCTGGTCGTGGTGCTTGAGCTCGTACTTGGGAGTGGGCTTGTAGTGGTGCCGACTGTCTGATAGGCCCCAACTGCCTCGAGCAAAGTCGACATGTCGAGCATGTAGGCGTCTAGGGACGTGTCGGTGGTGGGCTCGTAACCGCCCAGCAATGCGTCGTGCAAGCTCTGCCCACTCTGTAGCTCTCCACCAGCATCGAAGAATCCGAAGGTGCCCGTGCCAGCGCCGATCAAGCTGGACCAGTTCCTGTTGTACCACTGCTGCCCACACTGGCCAGCACAGCTGTCGTTCGAGAACATGCTATGCTGGAAAGGCCATTCAGGCAAGGACTCTACATTCAGAAGCCGCACAATCCCTCTGCCACTCCCGTCCATGGCGTCGTAGATCTTGGACTGCACCACGTCCACCGAGGTTGTGTTCCAGCAGATGGACGACACATCCAGGTCGTAGAGCGCAGTTCCGGTGTAGTACAAGTGATAGTCGTCTGCTGACCCGAGGAAGTTCATCCGTTGAATATTTGTAGTTGCCACTCCAATGCTCATGCTGATGCGGTTGTCCAGAAAAGTAGCGTCTCTCCAAGTACCACCCCCGGTCACGTAGGCGATGTCGTTCTTGAAGAACAGCAGATCCTCAAAGACTTGCCAGCACGAGCTTCTGCAGTACACAGCCTGCCCATTCTGGACGAATGCAGAATTGCTGTACTGCGCGCCGCGTCGGCTGTCTACTCCAATGTTGTTCTGGAGGAAGAGACTGCCTTCGATGCGGCAGGTCCGGCAATCCAAGCTGGCCCCCATGTCATTGCGGAAGAAGACCGAGCTCTTGACTGTCCTTGGTGTCGTCACCCAGCCACGATCGTAGATGGCCTGGTAGGTATCCATGAACAAGCTGTTGGTGATCGTCACTGTCGCGTCCTTGCCGTCGCTCAGAAGCAGGCAATGCTTCAAGCCCTCGCAGATGACATGATCCATCACCACGGTCCCGGCACCTTCGAAGCGCACTCCGGTGATCGCCGGGGGCCTTTCGGAGCTCGGAACGCCATCCAGGTGACGCCAGCCTCGGAAGGGCGTGTAGAAAGCCGCATGCCGCACCACCAGCCGGGCGCCAGAGTAGAGCATGATGCCGGCGCTGCCGTGCACGAAGGACAAAACCTCACCGAAGCATGCCGAAGGAGGGCTGTTTCCCAAAACTCAACCTGACCGGCTACTGATTGCTTTGCAGGTCCTCCGACATGCCTGCACAGATATCAAACTACGCATAACAGCATACATCAATTTACTCATAATATACGAATGCTGCAGGCTCTTTCCACGCTCTCTCCAAGCCCTCTCAAGTCTCTTGGGTCAGGACCGCTGTGGAATTGGCATCTCCTTCGATCGTGAGCGTCACATCCGGCAGGATCGTCACTTGCTTCGCCAACGCACGCACACCGTCTGCTGCCCTCCAGGTGGTGTCGTGGAAGAGCCAAGATGGCTCGCTCATGACAATGCTGGCACCAACAAGCAAGTGCGCTGCCAGCGTCGTTGTTGTTGTGGAGGTGCTGGTCGTGGTGCTTGAGCTCGTACTTGGGAGCGGGCTTGTAGTGGTGCCGACTGTCTGATAGGCCCCAACTGCCTCGAGCAAAGTCGACATGTCGAGCATGTAGGCGTCTAGGGACGTGTCGGTGGTGGGCTCGTAGCCGCCCAGCAATGCGTCGTGCAAGCTCTGCCCACTCCGTAGCTCTCCACCAGCATCGAAGAATCCGAAGGTGCCCGTGCCAGCGCCGATCAAGCTGGACCAATTCCTGTTGTACCACTGCTGCCCACACTGGCCAGCACAGCTGTCGTTCGAGAACATGCTATGCTGGAAAGGCCTATCAGGCAAGGACTCCACATTCAGAAGCCGCACAATCCCTCTGCCACTCCCGTCCATGGCGTCGTAGATCTTGGACTGCACCACGTGCACCGAGGTTGTGTTCCAGCAGATGGACGACACATCCAGGTCGTAGAGCGCAGTTCCGGTGTAGTACAAGTGATAGTCGTCTGCTGACCCGAGGAAGTTCATCCGTTGAATATTCGTAGTTGCTACTCCAATGCTCATGCTGATGCGGTTGTCCAGAAAAGTAGCGTCTCTCCAAGTACCACCCCCGGTCACGTAGGCGATGTCGTTCTTGAAGAACAGCAGATCCTCAAAGACTTGCCAGCACGAGCTTCTGCAGTACACAGCCTGCCCATTCTGGACGAATGCAGAATTGCTGTACTGCGCGCCGCGTCGGCTGTCCACTCCAATGTTGTTCTGGAGGAAGAGACTGCCTTCGATGCGGCAGGTCCGGCAATCCAAGCTGGCCCCCATGTCATTGCGGAAGAAGACCGAGCTCTTGACTGTCCTTGGTGTCGTCACCCAGCCACGATCGTAGATGGCCTGGTAGGTATCCATGAACAAGCTGTTGGTGATCGTCACTGTCGCGTCCTTGCCGTCGCTCAGAAGCAGGCAATGCTTCAAGCCCTCGCAGATGACATGATCCATCACCACGGTCCCGGCACCTTCGAAGCGCACTCCGGTGATCGCCGGGGGCCTTTCGGAGCTCGGAACGCCATCCAGGTGACGCCAGCCTCGGAAGGGCGTGTAGAAAGCCGCATGCCGCACCACCAGCCGGGCGCCAGAGTAGAGCGTGATGCCGGCGCTGCCGTGCACAAAAGATAGGACCTCGGATGAAGTACGACTCGGCGCAAGCGTGGCATTACACAGCCCGCACTTCCTGCTTCATGCACAAATCTGCATAAACTACAGCTTGTCACTGGTTGGCATGCAAAAAGGCCGGTCTCACATGCTTGTAAAGCTGCAAAGCAATTCTCTCTCACTGCTTACGTTTGGGGGGACAGAACGGCATCGGCCAAGAGTTCCTGTCTTCGAGACACGTGTGCAAGGCGATACACGAGAGCAAACACAAGCTGTCACTACGAGTCCACGAGTAGCTCAAGAAGTCCTGACCGGAGGGCAGCAAGAGCAAAGCGAACATGAGTCCGCACAGCAAGAGCGACAACGTCTCCCGTGCATGCGCTCCCATGGAAAACCGAATCTCAACCTATTTCAGCACTGAGCCCGGGGCTGCAGGGAAGTCGGGGTCGCCCTGAATGGTGAGGGTGGCCCCGGGCATCACCGCGACGGTGCTGCCCAGGGTGTGAAGCCCTGCCGTCCAGTTGACATCTGCCTGCAAGAACACGGGCTCCGTGACGTTCACACCGCTCTCCAGGAGGCGGCTCGTCGCAGTCCCGGACGTGCTGGTGACCGTGGTGCTCGCCGTGGTGGTGGAGATGCGGCTTGTGGTGGTGGTGCTGATGCCCAGTGTCTGATAGGCCCAGACGGCACCCAGCATGTCTGCGATGTCAAGCACGTACATGCTCAAATCCATGTTGCTGTCAGGGCGGTAGCCGTTCAGCAGTGCCTCTTGCAGAGCCTGGCCGTTTCGCAGGTCGCGAGCTGTGTCGAAGTAGCCGAAAGTGCCTGCGCCCGCACCTATCAAGCTGGACCAGTTGGCATTGAACCACTTCTGCCCACATTGGCCTGCGCATATGCCGTCCGAGTACATGCCATGTAGGAAAGGTCTCATGGGAATGGACTCGGCCGCAAGCAGGCGAACAAGGCCCTTGCCGCTCCCATCCAGGGCGTCGTAGATCTTGGATGACACCACATCAGTGGAGGTTGTATTCCAGAAGATGGACCCTGCATCCAGGTTGTAGAGGGCACTTGCCGTGTAGTGGAGGTGATACTCCACCGCCCCGAGGAAGTTCGTCCAACGGATGTCGGCCACGTCCAGGAGCTGCATGCTGATACGATTGTCCAGAAAGGTGACATTGGAGTAGACAGATTGCCCATCATCGTTGCTCATGTATCCGATGTCATTCTCAAAGAAGAGCACGTTTTCGAAGTCAGGCCAGCGACCTCGCATGCCCTTGCTGTTCTGGGCGAACATGCAGTTTCTGAACTGCACGCGTTGACTGTAGCCGCCAATGCTGTTCAACAGGAACAAAGAGTCTTCGATCTTGCCGTAATCCATGAAGGCCCCCTCGTGGTTCCGGAAGAACACGGAATTCTGCACCGTCACCGTGTGCCGAACTGCCCGGATGGCTTGGTAGTTGTCCATGAACAAGCTGTTCGTGATGGTTACGGCCGCATTGCTCTCCACTCGCAGGCAGTATGTCAGGCCCTCACAGATGACATTGTCCATCACCACAGTCGCACCTCCACTTTCAAACCTGATCCCCGTGATGGAAGGTGGCCTCTCCGAGGTGGGCACGCCATCCAGATTCTGCCAGCCCCGGAAGGGCGTGTAGAAGGCTGCATGCCGCACCACCAGCTTCGCACCGCCGTAGAGCAGGATGCCGGCGTCGCCGTGCACGAAGGACAAGACCTCAGCAGAGCTGAGCGGTGTGAGTGACATCTCAATGCACCATAAGTCACTAAGTTATTGAGTGCCCTGCGCTCGCACTTGAGGGCGCGACTGCTGTAGAATTTTCATCTCCCTCGATGGTAAGCGTCACATCCGGTAGGATCGTGACCTGCTTGGCAAGGGCCCGGATTCCGTCAGAAGCAGCCCAGACGGTGTCGTGGAACAGCCAGACTGGCTCCGTCATGATAGTGTTGGCGCCCACCAGCAAGTGCGCAGCCACCGTCGTAGTAGTGGTGGTGGTGGTCGTCCTGGCAGTGGAGCTCGTGCCGGGCAGGGGACTTGTCGTCGTGCCCACGGTCTGGTAGGCCCAGACGGCACCCAGCATGTCTGCGATGTCAAGCACGTACATGCTCAAATCCATGTTGCTGTCAGGGCGGTAGCCGTTCAGCAGTGCCTCTTGCAGAGCCTGGCCGTTTCGCAGGTCGCGAGCTGTGTCGAAGTAGCCGAAAGTGCCTGCGCCCGCACCTATCAAGCTGGACCAGTTGGCATTGAACCACTTCTGCCCACATTGGCCTGCGCATACGCCGTCCGAGTACATGCCATGCAGGAAAGGTCTCATGGGAAGGGACTCGGCCGTAAGCAGGCGAACAAGGCCCTTGCCGCTCCCATCCAGGGCGTCGTAGATCTTGGATGACACGACATCAGTGGAGGTTGTATTCCAGAAGATGGACCCTGCATCCAGGTTGTAGAGGGCACTTGCCGTGTAGTGGAGGTGATACTCCACCGTCCCGAGGAAGTTCGTCCAACGGATGTCGGCCACGTCCAGGAGCTGCATGCTGATACGATTGTCCAGAAAGGTGACATTGGAGTAGACAGATTGCCCATCATCGTTGCTCATGTATCCGATGTCATTCTCAAAGAAGAGCACGTTTTCGAAGTCAGGCCAGCGACCTCGCATGCCCTTGCTGTTCTGGGCGAACATGCAGTTTCTGAACTGCACGCGTTGACTGTAGCCGCCAATGCTGTTCAACAGGAACAAAGAGTCTTCGATCTTGCCGTAATCCATGAAGGCCCCCTCGTGGTTCCGGAAGAACACGGAATTCTGCACCGTCACCGTGTGCCGAACTGCCCGGATGGCTTGGTAGTTGTCCATGAACAAGCTGTTCGTGATGGTTACGGCCGCATTGCTCTCCACTCGCAGGCAGTATGTCAGGCCCTCACAGATGACATTGTCCATCACCACAGTCGCACCTCCACTTTCAAACCTGATCCCCGTGATGGAAGGTGGCCTCTCCGAGGTGGGCACGCCATCCAGATTCTGCCAGCCCCGGAAGGGCGTGTAGAAGGCTGCATGCCGCACCACCAGCTTCGCACCGCCGTAGAGCAGGATGCCGGCGTCACCGTGCACGAAGGACAAGACCTCAGCAGAGCTGAGCGGTGTGAGTGACATCTCAGTGCACCATAAGTCACTAAGTTATTGAGTGCCCTGCGCTCGCACTTGAGGGCGCGACTGCTGTAGAATTTTCATCTCCCTCGATGGTAAGCGTCACATCCGGTAGGATCGTGACCTGCTTGGCAAGGGCCCGGATTCCGTCAGAAGCAGCCCAGACGGTGTCGTGGAACAGCCAGACTGGCTCCGTCATGATAGTGTTGGCGCCCACCAGCAAGTGCGCAGCCACCGTCGTAGTAGTGGTGGTGGTGGTCGTCCTGGCAGTGGAGCTCGTGCTGGGCAGGGGACTTGTCGTCGTGCCCACGGTCTGGTAGGCCCAGACGGCACCCAGCATGTCTGCGATGTCAAGCACGTACATGCTCAAATCCATGTTGCTGTCAGGGCGGTAGCTGTTCAGCAGTGCCTCTTGCAGAGCCTGGCCGTTTCGCAGGTCGCGAGCTGTGTCGAAGTAGCCGAAAGTGCCTGCGCCCGCACCTATCAAGCTGGACCAGTTGGCATTGAACCACTTCTGCCCACATTGGCCTGCGCATACGCCGTCCGAGTACATGCCATGTAGGAAAGGTCTCATGGGAAGGGACTCGGCCGCAAGCAGGCGAACAAGGCCCTTGCCGCTCCCATCCAGGGCGTCGTAGATCTTGGATGACACCACATCAGTGGAGGTTGTATTCCAGAAGATGGACCCTGCATCCAGGTTGTAGAGGGCACTTGCCGTGTAGTGGAGGTGATACTCCACCGCCCCGAGGAAGTTCGTCCAACGGATGTCGGCCACGTCCAGGAGCTGCATGCTGATACGATTGTCCAGAAAGGTGACATTGGAGTAGACAGATTGCCCATCATCGTTGCTCATGTATCCGATGTCATTCTCGAAGAAGAGCACGTTTTCGAAGTCAGGCCAGCGACCTCGCATGCCCTTGCTGTTCTGGGCGAACATGCAGTTTCTGAACTGCACGCGTTGACTGTAGCCGCCAATGCTGTTCAACAGGAACAAAGAGTCTTCGATCTTGCCGTAATCCATGAAGGCCCCCTCGTGGTTCCGGAAGAACACGGAATTCTGCACCGTCACCGTGTGCCGAACTGCCCGGATGGCTTGGTAGTTGTCCATGAACAAGCTGTTCGTGATGGTTACGGCCGCATTGCTCTCCACTCGCAGGCAGTATGTCAGGCCCTCACAGATGACATTGTCCATCACCACAGTCGCACCTCCACTTTCAAACCTGATCCCCGTGATGGAAGGTGGCCTCTCCGAGGTGGGCACGCCATCCAGATTCTGCCAGCCCCGGAAGGGCGTGTAGAAGGCTGCATGCCGCACCACCAGCTTCGCACCGCCGTAGAGCAGGATGCCGGCGTCGCCGTGCACGAAGGACAAGACCTCAGCAGAGCTGAGCACAGGCAAATGGGAACTATGGTTTTGTGATGCTTGCTCTCTGCTCTTAGGGCCGGAACAGACTGTGCGAACACCAGGGCTATTCACCGCAGGATGTCAGTTTAGCACATGTCCGCTTGACACCTCACAGCCCTGAGCCCTGGGCTGCAGGGAAGTCGGGGTCGCCCTGAATGGTGAGGGTGGCCCCGGGCATCACCGCGACGGTGCTGCCCAGGGTGTGGAGCCCTGCCGTCCAGTTGACATCCGCCTCCAAGAACGCGGGCTCCGTGACGTTCACACCGCTCTCCAGGAGGCGGCTCGTCGACGTCCCGGACGTGCTGGTGACCGTGGCGCTCGCTGTGGTCGTGGTTCCGGAAGGCCGCCGGATGAGGATGCGGTCGTTGTGGGAGGTCTTGTATTCCGTGACGTTGTCGATCGTCCGAGTGGCGTAGACCCGGCCGCTGCCCCAAGAGCACTCACAGGAGGTGTAAAGGGGAGTGCAGCTGCAGTGCTCGCGGGTGGTGCTGCTGTGCACGATGCGGTGCGCGCCCCACGGGTGTCCCTCCGCCACAGCCCGCACATCCTCCTCCCACAGAGCGATCTCCCAGCCATCCGGCAAAGGCAGCCAGTAATCCTGGTATCCTGCAGAAGTGCTGTCTGGGAAGGTGCCGTCCAAGGTCCGGTACTCGTAGCCGTTGTATACCACGCACTGCCCTGCCGAACACTGACTCTTCACACCTCTCGGCCTCTCGGAAGTCCGAAAAGCAGGCAAATCGCAAGCAACATGGCTTTCCAGGATTGATTGCGATTTCTAGCCTGTCCCCACCGTTGCTTAGCTTTGAAGCATTGCTTTACGCCTGAGGAGTGTGCCTGTTTTAATAACGTCCGTATGGAGCTCGAGCCTCTTGTGCAAAGCTTCTGACGCGGCCCAACTTACGATCGTCCCTACAACGAATGTGAAAGCTCAAGAAAGACTCTCTCTCTCTCTCTCTATATATATATATAAGTACATATACGACCAAGGGACTGCTTCCCGTTTTTCGGGCCTGGCCGTCTGCGAGTTGCAGCGGCCCTCGTTCTCGCGTGGCTCGGGCTCATTGGCTTCTGGAAGATTATGCGAAGCAATCGGTGAAGCAGCAAGGACCGGACAACTTTATCAAGCTCCCAGAGGCCCAGAAAGCCTATCAGAAGCTCAGACTGAGACCGAGCAGGACCCAGCACATGGTACGGGCATCTCCCCAGGCAGGCAAACACATCAAAACCATGGGTAAGAAAAGCAGCTGCCGACACAAAGGGCAGGTGGAAAACCGAAAGCTCCGAGCAGTGACCAGCAGTCGCAACGATTTTTTCACTCTATAACTCTATAGCACATCTTCCTTCACCAACGTGTGCTGCGCTATCACGCCGAGCTCACACAAGCAAGAGATCGTTCAGGGAGACACTGCAACCAGATGGCCACCTCACAGAGAAAGAGCCATCTCTCCATGCCAGTGCAGCGCGCCGATCCACTCGATGCACGGACTTGCCGAGCTTCCTCTCACAACTTCAGCAGGTCGAAGCCCGGGACCCAGGCGCCCACCGAGACGCTCCAGGACAAAGCCGAGGATGCCAGGATGCCGCGGTGAGTTTACGATGTCTCCGAACTCGAGGACCCTTCGCTCTCTCTGTCTGAGTCGCTGTCGGAGGAGCTCTGCTTCTCACTCGAAGTTGAAGCCTTTTTCCTGATCTTCGCCTTCGCCTTGTTGGGATCGACGGAAGAGCTCCGTGCCCGGCGCTGCCTCTTTCCCGGCGCGCCGGCCGCGACCTTCTCGTGCTCCACGCTCGCATGACTCGCATGTCCCTGCACCCTTGCACTTCCGGAGGGGACGGCGGGTTCAGCTGTGGCCGGCCTCAGTAGATCAGCAAATGCACGCATAAAGATCATGAAGTAGTCGTGCAGCTTTCGGAACGTTTTCAGAAGCATGCTTTGGCATGCTTTATACTGGATTTCGGCGGTTCTAGTTAGTTACGCAGTAACTACGCTGTTCGAGTGTTGGAATGCACTCCCGCCCCTCACAACAGCACTGACTGCAAGTCAAGCCGCATTTCTTGGCTTTCCTGCCACCGCTGTGCGTCAAGTATTCAGCGGCGTGCTCTGTACTACTGGGTCGAAAGGATCCCTTCAATAAGAACTACCCAAACTTGTGAGGCAACAGGGCTGCTCCAAACGCTCATGCGCCTCTGCACCGGCCGCCTCTTTGATGAATTGCCTGGAACGTCGGAAGCTGCCGTCTGCAGCAATCTGAGGCTTCGCGAATGATGGTGCAAGAGGTGTCGTTGGCAGGCAAGGGCGACGACAGAGCCGAGCCCTTCTTGGATTCCTGGCCTTGAGGCACGCTTCTTGATGTCCAGGCGGTAGGTGCGATGCCGCACGGACACAGGCTTCTTTACCTGAGCCAGCATCACCCTGCCTGCGTTCCTTCTGGGCCCACGGCACTATGACATGCTATGACTGTGTGGTTGGCTCAGACTGTGAAGCAAATCCTGACACACGCCTCGGCTGGCTGAAGGCCGCTCGTCCTACTGTGCTACGTTGTTTTGGTAGCAGTAAGCGTCCCACGCCTCCAGGGCATCCCCAGCCTGTCCTCGGAGCCTTGCAAGGGCGAACCAAAAGCGGGAGGACTGCCGTGAGACAGCAGACGGCCCCATTACACACGCTGAAGCTGGCCTGCTGGTGGGCCAAGACGTTCGGCGAAGGTCGACTTGCCACAGCCAGGCAAACCCACCAGAATCAGCACAACCGGCGGATCTGGCCGAGAGCCTGCCAAAAAAGGCGGTTAAGTCGAGACTGCAACTTACAAGTTCCTCGATTCGGATCGAGCCGTTTGCTGTGCAAACACTGGCAGTGCAGGCCAGGTCGTCGACAGCAAAACTGGAGGCACGAGGTCTCGCTTGCTTGTGTCCAACTAAGTATTGCGCCCATGCCTGCGATGCAAATCGGCTTCTCTAAGGAGTCGCCCAGAGGCCCAGACCGCTGAGGCGGGCGACCTTCACACGGAGCTCACAGGCTTTGCAGATCAGGACGAAAGCATGTCCATGAAGTGATGGGTTGCAGACGCCTTCTTGGGCGGGCCCTGCGCAGCGCCTGATTGTGCTTTGACATTGACCACTTCAGCTGCAGCAGAATGAACACGCCGCCACGAGGGTTTGAGCCCACTGCCTGCTTCACTCGAACCTCCACCAGCAGGCCCAAAGTAGTCGCGAGCGTGCATAAACCTGGCAGGGTCTAGGACCAGGAAGTAGGCCAAAACGTGGGAGGTCTGCGGATGTTTCCGCAGCCTGACACCCACTGCTTTGGCGAACTCTGCATCATCTGCAGAATGCTCACCTGCTCCATCTGAACAGAACGACAGCTCAGTAGTTGCCTATCCACAGAATGCGGACAGGTTGAGTAAAGACCAGCCACAACGCAAACTCTCATCATGCTGCTCGCCTGCAGCATCTCCGATGTAAAAACTTTCTGCCAGGTCTATAGCCACGCCATTGACCTCCGTGGCACCCGAGGTTCGGGATGTCTCCACAATACAAGAGACGTTCAAGAAGCTATGAGGAGAACCTTCGCGAGGTGCTCCCACATCCCAGTGTTTGGCTTGCAGTCCTTGTCGCGCTGTGTCGATGCAAGAACCTTCCAAGGGGAGCCACGAAACGGCTGCTGCGCGTCAGAGCCGTACATCGAGGGCCCAGCGAGGCAGGGCACTTCTAGCTTCTTCGCGAAGTCGTCCTCGGCACACACCGTGCGATGCTCGGGGAAAAAAGCGCCGGCTACAGACTTGCGTTTCCCAATGCTGGCGGGGCCATGAAGCGTGGCCGAGCGGGGCCAATGCTGGCTGCTTCTCAAGTTGTGCCAGGGTTCGACGTAGCCCTTGAAGGCTTCGGCTCTTTTCCCATCCAGAGCACTCCTCTGCCAGTCCCACCCACTCTGGGGAAGTCTGCGGTTCGCACTCCACCGATGCAGTTTTGCAGTCTCAGTCTCCTGATGTTGCCCTGGTTGGTGAAAATCACCAGCCTCTGCGAGCCGGACGGCCGCACACTCTGCAAACATCCTTCCCTGGCCTGTAGCCCTGGTCGTGCAACTCTGCGATTCTTCTCGGGACCCTGCACCCCAGCAAGGGACATGAGCAAACACAGAACAACAGCTAACAAAACCGGCACTGCTGTGGGCTTGTGCATGACAAGCTGCGCTTCGCTGTAGAAGATCCAATCGGACACCGTGACCTGATATCCTGGCAATCGCAGCGATCTTTCGGAAGCACCCACTATGCAGCACTCACGCTGTCCTGGTGCTCCTATCTTGCTGGAGACGAGAGTGTCGTTGAGGTCGAAGCCGGCAACCTCTCTGTGCGAAGATCGCCCGAACTACTGAAACACCGGGCAAGAGGATGCCACACCTTCGCAGTGGGCTTCGAAGCAGGATCCTGGCGAGCGCGTTTGGTTCAGCGAAGATGGCGTTTGATTCCATGACAGGTGTCTTGTTCTTGCGCAAGTTGACTTTCGCTGCGGATGCCGAGATGTCAGTCACCAGCTCGTGCCATGGCAGTTGCACTCTGCTTCGCGCCTCGCGAACGAGCAGCGACGGCGCGGCCTCGCGCCATGCCGGCCGCTTGGCCAAGCCGCAGAGCCCATCCATTAGCTCCGTGTGAGGAGGTCACAGCTGGTGCACAGGCTCCACGAATCATAAAAGCACCAGCGCTCGAAGTCCGCCTCGGCCAACCGGCGGCGCTTCGCTGGCGGCAATCCGGTGGTGTTGTCCACGGCTTCGCCAGCTGTGGTGCGGCACCCGGCGAGCATCACATGAGCACTTGGCGCGCGCGTGCGCGCGCGGCGGCCCATACATAAGGCGGAGGCCGATGATTTTCGGAGGTTGGGAAAGGTACCGGAAGGCTTCAAATTGGGCCCGCACGCGCGACATGATGCTGATGATGCTCACCGGGAGGCTTTAAAAGGGGGGCTTCCCCCCGCAGGGGGAGGGACGCAGGCTAAGGGGGGCAACGGGACGGGAGGGCGTGCGCACACGCCCTTCATCTTTCTTCCACGCTCCCTCATGGTTGAGAAGGTATGATGTCCCTGTTTGAATCGAGGTTCGTCCTCGTGCCCGCGTTGCCCGCCTCTGGCCTTCGCCCCTTCAATAAGATCTTCCATCAGCAAAAATATGACTAGCCTTTTCCACGTATTTTGCATCTGTTGGCAGTGCTCTCCGCCGAGGGCTTCTGCCCGACGAAAAGACTTTGGTGCGTATTCTCACGCATCTCACGCCTCTTCTCGCAAGCCTAACATGGCATCCCTGGGTTCTGCCCTCGAAACCACAAGTTTGAACACAGGGAAATCCCAATAGCCGTTTCTCACCGAACCCAGTTACCCATCTTGGCTTCTACACAAAACCTCATGCCGTCACAATTTCTTCGGACGGACGAGTCACAGGTACTTGAATTGTTGCACTGCCTGAATCATCCTCAGCAGGCCTCAATGACTCAAGGCAGCTCGGATCAAAAACACAAGAAGTCAGACTCGCTCTCGATGAGCAACAGCTCGCATGGCGCTGTGTGCCCGGCTGTGGCCTTCTCGAAGCTCTCCTGGAGGCGCTTGGCAGAGTCCTGCAGCAGTGACGACTCGTGCATGACGACTCGTGCGTGGTCCTTTGAAGGCTTTGCAAAAGGCACTGAAGGTCCTGCACAGCGCTGGTGTCCGGAAGCGTCAGGCCTCCGACCTCAAAGCGGTGGAGGAGCAGCTTCATGCTGCCCACGGCATACTTGGCCTGCTGCATGGTCTGCGCGGCCAATGCGGAATCACAGCCTTCGGATTTAACAAAGGTCTGGAAAACATCGCCGTCCACGACGACGGAGGCCAACTCTCCCAACAAACGGCTCGACTCGCGCCATGCCGCCCTCAGTTTGCTGTGGCCCCGGTCCCGGGCGACCAGGCTGGCGGCGTAGGATTGCTGCACTTCATGCAGACTCGAAGCACAATGCTCATAGGAGGCCATTGTAGCCAAAGATGTCTCCAGGGCCGCCACCTGCACGGTCGCCGTCTCCATGTACTCGTCCAACTTACCTCGGAGCTCCCACCAAATGCGATCCACGGTGAAGAGCGCGGCGTGCTGCTCCTGAAGAAGGACCTCCTGGCGCCACGTCTGCACTTTCTTTCGTGTGATGTTGCTATGGTCTCTGTACATCCCGAGCACTTGCATCTGTCTTTTTGCCAGCTGGTGCATCCTGCCAGCGTCCCTTCGGAACTGGGCACCCAGCATGGCGAGCCTGGATGCGCCGGGGCCGGAGGCGCTGCGCAGCGTCCCCCGCAGATCCGCCAGGCTTTGCAGAACGCCGCTTGCCACTCGGCTGGCGTTCGTTTGGAAGGAGCTCGCCGAGCCCGTCGCCGCGCTCGGGCCCGCGTCGCCTGCGTCGGCTGCCAGGAAGCGCTCCAGGGCATCCTTCGCGGTCGCACGGGACAAGACATTGAAGGACGCAGCCTGAGCAAAGCCAGCGATCTCCAAGAGCATCTCCCCGCTGGCCTGCTTGGCTTCAAGGAGGGTCGTTCCGTCTACGGAGTCTTGAAGATGTTGAATCTGCAGGCTGAGTCGTTCATCAGTCGTGTCGATCTTCTCAGCGAGCCATCCGGTCTCGGCTCTATTTGACAGCACGCTCCATTCGGCCAGCTTCTTCATGTTGCCATTGGTGACATCCGTGGCGGCTTTCAAGTTCCGGATGATGGTGCGGTCGCCTCGAATGACGGCATCCCGAACGCAATGAATGTCGCAGAAGAGCCGGTCGACCTCGGCTGTCGATAAATCCGGCGTACTCTGCAAAATGCCTACAGCCTGAAAAACCACAGACCCTGGCAGACTGGCGACCTCCGCTTGCATGGGATCACAGTCGTTGAAATCCTCCTCCTCTATGTTGAACAGGCCACCGCTGTAGCCCGCGGATGCGATGTTGCTCGCACCTGCAGCTGCACCTCCGGCCGCCGCCAGTGCCGTCAGCGCTTTTGCGGCCTGAGCCTCGCTGATCCTCTTGGTCACTTTCTTCGCAGCGGTTGCCGCGGCCTCGGACACGTACAGTCACCGCGGGTGTGCCGGGCATGCGACGGCTACGACTTCTAGAAGGGGAAACAACAGATGTGCATGGGTCTGAAAGACGGGCCCTATAAACAAATAGATAAAGAAAGCAATAAATACATGTATACATACATATGTATATATATATATATATGTATGCATGTATGTATGTATATACTGTATATAGATAGAAACTTGAAATTTGCCTGTTTGTGCGGGCCCGGCCTTGGCAGCCCCCCCAGCCTCAAACTCTGCACCAACTCCAACGGGCGCTGCTATCATGTTAGGGATGACCGCAGTGGCCACATCGATTCCCGTCTGCACGGTGTCGAAAAACTTCTCAAGATTTGCCTGCGACAGCTCCAGCAGTGCGGTTTTGAGTCCCCGGTTGATGACCCGGGCTGCGCAGCCGTCGAGGTCGACATAGCTCAGGTATGGGCCGACGTCACTGCCGTCCCCACCGCCTGCTTCACCCGAAACCCCCGTGACTTTGCTGGCAACGGTACAGGGATGGTCGTCGAGCTTGCCCGGCTGATCTTCAGCCTCCGTGGGCAGCTTGTTTTCGTGAGTTTCCGGAGCATCCGCAGAAATCTCGGTGTAGGTTTCCGTGATCTTTTCCCAGAGCTCGCCGTAGTCCATACATTCCTTGGAGTACAGTGGCTGCTGGGGCACAAAGCCTTCGATGTCAGGCTGCTTCGGCGCCGTAGGGCGCTTGGGGTTCTTGATCGATCTCGGCTTGGTAAGCTTGGCTTTAGCTTCCTCCCGTGCCGGCCCAGTGCCGATTAGGTCCTGCACTGCCACAGCATCCCAGCTGTTACCAGAAAGCCCGATCGGGAGCAAGCTGTCTTCCAGATCCACTTGCACGCAGTCCTGGCCCAGGCACCATCGGCCCTCCCCGAGGTGGAAGGAAAGCATCTGGAGCGGCACCGGCTCTTGAGCGCAGTAGCACAGAGGACGCTGCCGATCTGGAAACTGCACCCCTTGGCACGTCGGGTTTCCTGTTTGGCTCCAAAAACTGCAAGCCAGTCCATCAGGCTCAAGAAGCGGAACTGAATTGGAGTCCGTTGAAGTTGAAGCGCACCGGATGCCTATGTCTTTCATCACTTTCTCTACCTGCGTCCCTGAGTTCACAAGAGCTATCTTGCTTGGTTTGCACTGCAAGCCGGCATCCCCGCAGGTGTCGTCGCAGCTCCAGTGTAAAGGAGCTAAAATCCATCCCTCAGAGCGCACCTGCTTCTGGTACCGCAAACGGCCAGCGTCCCAGGCGACAGGGCAGTACAGCCCATCCGTATCTTCTCTGGGCCGGAGCGCGCCTCGGTTCAGCACGGCCACGGGCGCGCCAGCTGCTTGGCAACAAGTGTACCGGAACCGCGCCCATCTCCCACCTTGGGCAGAACATTGCATGGCTAAAGTGTCTATGTCTAGAACGGAATCTAGAAGTTTGAAAACGCGCCTACAACTAACTTCTATTCTGGGGACTTCACAGAGCTTGGAGCCGAGGGTGTTAAGAGCCCGTGCCCGCGCCTTCGCTGAACTCGAACTCGAAGCCGCTGAAAAGGGAGTCCGCAGGGCATTCCAGCACCACAGGGCCCAGCACCGACTGGATGCTCCAGTCTTCCACGTGCCGCTGCGGCGGGAACTGCTCGGTGCAAACGCCTAGTCCAGACACACGGCCGCAAGTGTACTGCAGACTCTGAGTCGAGCCGGCTTCCCCGGTCACCGTCATGGACGTGATTGCTTGGCCAAGACCACATGCCACGGGTGTATCTGCCAGCCTGGCCGCCCAAGATTCAGTGTCTCCCAGATCAACGGTACCTGCAAACGTCCACGTGAGTTGGCTTTCTACCCACTCTAAGTTACACGAACTCCTCCAGACGGCCCCAGTGGGCGGCAGTGCGCCGTCATCCACCACAAAGGCCGTGGATGAACAGCCTCGTCCATCTAGGTCAGAGCTCTTGGAAGTAGATGGTCGAAATCCGGTGAACCTCCATGATGGAGCTGCGCCGGGTTCGCATGCTGGGTCGTGGAAGAGAAAAGTATTACTACCCTCCCGCTTGTAGTAGGGTCTGCCGGGCTGGGTGAGGCCCTGGAAGATGTATTTGCCATTCACAACGGAGCGGCAGGAGCCCTCTACCGTCACAAAGGGGCTAATCTCCTCACTGACCGGGGCAAAGTGGCACACGGCCACGCGCGCCCCAGTCCACCCGAAGAGCTGCCTCATCGGGATGCGCCCGACTGCCCCGCTGCCCACGCAACTTAGGCTTTGCTCGGGGCCCCCAGACGCCCCATCCAGGCTGGTGGCATGTTGGATGCTGTAAAGGCGCCAAACCATTGCCCCCAAATCCGCCATGGCCTCACTGTAGCAGACACGCAAAAAACGCTAATCGACCATAACAAGTCACAGCTCAAGCAGAGTCTGCCGCTAAGGCTGCAGCAATCTGCTGTGCGGGCGTCCCGGCATTGCAAGCGCGGAGCTCCGGTATGGCCAGGTCGTTCCTCGTGGTCTGCTCAAGGCAAAATCCAGGCCTCTCTAGGCTCTGCACCTGGCTTCTGCCAGAGCCAAGACTGGTTGACTCGACTCGAACGGTCGCAGTGCAGGAGCGCACCCGGCAGTAGCAGAGAGGTTCTTGGGGGCTGTTGAACGCGTTGTCGCCGCAACTGGGGAGAACCCCGGGATTCTCCCAGTAGTAGCATCTGCCAGCGTAGTCTACAAACGGTACCCCAGCATAGTCCCTTGGACCACCGCCTGGTTCGCATTTAAGACCCAAGGTCTGCAGCGCGGCATTGAAGTTCTCGGCGGAGTCGATCTTTGCCATCTCCTCCGGCATGCATTCGCCCACGCCGGGTTCATCTTGGCAGGCGCTGTTGCAGGATTGGCTTTTCGCACCGAGGACCCATCGTCCCTTCCGTGGCTCAAACTCGCTCCCTCGGGACTCCAAACAGTTAATCTCCGAACGGCCAGGGCTTGCAATCTCTGTGAACAAAGCCATGTGATGTCGGCCTACAAACCACAGTTCCTGCATGTTCTTCCTTGCGACCTGCTTGTAGCCCGAGAAGCCGATCTGCAGGCACGCATGGCAGCCAAAGTCTCCCAAGTTAGGTTTGGAAAAGCTGTCGAGCCACTGTCCATTCATGCAGATGAGGGTGTTCTTGGAAGAAGAGGAGGACGTTGTGCTTCTCCAGGCGGCTGAGTAGCGCTCGTGCCAGCAAGAGGCCTCGAGCCGCCGTCCATGTGCAAAGCTTCGAGGCAGCTGATGCTTGTGCGCCCACTCGTGAGACCTTGGGTCCCGGTAGGTGGGCCGCGAGCAGGACTCAATCTGGCCACCGAGCAGTAGCATGAGGTCACACTGCAAGTGAAGATCCTTGTACCTGAACTCCAAAGAGTCGGATGCCATCGATGTTGTGGGGTCCAAGTAGGCGCGGCGAAGAGTTGAGGCAAAGCAGGCCTCGGGATCGGCCACATGGCAGCTCTCCTCACTTGGCAGCGCCACCAGCTGTCCCTCAAGACCAAACTCCGTGACAAGGTAAGGACATGAACCGTAGAGCCTGCAGGTCATCGCGCCATGCTGCAAGCCATGCCAGAAAAATGTGCAAGGCTGCGACGGGCCCCATGCCTTGCAGCGAGATTCACAGTCGGCACTCTCCATGCTCTCCGTTTGCGTTTGGAAGTGGACAACGAGTAGCTGCTCCCCAGGGCAAACTAGATCACCTGTGGTGAGAGCCAGAGGCCGGGGGAGGAATATGTTGCCGCTTCCGCTCGGCACCGAGTCCAAAGCCTCCTCGCTCACAGGTGCCCCGTCCCAACCATCGGGTATACAGTCACAAGGGTGCAGAAAGTAGTCTGCAGCTTCCTCTGTGCCTGGGTCATCGAAGACCAGAGCGCTGTCCTTATCCGTGTCCGTGAGATTGATGGGCCTAGAGCATGGCAAGGCTGCCAAGCTGATGTGAGTGCTGGACACCTCCAGACTGACGCCTTTGTCCATCTTGAACCTTTCGCCGCAATACATTATCCAAATTCCATCCTCTCTCGGCAGCGCCTCATCGGAATCCGAATATCCGAAAGAAGTGCATCCTTTTCCATCTGACCTTAGGCTAGAGCTTCTGGAGGTGGATGGTGGAACGGCGCCGATTATCCACCGCGGCGACTTCCCTGACTTGCACTTTGGGTCGTGGAAGAGCCATTTGCTGCCTCCGTTTTGCTTGTAGTAGGGTCTGCCGGGCTGGGTGAGGCCCTGGAAGATGTACTCGCCATTCATCCTGGATTCGCAGGAGCCCTCTACCGTCACGAAGCGCACTCCAGAGCTGCACGCCAGCACCTCTCCATGCAATTCTGAAGAGCCGGAAGAGAGTGTATCGATGTAGTCCTTAGTCGGATCAACTTTGCGAAAGATCCAGTCGCCGACAGAGCAACCATCCAGCGCGCCATCGGAGTTGTGGTGGTACTTGGCCAGGTGGAGCGTCTCCTCCGGTGTCGGGCCATCCTTGCGGTACAATACACCCCGAAAAACGTCCGTGCCGGCCGGACAGTAGAGCCCGGACATGTGCCAGGCTGCTCCCGACACCTCCATGCAAGTCGACTCTGCTGCACAGCCCGGGATCTTGCCAACGACAGTCATTCCTGAACCCGCTTCGTGTTGCCAATGAAACTTGCATCCATCTCCTTCGGTCCACGAGTAGAAGGCACAATTCCCTCGGGCTCGGCACGTCGCTCGGCAGTCGACTTCCGTCACCTGGCAGTGGCAAAAGCCACCGAAACATTCGCTACAGAGACGAATATGTCGCAAGATCACCCTAAACCCCAAAACACGCGGGGTCTTTGTCCATCAAGTGCCTTGCCTGATTTCTTGGTGGGGTAGCTGTCGCAACAGGGTATTTACAGGTTGTGCCGGCTGGGATGGTCACCGTGACGAGGTCCTCGATCCACACATAACTGCTGCCGCGAACGGCTTCGTACTTGAACCAGATGACGTTGTCGTTGCCACTGTCCCACCTACAAATGAAACCTGGTGTGTAGGGAGCCTCGGGGTCGTATGTGCTAAAGCCGGTGTTAGTCATGTCCGGTCGCAGCTGGGCATCTTGTGGCATCCCGGCTCTGACATATCTGGAGCGTGTCTCAGGACCCAGAACCACGTCATGCTTGAAGGTTACGGTGACGACCTGATCCTCCAGCTGGTACGTGTGTCCGGCTCCGTTCTGGACGGGCACTTGGGAAGTCGTCAAGACGAATGGCTTGGCTGCCCCCTCCTGCACACAGAAGTTATGGGCGACGGCCTACTTTGTGCACCACATGTAGCAGGTTCAATTGCAACACAAGACTCTGAGGCGCCTCTGGATCGTAGGACCGGAAGGTGGACGCCTTCTCGACCCAACAGACATCGTCCAAAATCTCGATGGTGAGATCGGTCACTATCGGCTCGATTGATGTCAAGACAAAGCCACCCCATACCTTGCAGGCCAGATGAATGGTAGTTCTCGACGCGCTGGTGGTGCTCATTGCATCGAATGTCCCAGACAATCGGGTGTCCGGGGAGATGGCGATCGAGCCATCTGGTGCTACTTCCAGCACTGGGTGACCTTCCAGGATGCCCACGCTCAGGAGGGTATCAAAATGGTACTGCAGCACCTCTGAAGGGTCATCTCGGTTTGCTGCGGAGCAAGCGACATGAAAGACCGTCGGAGCCAGCAGCCCTTGTGCCGCGGGGGCTTCTAGCTCAATCAAGGGAAGCGGCTGTCCGACTGTCACGGACACGGACGACACCTTGTAAGTTAGAGAACTCCAAGGCTCTGGAGCCAGGGCAAGTAGAGCGGCCTTCTTCTGCTCGATCGGCACCTCCTGCCAAGTACATTTGGTAGCTGGTAGCAATGCTTCTGTGCTGTCTGACGCTTATTGAACTCATGTCAGAGGCTTCGTCACTTGCCTTCTGCCAAGCCGTGACCACGCAGGACGCGCCCCTCTGGTTGGTCATGGAGGGAGCCTCCGTCTGCCAAAGCAGTCGTAGCTGTGTACGACTACCAAACAAAATGGGCAACCTGCCGCAGTGTGGCTAGTTATATACGGTCTTCCACACAACTGCGCCAGATGATTTGATATGGTTTGAAGCAGAGACTGACCGGAAAACCACCTTATACTTCATCTATGTGTGAAGAAAAGCTGGTGGGACGCACCTGCATGTCAACGGAAGCGACTGACGAGCCGCCGCTCAGGCTCGTCAGGATGCCTGATGTCCTGTCCACCTTTCGCAGGCTCAAGGAATGGTCTAGCTATTAGCGACAGAGCGCATCAGAGCACAAGCGCATATTGCTGCACTTGAAGGGGCATGGACGCATGTGCAAGTTGCGCAAGCATCATCAAGCAACGATAACAATGACATCTGCAAAGCGGAAACTGTACATGAGTGCAGAATCCCAACCGCTGATAACCCTTGCGAGTTGCAGGATTTCGGACACCATTGTTCAAGCGCAAGGCGCTCGGCAAAGCCCGAAGCAACAAATCTGTTGTGCCTTGCATCCTTGACAGGTTAAGAACAAGGAGATAACATGTCCTCAGCACGTGCAGGGAGAAACTAATGGAACAAGTGGAACACGACGCTGGTGGGTGTTAGGTTTGGTACTTGGTGTGCTTCTCGATTTTGCTGCGGTGGGGTTTTCTTATGAAATCTCTAGAGACTGCCCTAAGGTGGACTCCGCATTCAAGGAGAAGAATGCAACTGTTGCCAAATTGGACTCCAATGGTTGTCCGGAGGAATGGCCTCCCCTTGCGAGACGACACTAGCATGACTCACTACTTAAATCATGCTTTTTGATCTGTGTTTTCTGTTTCTTGCTTGAACTTCGAGGCATGGAGAGGTGCGGGAAGCCGGGCCGTTCAAAGAAGCCTTGGCCGAAACACCGAGCGGTCCCCATGGATTCGAGGGGTATTGTCACTATCCTTTGCGTCTCTAAAAGGCGTGTGGGGCAACGCTACTGCCAGCAAGCTCGGCCCGTGTGGCTTGACCTTGCAATCAATGGCATGACCAAAGGTTTCAGAGATGCACTTGTTCCAGTGTCGGTAAAACGAAGACGATCTCCTGCGCATTCAGTTTTTCGCTCAATTTGGCACGTTCTGTAAACTCTTACTGAACATAGCTCGAATTTGACAATAGGGTGCCCTGCTGACCCCAACAAGCCTGGAGCCAGTCGATTGCTGGAGCGCATGTCAGCTCGAAGTCTTCCCACGGTGCCTATGTGCAAACAAAACTGCAGTTGACAGCTTCTTTCTGGCTTGAAATGTTATGAAACATGTTAATTGCAGAGTTGACCGGATAAACCCCACTTAACGCACCAGGAATTCCCCAGGACGAGACCCTTTACAGAGCTGTGCTTACGTTCAGACATGTCTCTAGCGGCCCACCTCGTCGGGCTGCCTTTGTTGTAAGACGACCTGGGCGTTGGAGCCAGCCGGGTATTGGCAGGTTGTGCCAGCAGGGATGGTCACCGTGACGGACGTATGGATCCACACATTGCTGCCGAACTGGTCCCACTTGAACCAGATGACGTTGTTGTTGCCACTGTCCCACCTACAAATGAAACCTGGTTTGTATTGGGCCGCGCCGTCGTAAGTGTAGAAGTCGGTCCTTGCCATGTGCGGTTCCAACTCGACATCTTGTGGCATCCTGGCTCTGACCCTGGACGAAGTGCTCGGACCCAGAACCACGTCATGCTTGAAGGTTACGGTGACCACCTGATCCTCCAGCTGGTACGTGTGTCCGGCCCCGTTCTGGACTTGCACTTGGGAAGTCGTCAAGATGAATGGCTTCGGGGCCTTGGTGGTGGTGGTGGTGGCGGTGGTGGTGGTGGCGGTGGTGGTGGTGGTGGTCGTGGTGGTGGTGATCGGAGGAATGGGTGCGTAAGACTCGGACACCTCACTGGGAAACCAGAGCAGGGGAGCGCCGTAGGTGAAGTCGGTCATGGAGATGCGCAGCACGGTGCTGTAGGCTTCGGCTCCGCTCTGGTGGGCCGTCACGGTGCACTCGAGGTCGAAGACCTCGGCCGGCGGAAGGCGATCTGCGGCCACGGAGACGATGCCTGTGCTGGCGTCCAGGGTCAGGTTGTGAGCCGCAAGCTCGCAGCCCTCATCCAGCGAGTAGCGGTCCGCGGTCCGCGGCAATGGGGCCAGGCGCACATCACTCCCCAACACCCATTGCTTGACGTCGTACGAAAAGGGTGTCGGTGTTAGGTGCCCGCCACCGCAATGACAACAAGCTTCGTTGCTGCTCTGGCCACGGACCTTCTGCGCGTTGCAGCCACTTCCTTGAAGTTGCGCACAAGTACTTCCATCCAAGCTAGCCCAGCCGGCCGAGTCGGCGCAGGACACGCAGGTGGACCCACGCTTGATGAATCCCCCGGCACACTCTTCGCAAGTGCGCTCGTCCGCAGACTTGGCGCAGCCGGCGCAGGCTGTGCTGCTGCGCAAGCAACAGGTGCGCTCGACCCGTGTTGCATCGGCCGGATACTTTATGAGCACCAAGTAGTCGGGACCACAAGTCTGCTGGACCGCTCTGGCGATTGCACGGGTGCGGGCACTGTGCTTGCGCTCCTTTGCGACCTGTCTAGCGACCTCTCGCCTCGCCGGCCTGGCGCTGACTGCTCAGAATCTGCAATGATTTTAAAAACGTTGCGCACGAAAACGCACATGCTTTCACTAGAGCCGCGTACAATACAGCGCAGTGACAGAATTCACATGTTCGGTGTCCCTCTCTTTGCAGCACCCGCCAAAATCCCCTCATGCCATCAAGTTCCTCGCCCAGTTCGACAGAAACTGGCAACCCGCTGGGCCCCTCATTCTGCAACATGCAACAGGGGCCCCTTTCGGTGTGTTCCCCGCGCCTCGCACAGCCTTGGAACAAAGACTGCGTCTCGGAACGGAAGCCAGGACGCACAGGGCTGACAGGGCCCACAGACTCACTGCCCTGGCCGTTCAGACTCCGTGCCTGTCAGACAAAGCAGAATTGCAGGATTCGCTGATATTGGTGGTGCACGCCGATTCTAGGATAGGGTGAATGGTCAGTCTTTTATGTTGGACTCTAGCAGACAGAGCAAGATGCTATATATGATCGCAAAAGATTGATGAAGAACTGCCGACAGTAACATTACATATTGCCAGGAGCTTCGTTCACTTAGGTGCCATGTTGTACAATTGAGTGCGGTCTGATGACTGTCAATCACATGTTTCCATCCAAACGCGGAGTGTCAACTTGCAGACGGATTTACGGCAGAATGTAGCGAAATCTCCAACCTCCGTCATCTTGTCCATCTTCTCTTCAATCATCTCCAGGCGCTCCTCATTACGCTGTTCGATCATCTCAAGCCGCTCCTCGGTATGCGACACAAACCAGACAGAAGGAGTGTCCAATGAACAGAGCTCTGCCTCAGCCTGACCTCCATGAGTGCATTTGCAAAAGCGTTGCCAAGGTTCCAGGGCTTGTGCCAGAGTCGGAGAGTGCTGCAGCCTCAGAGCGGATGCAAGGGCTCTTTCATTCGCCCTCAGCTCCCTCTGATGGCCTGAACTCACTTATTGGGTTATAATGGGCTTGGTTTTTGCTGCTGATTTTTCCCCGTTTGTTTTCAGATGTTTGTTTGCATTTCCCTTGTTGGGCCAGGGGCAGGGGCACGCGGTAACAGGAGCAGGTAGTAGTAGGTAGTAGTAGGTAGTAGTAGGTAGTAGTAGGTCGTAGGGGGGAGTAGTAGGTAGTAGTAGGTAGTAGTAGGTAGTAGTAGGTAGTAGTAGGTAGTAGTAGGTGGTAGTAGGTGGTAGTAGGTGGTAGTAATAGTAGTAGTAGTAGTAGTAGTAGTAGTAGTAGTAGTAGTAGTAGCAGTGGTAGTGGTAGGGGTAGTGGTAGTGGTAGTAGAAGTAGTGGTGGTAGTAGTAGTAGTAGTAGTACTAGTAGTAGTAGTAGTAGTACTAGTAGTACTAGTAGTAGTAGTAGTAGTAGTAGTAGTAGTAGTAGTAGTAGTAGTAGTAGTAGTAGTAGTAGTAGTAGTTAAAGTCGTCGTCGTCGTCGTGGTAGTAATAATAATAGTAGTAGGTAGTAGGTAGTAGGTAGCAGGTAGCAGGTAGTAGGTAGTAGGTAGTAGCTTGCTTGCTTGCTTGCGTGTTTGCTTGCTTGCCTGCTTGCCCGCTTGCATGCTTGCTTGCTCGCTGGCTTGCCGGCTTGCTTGCTTGCTGGCTGGCTTGCGTGCGACTCGGCCGAAAAAAATTAGAAAACAACTGAAAAAAAACAAGCAAAACATACCGCCACCAACATTATAATTGGGTTGCCTCGCAGATCTTCGAAGCCAAGGCGCAGCACGTCTTCATCACAAGATTCCTCGCGGGAATGGTTGTCAAGTATGGCGCCACATACCAAGCACCTGGAGCTTGAAATCGGTCCCCAAAAAGTCCCCATTGATTCCGCAATCCTTTCGGAAACGGCAGTGGTATGCTTAAGACATTTGCAGCTTGGAACTGCTGAGCCCCAGCTCCAAACTAGCAAATCAAACCGCGGCACACGAAAGAAAGCAACACCCAGGTGGCTATGCCAGCACGTCGGCTGGTCATCCAGGCCGCTAGCTACTGGTCATTCGTCACTGAACGGCAGCTTGGGACAATTAAAGTGCGGATCGCCACGTGCCTTCAAGTTGCCGACGTGGGACAGTTGCAGTTCAGCTGTTTTGCTGCGCTAGAAGGGAATTCTTGCAGCCAGGTTCTCAAGTATACTGAAGCTCTCCTCGAACCCTCCACCAGCTCCCGCAACAAAAGCCTTGAACCACAATGATAGTTGTTGCTTGATATGTTTTTTCGGCCTCGTGCTTTGCTTGGTGGGAACTTTCAAAGTGCGGCATCAGACTGCATCGGAGTTGGGCCAGTGGCACTCAGCACACAGGCTTGCAATCCCTCAACATCCTTTTGCATCCCTCTAGTGCATCTGCGGCATCTTTGTGCCCTCCATCGCTGAGATCTTCTGCTCAGTAAGAGACAACCCGAACTTCGAGCCGCATATTCTGACGGCTGAAGTTCATTTGCTTTGCTGACCTCCTGCGACCCTCGCGGCTACGATGATACAAGTCATGCGTAAGTTTATCTGATGGGATGTGAATGCTGTGGGCTTTCTCCATGGAGACACATAGAAATACTGTTTGTGTAGCAACACAGGGCTTCGTCAGAGCTGATGCGGGAAGCGCAATTTCCAAAACCGAGCCCACCCGACGGTTCTGGGCTTTGTCAGCTTGATCGACCGATGTGCAAGATCTCACACTAAATCTGCATGGCGGCCGAGGCAGGAGTGGTTGTTGCAGACGTTGAATTTGGTGGCGACACCTTCAATGGTGCTTTACTCCGTATCCATGAAGCTACATGTACTACTACAGGCGACAACAGGGGCAATCTTGCATGTACACAGTCTTGCACGAACACAACTAGCAGTAACTATTTCGTTCTAGCGGCGCGGAAAGAACGTTCCTAAATACCTACATGTGTCCATCCCGTTTTAAAGCGTCGTTGTCGTGTACTCAACCTGTTGAAACAACTTGAGGGTCGCATGCCCAGCAAACGACAGCACTTGCGTAGACTTGAACTGCTCGAGACACCCAAGGGTCGCTAAACGCCCAAACTGCTCCCATGGCTCTGCTTTCATCTGGGGATGGCTTCAACATGTACCGTACGGGTTGGGTAAATTGGGGTATGGGTATCGGTAGGCCACCTGCTCCCAACCAAATTTTGAGCTCTGCAAAGCCTTGCTGAGAGGCCCAAGCCCAGAACGCATACCCAACGTCAACAGTTGAAGGTATCGATCAGGGTATCTGTAATCAGGTCCACACACAGACGCTTCCTATCTGCGCAAATTCAACTCAAAACCATTGCGCACACTCTAAAGTCCCGCTTTTTCTGGCTATGCAAGTGGGCCCACTTCGAGAGGTAATGGCCGTCACAAGTCGGATGCTTTAGCGAAGGCTGCGTAGTGCTTAAGTTGCACCACATACACATCTTTACGAGCCTTCGCCCGCATCTCTATCGACGTCTACGGCCAGGCCTTGTATGTCATCCTCGAAGTCATCCGAGGGCCATACACGAGCGGCCAAAAGCTGACTCTCTAGGGCCTCCTTTTGACGCCTCAGCCTTTGTTGTTTCCTCGCGGACACGAACTGCTGGTTGAATCTCACTATCCAACCCTTGCGACTGTGGTAGAGGGCTGCCACCTTGAACGCTTCCGAGGTGGCTTTCGTCAGGCAGTCTGCCAAGTTCATGTCGCTAGGCACCCAGGTGAGGTAGCAGCGTCCATCGTCACGAACACCTTTCTGCACCGCCATGGCTTCCACTCCTGTGCGAGCATTTGACATGCCCAGCAAGGGCGAGTCAGATGCCGTGATGGCATCATAGACGCCTCTCGAATCAGTAACCAACAGGCTTTCTGTCTTCGAGGCAAGCTCCTTGCTGTTCTTGCGCGTCAGTCGCTCACCGTTGATCAGTGCCCAGAACAGGCGACACTTCCAACCACGATCCTCAGTCTCGTAAAGCGCCTGAGTCTCGGAGCTGTTAGTTCCTTTGGAGGGTCGGTCTAGTCGCCAGCTGCGCCAGTCCACCACCGACATCTTTGCCTCCTTGCCCTCCAAGATCACGGGGTCGGCAAAGGTGGAGATGTATCCTCCCGTAGAGGCTCCGTCCGGTCGGTTGTTGTGGCCAGCGTCGCCAAAGTGCACTGCGATTAGCTGGTGCCATTCCAAGGGAACATCCCGACCAGCATTGAAAGCATGAAAGATCAGGTCCTCCTTGGCGGTCTTCCTCAGTTCACGCATAATACTGTTAGCCTCCTTGAGGCTACCAACAGTAGCCTGGTTCACGTTGGAGGCTGCCAGACCAATCCGAGTCTGGTACTGAAAGCCAGTTTGTACTGAGCGCCACTGGGCCTTCATGATCAGGCCTCTGTACTGCGACTTCTCCTTGTCCGTGAGGGGGTCGGCATCGTTGCGGGTCTTCTCGCCCACAATCTCAATCGGTCGCAGGCTGTTGCAGAACGCCTCTTGAGTCACCCGGATCTCGTGGTTCTTCATCTGGCTCAGTTCCAAGCCAGCGAAAGTGAAGGATCCCTTCTTCCAGGGTGACCATTGATAGAGCTGCCGGATGCGCTCTCGAATCTCCATCCACTCCTGGCTGCGGTGATCTCCACAGATCAGGAAATCATCAACGTGCACGCCAATGCGGCCTATGATGCGGCCATCTTTGCCGCGGAAGGTCCAGATGCAGCGGTCCACCTCGTGGGGAACGCCTCCTAGTTGCCGAAGCTTGGCGTCCACATCCAGCCAAAAGATCCGCGGGGCATTGGTCAAGCCGTAGATCGCCCCGATCACCTTCATAATCGCTCCCGGTTCTAGGCCGAGTGCTCGGGCCAGCTCTGGCGTGCCCTTTGTGTACAGAGGCTCGGTGCCGATGCCTCCGTCGGCCTGCAAGAATGCCGACCTAGCGTCAGCACACTCCATGGTGTGCCCATCAAAGGCTGTGGCTTGTAGCAGCATGTGCCTTCCCAGCCGCGACAATGTCGGTGATGCAGTCAAAAGCTCAGGCAGTCCTGTTCGAGGGTTGCGCCGTGCAAGGTCCGGGTGCTTGTATCCGATCAACACCACCCGGGCTTTGGCCTTCTCCTTGCCGTCCGCGCGAGCCACCTCGTTCGTCGTTCCCTGTGGCGGAGTGCCATCGGGGACCGGTTTCCAAGTCAGGATCCACCTCATCGGAATCAATCTGTCCTTGACCTGCTCTTCCGTGAGGCCTTCTGAGGCTGCCTGTAAAGCTTGAGAACGGACTACCTCCGACACTTCCCGGGCCATGGCCTCGTCCATGCGCTTGCGGTCTGCTTCCCCGAGCTTGCGGTAGTTCACCTCCTTGGCCGCCGTCGAGCTCGTCAGCTTTTGCTTCGTGTATGTGGGGCCCGCCGCCACAAAGGCCGATAAGTCATCAATGTCGAACTCCACGGTCATCGCGTACTCCTGCTTGGCGCACGCCTGGCGGATGGCCTTCATAAGCTGACGCTCCTCAGTGCGAATCTTATGCATCTCTAGCCGCAGGGCATTGACAGAAACCTCCTGGTACGTCTGGGACTCAAGCTGCTCGATGCGCTCCTTGACCTTAAGGTAGATCTCCTCCGTGATGACCGGTTCGGTATCCAGACGATCCATCTGAAAAATCTCCGGACCAGTGTGACCAGACTCCTTTGGGATCTCTGTGGCCGTTTCCTTTGGGATCTCTGTGGTCGTTTCCTTCGGGATCTCCGCGGTCGTTTCCTCCGGGTTCTCCTCGGTGGCTAGCGCCGCGGTTTCCTTCCGGCCGGTGTCCTTCTTTGCGACCTTCGGGTTCTTCCGCTTGGGGTCTGGCGGCGGCGTGCCTTCCTTGCGCTTGGTGCTCAACACGTCGACGCCCTCGGCAAGCTCAAACCTTGTGCTGCCGCGCCATCGGTCTGCAAAGTCTCTGGCAGCGTTTCCCCGCTTGAAGATAGAGTCTATGAAGCTGCCCTTGTCACCGTCCGGGTCCTCCCATAGGGTTACCCTCTTTCCAGTGAGCTGCTCCTTTGTCACCGGACAGCTTGGCAAAGAGGTCGGCACAAACATAGTTCGGCGCCAAGTGGTATGATGGCGGATCAGGAGGCGGTTCTCCTGGTCCAGTTCCCAAGTGTCGGAGATCTCGATTTCCTCGATGTCCTTGGGCATTCGCTTAAGTGGCGGCAGTCCTTCGAGCCGCCGGTTTGCATTCACGGTTTCCAAGGTTCGCCATCGTTCCACGGCTTCCTTGACGGCCACACTTGAGGATGCCACCGCGCCGGTTGGCGATCGGCTTCTCGAGGGTTTGCGGCCTCGAGCCTGTGCTCGGTTCTCCAGTCGTCCCTGCCACTGGTCTGCTGCTTGGTCCAGTCCCGACTCCCAATCTTCAGCACTCTGGGCTCGCCCTAGGCTTCGTGTTGGTGGTGGCGCTCCATCAGCCCACGGTGCTTCCGGCAGATCCCCCGTGGTGTCCATGGGCTTCTCGCCGGTCACGTCCACGAACTTCTTCAGGTTCTTCATCAGCTCGTGCACGGGCTTGGTCACCACCTTGCCTTTTGCCAGCAGCTCGGTGATCACCTCCTGCTCGCTGGCCAGTCGCAGCTGCTCCGGGGCACATCGCCGCAGCCTCGTGCCCATCAGAACCCATATCACAGAAACTCGGCCGTCTGGCTGCACAGAGGGTTCCAGGAGTGCCACCCGACCTGGCCCGATGAACCGGGCTTCTGGGTTCACGGTCGTCTCTTCGGATCGGGCACGACGAGCCTTCAAGGTGGCGTCTCTCCAAACACACACCCAGTCACCGAGCTGGAAGTCGACGACCGGCCTTGGTGCCGCATTGTGGAGGCGGGTGAAGGCTTCTCTCGCCAGCTCCTGTCGGTGGATCTCCCCGGCTTTGTGCCTCCATCTCTCCATGTGCCAAAACTCGGCAGGCTTGGAACCGGCGGCCTTGTTCATCTCGAGCGGGTCCACCTCGCGGTTCCAGGCGGCCGGGTTGGAACCATAGGCCCATTGCACTGGACTGAAGCCCTTCACGGTCTCCATGTTGTTCTGCGCGCTGGCTGCCAGATGCCCACAAAGTCGGGGAGGCATCTCCGAATCTTCCTGGCGTAGCCTGCGCATGGATTTCTTCATGGACTTGACCGCGCTCTCGACTCCTCCATTCATCCAGTGAGCTTCCCCGGGCGTCACGGCCAGGCCAATTCCTACCCATTGGCAGAATTCAGCAAAGACGCCCTTGGACAGAGAAGACTGGGGATCCACCATGATCCATTCCGGCCGGGGCCGACGCAAAAGCCAGGTGGAGCTGAAGGCATTCACAAGCTTCTCACCTGAATCGGAGCCGGTCTCGTTCATAGCGCCTTCCCAAAGGAGTTCTATACAAGCGAACCTCATCACCAAGTCGATCATGAGGAGGTAGCGGGCCTTCCGCTTCTGCTGGGGAAACACCAGCTCCATCACGTCCATTCCCAGCATCTGCCAAGGCTGAGGTCGCGTGCCCAAAGAGTACGGCACAATCAGTTGGTTGCCGCGTTGGGTGTCCAAGCAAGCCTGGCAGCTTAAGTTCAGCGCCTGGTTCACCACCCATCGGGGCATTCCGCGGTCCCGGCACATCCTGGCCAGAGCTCGGTTCGAAGGATGCCCGGCCGCTTTATGCAACCGTGTGAGAAGAGCTTGGGCCTCCTCCCGCATCTTAGGTGTGACCTCGGTCTCCTCGAGCTCCTGCGTGATCGACTGGTTGCCCTCAATCTCCTGGGCTACGGCCAGCACCTCCTTTGGTTGATCTCCGTTGCGCCGTCGGTACCACTGGGACTTCCACAGGTGTGGGCAATCTTCTCCACCATCTCGGTCGGGTAACCGCCCATCCGCTGCTCTGCCGTGGTGCCGTTCGGCTCTCGCCTCGGTCTTCTCGGCCGCTCTCCCGGGCCCACGGGCTCGGGTGCATGATGAAGTCGTGCGTGGAACTCCGTGTCGTTGTGCAGCACCTTCCAGGAGCGCTCGGGGCTGGTCTCGTGCTCCTTCTGGGTTCCGGCCTTGTAGGTCAAGGTGCTGTAGAAATATTGGCGCCCTCGTTCCCCGCCGAACACCTGGCTGCCAAAGTACCTCATCTCCGGCATGTTCCAGGTCTCCTGGTCATTCTCCGGAATCTCCACGTAGATCTTAACCGTGCCGTGGCTGGCCTCCATAGCCGTGTGCGCCAGCCGGGTCATGGCCTCGATCTGTTTCCGGATCCGGGCTCGCTTCTTTCGCCGCCCGGCTCACTGTCTTCTCCAGGTGTCAGGCAGGAGGGCGAAAACCATGCCATATTTTCCAAGGGGGTGCTCGGTGCAGGTCCTGGGCCATCTCCTCCACGACGTCTTGGCGCATCAGGTCGCACCCCGTGGTCAGGTTCTTGCTGGTCACGTTCAATCCTCGGTGGGCACAGGCCTTCTCAAAATTGCCAGCAGTCCGGCATGCAACCTCCCACAAGTTGAGTGGCTGCAGGGCCCCCAAAATGGTGGCCAGATCGAATTCATCCGCCGCTTCCACCAGCGTCCAGCGGCCGTAGCGATTCCCGCCGCTCTCGGCTGAGTGGTGACCGAAGCATGGCCACTGGTCTTCCCGATGGCGAGGGTCTCGGAGATCGGGTCCCATGCGCAGCGTCTCGTCGAGCTCGGCGGCGGTGGTCTTCGATGCTTTGCCACATCCTCGCCCGGCGGTCTTGGTCTCGGCCGCGACGGTCTCCTTGATCGTGCTCTTGAGCTCCTCGGCGACCGTCTCCTTGATCACCTCCCGCACGGCGGCCCGGATCTCGTTCTTCAGGTCCTGGCTGCTGCCGGCCGCCATTCTCCACAAGGCGAATGCGAGAAGGAGGTGGGCTTCTGGTTGCACGGTGGCCCCTGCTATCTGTCATTTGCTGGGAACCAGAAGTCACGAACACATAGTCAGCCACGGTCGTTCCAAGGTGTCCGGCTCCCTGCTCGGCCGTCTCTACAGCACTAGCGGTCACTGCACAAACTTCCTGCTCAAACTCACATGTCCCACACGCGCTCCCTGGGTGCAACTCTAGCATGTAGTGGTAGTTATGCTTGGCATGGTCCACGGAAAACGTCACACGTTTCTTCGGGGCTGCGTGCTGTTTGGGAACCCACTTCCAGGCTGTCCGAAAACGGGGCCAACGCTGCTGATAGAAGCTGTGGTGCTTGTCTTGCGTTCGGCTGGTCTGCGGCATTGCTTGTCGTGGGGCCTTTGTGTCCTTAGCGCCTGCGGGGTCCATGGTTTTGAAGGTGCCCAAGACATGCTGGATAAGGTCGATCACCAGGTGGCCCTTTGGTGTGCTGCGGAACCTTGTTTGCTGCCCTCGCACCAAACTTCGACCCGTCTCGCATCCCAACACCACCTTCCAAGCCTTGAGCTCCCGCATGCCGACCAACACTGGCACCCCTTCACTCGGCAACGAAAACACTTCAAAGGACACACCAGGACAACTGATAACAACTTGGTACAATGCTCTGCCCCACTTCCCACTGCCGTACCGAAAATATGGACGCGAGGCTTCGGATCCATGTACGTCGACCTTGGCATCCGGCCGCGCTGCCACTATGGCCGCGCACAGCCGCTCCACAGCTGCACTTCCACCGGCCGTTGCCGTGGCACCGGTATCAATCAGGCCTTCGGCCGGGCCAAGCTCACTCTGATGGTGCTCGGCGTCCTTGGTCGTTGTGAAAAACTCGGCTGCAAGGCCTATGCTGCTGTCCATGTGGTACGCAGATCCCCAGGTTGGCGGTCGCGAGGCGGTCGGCCCCTTCGGCGGGCCCTTCTTGGAGCCGCCCTTGGCTGCTCCCTTCTTGCCGTGCACCCAATTCATCTCCTCGATCACTTTCATGTTCTTGCCCTTGCCCTTGAAGCTCGCCGCCTTCCCTTTCGCCCCCTTTGTCATGTAGGTCGACGTTGGCCGGGGTTGCTTTTGCTGAACGCCTCCTCCCCAGCCTCGGTCCTTGGCGGCCTGGGCCACTGCACGGCGGGCCTGCTCCAAATTGCGGTCTGTCTCAGAGAGCAGGGCTTGCAGCTCACGGCGCTGCTCTTCCACCTCGCGCTGGTCGTCCACCACCTACGCATACATCTCATCGGGCTCCCCGTCGCCAGCGCCTTGGTGATCCTGAGCTTCTTCCGGCCACTCGTCGCCATGTTCCTGACCGGCGCCCTCTTGGTAGTAGCTCCACTCGTCCTGCCACCAGGCGGCCGGGTCATACTGCTCGGCGCCCTCCGTGTAGTAGAGGTCGTCCGTCGGGTAGCCGCCGTCTGGGCCGCCATAGCCGGCCTGGTCGTATTCCTCCATCCAGTAGGCGGTCTTCCCGAAGGGCCTGGCCTGGCCCTTCCCTCGCTCTTCGAACATGGCCAAAAGTGTCTGCTTGATCTCGCTGCACCGCAAGCCATTGCGCGTGGCCGCCTTGATCACACGGCGCTCTTCTTCGCTGCTGGTCGCCATCTCCAGCACCATCCATCCACGGATCACGTCCAGCGCCGCCAAAGGCATCAAGCCTTTCTCCATCAAGCGCTGCAGCAGGTCCTTGCCGCGGGGCTTGGTCATGGCCGCCTCTACGGCCCGATTCTTCGCCGACTTGCCCTTTCCAGAGCCGGTCCTCGAAGAGCTCCTGGTCCGTGGCCTCGATCGCCGGCTGCTTCGGCCACTCGCCTCGTACTCATCGTCCTCTTCTTCATTGGCTTCCTCTTCTTGCTCTTCGGCGTCGGTGCCCTCAGGCGGGCCAAAGTACAGTGAGGCCTCGGGCTCCATTCCACAGAACTCCTTGAGTTCTTCCAGCGTTGTCTCGTACCCCTCAAAGGAAAGCTCGCGTTCACGAAGTAGACGCTGGAGGGCTCGAAGCATATCATCATGTACCTTGTCTTCCCTGACCAGGAACGAGGGTAAGGCTTCATGTGGCCTCCTTTGAAGCCTTCTGTAATATCCTCCGATCTTGTTCCCCGCGTCCGGCAAAGGCTGCCGGATCAAAGGACTCTCCTCCAGAGTCCTCTGGGTCCAACTTGTACATAAGCTGAACCAGCGTCCCGTGGTTCGATTGGAGGGCCTTGCGGATGATCTTTGCTGCTAGCAAGGCCCGGTCTTCCTTCTTCGTGCTGCTAAGCGTCCACTTCACCTCCGTCACGAAGTGGGAGAAACTCTCGGGCTTCCCGTCCCACACAGGGACGAAATTGCGATCATCACGCCATTCTTGTCCCCTCTGGGACACCGCATCCATTGGGCTCCTTCGCGATGGAGTCCCTGATCGACAAAGCTCCGCCTAACCAATTCAACTCAAAACCATTGCGCACACTCTAAAGTCCCGCTTTTTCTGGCTATGCAAGTGGGCCCACTTCGAGAGGTAATGGCCGTCACAAGTCGGATGCTTTAGCGAAGGCTGCGTAGTGCTTAAGTTGCAGCAAATACGTGCGACAGCTCTCTAAACCCAGGACTGTCGGAAACCGCCGGGCTTTTCACGATGACTCCTGTATGATCTCGCAGCTGTCTTCAAACTATGAAAAGGTTTCCGGGCCGTTGTGTAGGGCACCCCCGAGCATGAAAACAGTTTTCGGTCGTGGGAGGCTCCAAACAGAAAGCAAAGGTTTGCTTGGAGTAAAGTCAATAAGTCTCGTGAATCCTTGAAGCCTGGAGCATTCAGTCTTGTTCTGCGAGAAATATTCAGCGAGTTTTATGACACACCTTCATCTGAGCGCTGATTAGCCACTGATTAGCATACGCGGATCGGTGAAGAAAACCACGAGCACATTCAACATTCAGTGGCAATGATTCAGGAGCCGCTGGAATGAACACTTTGATCAACTTTGCGAGTTCCGGCAGCCCACGAGCGCCAGGAAAGGAAGGTCAAAGGAGGTTTTTGCATAGAAGAAGAAGTCTTTCCGCAATAGTTGTCCCAATTCTGTACTGTCTTCTGTTCAGGAGGGAGCTTGCGCGAACCTGCCGTGGCTTGTACCGTCGAATACAGTGCGCTACCTTCTTCTTTGGAGTGACTTGGAGTACCTGAGCAGCTTCCTTGCGACCAGAAAAACTCCGCGAATTGCCCAAGGCCTCGATGGTGGATACCCAGAGCTCCACCTGCTCCACCACGATGTTGGGTCCTGGAATGCCATCGCTGAAGGACTCTCTTGCTCCGACAGCGTAGAACCTGGGCCAAGTTCGGAGCTGTATAGGTCCTCCCCGAAAGCATCTGAGGATCCATCTGAGGGTAAGGCCAGAGGCTACTGTTTCCCAAGCTGGAGCCGTCCAGCAGCGCGCTTGATTCGCTGCGGCGGAGCCCAGCCCAACTGTAGAAAGTATACGGCACGGAAATAGCTTCCTCGGTGCGCAGCGCCTGTCTTCAAACCTAGCAGACTTCGGGAATCAGTTCGAGGGAAGAACGCCCCATTTGTACTAATCTGCCAAGCGTCGTAGCCAGTGACCGTGCCCAATGTGGCAGTCACGGGGTTGGAGGTCTGTTGCCAAATCTGATCATCCAAGTTGCTCGTCGGCCATCTTAGCCTTAGAACAGCCCAAGCCCACTCGTCATTGTCCCGAAAATCCACAAAAACACGAAGACATGTGAAGCTGGCGTTAAGCCCTTTAGGAATATGTTGGGCCGTCGCCCCCCTCGGTGCTCTGCCGGGAAACATGAAGTAGAAGCTGCCATTAACTCGGAAGGACTCGAGCTGATCCAGGATAGCAAAGTTCTCTGCGCTTGTGTCGTTTGTGTTCCTTAGCCGGCATGTGAAGCGCGACGACCACACACCAAAGCCGCTGCAGCTGCTGTAATGCCGGGACACTTGGACCACTCATCGGCTGCATACAAGTGTGGCATCGTCTGGCGAAACACCAGCTGCCATTGGTTCGTCGTGGTGGTCGTGGTCGTCGTCGTGGTCGTCGTTGATGCTATAGTCTCAGTCGAGGTCGGGCTCGAAGACGACGATATCGTTGTCTCGGATGTTGTGCTTGACGGCAGCACCTTGCAGGCTGCTGCGTATTCCGGAATCTTCGAAAGCCGACACTACTGTAACATGTACTGTGGCTTGCAACTCGAGAAACATCCAGGACGGGACCTACAAATACCCAAAGCATAAAATCCGGAGACGGTAACAGGCCAGCAACTGGCTGGGGCGCACTAAACACCATAAAATCACATGCACTCTTGCCGCTGGCACCGATACAGTCACCAGTCACTATGTATTACTTTGACGGAGGCCTCGATGGTGGATACCCAGAGCTCCACCTGATCCACCACGATGTTGGGTCCTGGAATGCCATCGCTGAAGGACTCTCTTGCTCCGACAGCGTAGAACCTGGGCCAAGTTCGGAGCTGGATAGGTCCTCCCCGAAAGCATCTGAGGATCCATCTGAGGGTAAGGCCAGAGGCTACTGTTTCCCAAGCTGGAGCCGTCCAGCAGCGCGCTTGATTCGCTGCGGCGGAGCCCAGCCCAACTGTAGAAAGTATACGGCACGGAAATAGCTTCCTCGGTGCGCAGCGCCTGTCTTCAAACCTAGCAGACTTCGGGAATCAGTTCGAGGGAAGAACGCCCCATTTGTACTAATCTGCCAAGCGTCGTAGCCAGTGACCGTGCCCAATGTGGCAGTCACGGGGTTGGAGGTCTGTTGCCAAATCTGATCATCCAAGTTGCTCGTCGGCCATCTTAGCCTTAGCACAGCCCAGGCCCACTCGTCATTGTCCCGAAAATCCACAAAAACACAAAGCCATGTGAAGCTGGCGTTAAGCCCTTTAGGAATATGTTGGGCCGTCGCCCCCCTCGGTGCTCTGCCGGGAGACATGAAGTAGAAGCTGCCATTAACTCGGAAGGACTCGAGCTGATCCAGGATAGCAAAGTTCTCTGCGCTTGTGTCGTTTGTGCTCCTTCGCCGGCATGTGAAGCGCGACGACCACGCACCAAAGCCGCTGAAGCTGCTGTAATGCCGGGACACTTGGACCACTCATCGGCTGCATACACGTGTGGCATCGTCTGGCGAAACACCAGCTGCCACTGGTTCGTCGTGGTGGTCGTGGTCGTCGTCGTGGTCGTCGTTGATGCTGTAGTCTCAGTCGAGGTCGGGCTCGATGACGACGATATCGTTGTCTCGGATGTTGTGCTCGACGGCAGCACCTTGCAGGCTGCTGCGTATTCCGGAATCTTCGAAAGCCAACACTACTGTAACATGTACTGTGGCTTGCAACTCGAGAAATATCCGGGACGGGACCTACAAATACCCAAAGCATAAAATCCGGAGACCGTAACAGGCCAGCAACTGGCTGGGGCGCACTAAACACCATAAAATCACATGCACTCTTGCCGCTGGCACCGATACAGTCACCAGTCACTATGTATTACTTTGACGGAGGCCTCGATGGTGGATACCCAGAGCTCCACCTGATCCACCACGATGTTGGGTCCTGGAATGCCATCGCTGAAGGACTCTCTTGCTCCGACAGCGTAGAACCTGGGCCAAGTTCGGAGCTGTATAGGTCCTCCCCGAAAGCATCTGAGGATCCATCTGAGGGTAAGGCCAGAGGCTACTGTTTCCCAAGCTGGAGCCGTCCAGCAGCGCGCTTGATTCGCTGCGGCGGAGCCCAGCCCAACTGTAGAAAGTATACGGCACGGAAATAGCTTCCTCGGTGCGCAGCGCCTGTCTTCAAACCTAGCAGACTTCGGGAATCAGTTCGAAGGAAGAACGCCCCATTTGTACTAATCTGCCAAGCGTCGTAGCCAGTGACCGTGCCCAATGTGGCAGTCACGGGGTTGGAGGTCTGTTGCCAAATCTGATCATCCAAGTTGCTCGTTGGCCATCTCAGCCTTAGCACAGCCCAGGCCCACTCGTCATTTTCCCGAAATTCCACAAAAACACGAAGACATGTGAAGCTGGCGTTAAGCCCTTTAGGAATATGTCGGGCCGTCGCCCCCTCGGTGCTCTGCCGGGAAACATGAAGTAGAAGCTGCCATTAACTCGGAAGGACTCGAGCTGATCCAGGATAGCGAAATTCTCTGCGCTCGTGTCGTTTGTGTTCCTTAGCCGGCATGTGAAGCGCGACGATCATGCACCAAAGCCGCTGCAGCTGCTGTAATGCTGGGACACTTGGACCACTCATCGGCTGCATATAAGTGTGGCATCGTCTGGCGAAACACCAGCTGCCATTGGTTCGTCGTGGTGGTCGTGGTCGTCGTCGTGGTCGTCGTTGATGCTGTAGTCTCAGTCGAGGTCGGGCTCGATGACGACGATATCGTTGTCTCGGATGTTGTGCTCGACGGCAGCACCTTGCAGGCTGCTGCGTATTCCGGAATCTTCGAAAGCCAACACTACTGCAACATGTACTGTGGCTTGCAACTCGAGAAATATACGGGACAGGACCTACAAATACCCAAAGCACAAAATCCGGAGATCACATGCACTCTTGCCGCTGGCACCGATACAGTCACAAGTCATTATGTATTACTTTGACGGAGGCCTCGATGGTGGATACCCAGAGCTCCACCTGATCCACCACGATGTTGGGTCCTGGAATGCCATCGCTGAAGGACTCGCTTGCTCCGACAGCGTAGAACCTGGGCCAAGTTCGGAGCTGTATAGGTCCTCCCCGAAAGCATCTGAGGATCCATCTGAGGGTAAGGCCAGAGGCTACTGTTTCCCAAGCTGGAGCCGTCCAGCAGCGCGCTTGATTCGCTGCGGCGGAGCCCAGCCCAACTGTAGAAAGTATACGGCACGGAAATAGCTTCCTCGGTGCGCAGCGCCTGTCTTCAAACCTAGCAGACTTCGGGAATCAGTTCGAGGGAAGAACGCCCCATTTGTACTAATCTGCCAAGCGTCGTAGCCAGTGACCGTGCCCAATGTGGCAGTCACGGGGTTGGAGGTCTGTTGCCAAATCTGATCATCCAAGTTGCTCGTTGGCCATCTCAGCCTTAGCACAGCCCAGGCCCACTCGTCATTGTCCCGAAATTCCACAAAATCACGAAGACATGTGAAGCTGGCGTTAAGCCCTTTAGGAATATGTCGGGCCGTCGCCCCCCTCGGTGCTCTGCCGGGAAACATGAAGTAGAAGCTGCCATTAACTCGGAAGGACTCGAGCTGATCCAGGATAGCGAAATTCTCTGCGCTCGTGTCGTTTGTGTTCCTTAGCCGGCATGTGAAGCGCGACGATCACGCACCAAAGCCGCTGCAGCTGCTGTTATGCCGGGACACTTGGACCACTCAGCAGCTGCATACAAGTGTGGCATCGTCTGGCGAAACACCAGCTGCCATTGTGGCCTCGTCGTGGTGGTCGCGGTGGTCGTGGTGGTCGTGGTCGTGGTTGTCGCGGCCGATACTGCAGTCGAAGTGGAAGTGGAGCTCTCCATCGATTTGGACGTTATGGTTGAGGTGGTTGATTGCACGGAGGTCGAGGTCGAGGAAGATGCCTTTCCATGGACCGCAGTCTGAGTGCAGAAGCTTCGTCTACTACCGAGCCCGACAGCATTGGCATCTGGTTGATTCAGCTCATGGTGCTGTCTGCTGCTTGCATCCATACCCATACCGGTATGCGTAGCGATCGTAGCAACGTCGATCTCGCCGGCGGGAGCGTCGCTTCCACCAATTTCCAAAGGGCCTGTGTGCTCGCTCTCTGCATGCCCACTGGTGGTTCTTTCATGTGAGTCCTGCCCGAGAGCTGCAGGCGTGGCGCTTTAGCCTGGCAACCAGCTCTCAGGTTAGTATATAACATGTAAGTACATCGTCATGGCAACGAGATTGCCCGAATTGCTTCTGCTCTGGCACCTGCATGACAGATGATGCGCGCAGCCTCACCTCAGGTAAGGAGTCTATCAAACGAACACACAGATGTTGGCATGGAGCGTCCGGGGACCCTGGCCTGTATCAGGTTCACATAGTCGGTGGGACTTGTGGCGGAATCCAGGCGACTGGCAAAGTCTAGAAGGCCAACGCCCATAGAATCCGAGCAGGGCTTTGGAAGGCTGAAAGACCCCTTCGCACCCCTGTGGCCTGCAGTTGCTTTGGTGAGATGCAGCATCTCCCGAAATGCTCACCTGGGCTTATAAGAGTCTGTGAGTGCACAGTGGTGCTACAGGCCGAGTTGCCCAAGCAAAGAGAACCAGCTCGAGGCCATGGAGAGAGACCATCACCGCTCCGCGGCCATGGCACGGCACATCGACGATCAGCAGGACTTCAGTCTACCTGCGTCTCTGGACTGAGCCGGCCATGAAATTAGCTCTGCCATAGGTTGCGCGAAAGTGAGTCGATCATAGTCATCGCACTGATTCGTTCAGAAGCCTACGAGGATTCCTCCCTTTGTTTAGCAAAAACCGAAAGCTACGAGCAGTGACCAGCTGTCGCAACGATTTTTCACTCTATAACTCTATAGCACATCTTGCTTCACCAACGTGTGCTGCGCTAGCACGCCGAGCTCACACAAGCAAGAGATCGTTCAGGGAGACACTGCAACCAGATGGCCACCCTCACAGAGAAAGAGCCATCTCTCCATGACCTCCAGTGCAGCGCGCCGCCCGATCCACTCGATGCACGGACTTGCCGAGGTCGGGAGCGAAACGGTCCTTCCTCTCACAACGGATCGACACCTTCAGAAGCTTGAAGCCCGGGACCCAGGCGCCCACCCAGACGCTCCAGGATGCCGCGGTGAGTTTACGATGTCTCCGAACTCGAGGACCCTTCGCTCTCTCTGTCTGAGTCGCTGTCGGAGGAGCTCTGCTTCTCACTCGAAGTTGAAGCCTTTTTCCTGATCTTCGCCTTCGCCTTGTTGGGAACGACGGAAGAGCTCCGTGCCCGGCGCTGCCTCTTTCCCGGCGCGCCGGCCGCGACCTTCTCGTGCTCCACGCTCGCATGACTCGCATGTCCCTGCACCCTTGCACTTCCGGAGCGGACGGCGGGTTCAGCTGTGGCCGGCCTCAGTAGATCAGCAAATGCACGCATACAGATCATGAAGTAGTCGTGCAGCTTTCGGAACGAACCGTCTGTGCTTGCATGTGGGCTTTCAGAAGCATGCTTTGGCATGCTTTATACGGGATTTCGGCGGTTCTAGTTACGTAGTAACTACGCTGTTCGAGTGTTGGAATGCACTCCCGCCCCTCATAACAGCACTGACTGCAAGTCAAGCAGCATTTCTTGGCTTTCCTGCCACCGCTGTGCGTCAAGTATTCAGCGGCGTGCTCTGTACTACTGGGTCGAAAGGATCCCTTCAATAAGAACTACCCAAACTTGTGAGGCAACAGGGCGGCTCCAAACGCTCATGCGCCTCTGCACCGGCCGCCTCTTTGATGAATTGCCTGGAACGTCGGAAGCTGCCGTCTGCAGCAATCTGAGGCTTCGCGAATGATGGTGCAAGAGGTGTCGTTGGCAGGCAAGGGCGACGACAGAGCCGAGCCCTTCTTGGATTCCTGGCCTTGAGGCACGCTTCTTGATGTCCAGGCGGTAGGTGCCATCCTTGAGCCGATACGGGCGTATCCGGACATCCGATGCGCCACGGCTCTGCCTCGTTGAGCGCAAGCACGGTGGCCGAGACCCAGCGCTGGACCTTGGCTCGCACGTGGGCCTGAAGCGGAGTCTCCATCTAAGAGATGTTTCTCTTGGGTAGCAGCGGTGGTGCTCCAGTACTGAACTGTTGAGCCGATTGACAGCACCTCCTCCCGAAGCTGCATCTGCCATGAGTGTACAGACTGATACTCTCAAAAGAGATCGAGAGGCTCCTCTGCGGGCTGTCTCACTTGGTTGGAAGGGTCCTGAGCCACAAAGTTCTACTGCCGAGCCGTCTTCGGCAAAATTGTAGGCGGCTGACATCCCCTCCAAACGGGTTGGCGGTCATCTCGCGTATCTGCCAAGTTTACTGGCAATGAAAACACACATTATCACAGCTTCGAGCATTCCTGCCATGGCCTTCCATCTCTGCATGCTTCCAGAGGGCAACTTGTGCACGATGGCACCGTCCTTCAGCAACACCGCCGTCACTCCCAAAACGACAGGCTGGCCGTGGCTCTCCGAGAGAGGGCCACGACATCCCAACGACGCAAAGTGGTGCTCGTGCAAATTGGCGCAGGCTTCATCGACGGCTCGGCCTCCAAAAGCATGCTTCCACCCACAGTCGCATCATCCCTGTCGAAGTAGGGCACGACACCACCTTCTCACGGTCGATGTCGCACAGTGGCACAGGAGCGCGACTACTCAGGAAGCAAGATGCTTGACAAGCCTGTGTCGAGCATCTGCTGAAGATATCCGCGTCGAAGGACCTGGCAACCGTTGGCGAGGCGCAGACGAACGTGTTTTGCACGGCGGACTCTGCTGCTGGAGCTCGGATCCATTCCGTCCGCATCTTGCTAGCTGTGCCGAGAACTACCCTGAACCCTGAAATGCGCTCGCGTGACCGAGATCTGCTGCCGCCCGCCTCGCCCACGGTTGCCTGGAAGGGCGGCTCAGCGTGAAAGTTTGCCTGCGACTTGTGCCCAAGGCGGGGTGATACGAAAGCTTTCATAGGTCATAGGAATGCCACACGTGCGCGTTTTGCATCTTGGTATGCCAGCAGAAAGACGACCTACAAGACGACCTGCTGACCAGAGCACATGCCTTACACAAAAGGCAGTGAGAACTGTTTGATGTGACATTAAAGCCATGCGAATGCTGGTAAGGCCGGCCCTGTATTCTGCCGGAGTTGGTTCAGGCTCAATGGCCATTGCATGTTGCTTGTCACGTCTTTCTGAGTGGTCCCACGGCTTCCCGAATTCATGTCTGATCCGGCATGGCAATGGCAGCATCTTCAGCAATGACATCGCCACACGACATGGCGTGGGAGGCGTGGGAGTGGAAGTGACACTTCATAGTTGCGGTCGGTGTACTGAGAAATTCGTCAATTTTCTCGAGCTTTCCGAAAGCAGCCGCAGCTGCAGTGATGTAGTGTGTCATCGTTGTCCCCGCTCGAAGCATCCACGAAATTCCACGCAGCACACACCAGTCCTTATGAATGTCTTGCACGATGTCGTACATAGAACAGGCTTCTCAACCAAAGCCATGACCTGCCGGCTGGAGCACCCCGGTGCTCATTGAAATCGAGAAACTTGAAATGAAAGTTGCGACAGGGCTGACAGGGATGGAAGGCGCTTCAGGTCCCAGGTCCTCCGCTTCCCCAAGAGCCTTCGGGCAGAGCCTGCGAAGAGTTGCCAAACTGCGGCAGCAGGTGGCAGCCTGGACAGGCAAGGTCAAAAGGGATCACAAGACATCCTTGAATGACCGTCAGAGAAGTTTTCATGTCTAAGGCCCCCTCGATGGAAGAAGCAGAGCCTCAAGGAATGCAAATTACATGGATGGCATGCACGTCTCAGCCTCTGCCTCCTGAGACCCACTCATCCGACCGCCGGGCCCGTTATGCGAGCGAACCGCTGTCCGACAAAAAGCCATACCTTTTCAGTTCTTGTGCTGTTGCGACTGCAAGCAGACGTCGGGCGCACGGCGCACTCCCCATTGTTCCAGCGTCGCTTCAGACTCCAGCCTGTTGAAAGCGGACAGAGATAAATCATCGTGGATGGGCTTCTGTAAAAGGGGCCTGCGGCCTGAGCCGGGCTAAGGCTGCAGCTCCAGAGCCACTCGCAAACCGTCGTCGGGGAGCTTTTCCCATCCTCCAACTCCACTGCTAGCTGCTAGCTGCTAGTAACTTCCGGTGAAAGGCTTCAGAAAAAGTGCGTTCTTGTCCGATGATCAAATCTGCGGCTGCTCTGGCGCCTTCGGTTGAATCGGCTTCGCCAACAGGCTCTCCGCGAAGACTGCGCGGGGGCTGAAGGTCGACGACCTGGCGATACTCCCAGAAAGCCAGCGATTTCGAATTTGAGCGCTGCCCATGAGTGCTGCCCAGGAGCCACCCTGAGCTGCAGCCCACCCGGACCGCCGCCAACCAAAACACCGCCGCGCGACGCCTCGCTCAGGAGGCGCGCTCCCTGCTTCTTGATTCAATACGTGCGCCCTGCAGTCGCCAGTCGCGCAGCTGAAGGATGCCAAAGGCTGAAGTTTCAGCCAAGCGCCTTCAAGGACACGGTGGCCCTGCAGCTGGCGGGCGACCGTGGAGCAGCGGGGCCCAGCTCCACGAAGAAGGACGAGACCTGCAGCCTCCCAGAAAATACCACCAACACTGCTCCTTGAACGGAGAGTCTCACCAAGGACATCGCCTCAGAGATCCAAGGCCCGCAGAGCCCCGCCACCAAGCTCCGGTCTGGTGCGCCGGCCTGAACTTTGCTACTACCGCCAGCAAAGGGCGGAGGGTTCTTTGTGCCTTCCAGCTGCCGAGCCATACAAGTCTTTTTTCTCAATCCACAAGTCGCTCTGCAAGGAGGCTGTTGGCCGCTGCATTGGTATCTCCCGCGGCAGCCTGCACCAGCTGCACCCGCTCCAAATAGGCCGTTCGTGGCGGGATGCGGCCGGCCTCCAAGGCGGCAGCCGAGGCATCTGCGGGGAATCCCATGGACGTCAGCAGCTTCAACTGCAAAGGCTGCGAGGCACTGCGCAGGAAACTCTCGGAGTCTGGCCCTGGCCTTGCCCTGAAGCTCATCAGGCGGAGGCGAAGGCGGAGGTGCTTCGATCGCTTCGGCTTCGGGTCCTTCTCGGTTGCAAGCGCGCGGCGCACGCAGTCCCCAGGAATTCTCCGCAGAGATTCGGGCAAGCCCCGCCTTTCCCTGCCTCTCGCTGGGCTTCCACCTGCATCCGGTCCGCCAAGGCACTCTCTCTCTACTTCAAGCACCGCGCGCTTGCGGACGAACTTTTTCCAGCCATCTTCCGTCGCAAGACGACGGCTGAGCGAGCAGACAGCGGCCGCCAGCCTCTGTCTTGCCACCAGTCCTGGCAGAAGAATCTGCATCAGAACATGCCAGCAGCTATCTGAGATTGCTTACGAACATGCTCCCATGCTGATACTCGAACTTTCGAGGCAGGAAATGGACCGAGACATGGGTGCGGGAAGGACAGACCAGTAAGAAAGGAATGAATCGGCCTCGCCGTAGTCGATCAACACCTCCTGACGATTCTCTGGAACACACACACACACGCGCACTCGCAGAAGGCTTCTTGCCATGTGTATCTGCGTCTCCTCATCGAAGACTATGTCACGGAGCGCGCGGAAGATGAGGCGCGGCTGGCCGACGTCCAGCTTCACCTCTACAGCTTGCCAGACGCCTTGTGGTCACTTCCCAGCCTGAAAGCCGCGGCACGTGATAGGAAGCATTGCATTCGCCCTCCACGCCGTGGTTGTAAGCCAAGCCTTGGATGCTCCCACACTCGAAACTCGATCAATCTCGAATCGAAGAGCCGCATTGCAGCGAAGCAACCGAAGCCCAAGGGCAGCAGCAGCCTTCCACGCTCGCCTGCAGTGCACGGTCCAAGGGGCGCCCGGTCCGTTTCTTCTCAACTGGCCCCTGTGAATTCTGGAAAAGTTTTGCAGTGTCCGCCTTTGTCTGCCGCAAACAAATAGTCCAGCAGTTCGATGTCGCCGATGGCTTGAGGCTGGAAAGCTGCCACAGATGGCTTCCTTAAACGAGTTAGGACGCAGGATCGGCATCACGAGAGCAGAGCATCTGGTTCTCCTGTTTCATGGTCGCTTGCGCATTACATCTTGTCTATGAAAATCTGCAACTGAACTGTCAAACGCAAGCAAGGCACGCGATCCACAGGCATGTGCACACTTCAAGGACCTCTTTGGCGGCAAAGTCTCGCGTGGCGAAGACGCCCGTGCCGTGCCTCAGCGCAAGATTCTGAAGCATAGCTCAGATGTTTATGCATGCGCACCTTGGAGGCTGGGGCCAAGGCTCTTGAGCCAGGGCACAGGCCGGAGTCTTTCAGCATCAGCCCTGGCATTGCCATCTGCTTCTGGCCTAGAAGCCAGCCAGTCTTTTTTCAGGTGCACTTCCAACCCTGCACGCAAGACCATGTCGCACAAGGCACCTTGGAATATGCAGCGGCCGCAAAGGGGCGAACACGGTACAGCGGGCAGCGAAGATCGCCAAGTCACCACCGATCGGGTCAGCATGAGCATTGGTCAACTGTCTGCTACGTCATGTTGCCGTTATTTGTTAAGTGGTGGTGTCTGGTGATGCTTGCCGGCTTCCTCCGCGAGGCTTGGCACCTAGGTTGGCTTGCCAAAGCACGACAAAGACTCTCCTTGAGCGCGCAAGCCGCAAGCTACCTTTGCACTTCGCTGCTTCTATGCTGCAACGCTTGGCCAAAACACCCAACTGGTCGAATCCAACTTCAGGTTTAGGCAAAGCTGAGGGCCAAGGCCCTTGCAGCATCTCCACTGCGATATACTACTGTTTTACTGTACGACTGCGATTTACGAATGAAACATCTCCCACTCTGCGGGTGCAAAAACTCCGCGGATCCTCCCGGCATTCTAGTGCAAGTCTTCAGCGACTTCTGCCACGCCCTATATAGGGTTTCCCGCTGCCAACTTCGGTTGAAGCACCGTACGCGCTGAATCAGACACGAAGATGTCCCTGCCTGGCTGCAGCCGTAGTAGTGGCGCTCTTCCTCGAGGTCAGCATCCGCTTTCACGACGCGGATCCGGGCAAAGCCCTGAGAGTTGTCTTTCAAGTGCTTCCGAAGGTCTGATGTGACACATAGGGTACAGTACCGCCTTCGCTTCATCACCAGAGACCTCAGGCTGACTTCTTCCACAAGCACAAGCGCACCGGAGCAACGAGCGGAGCTCTTGGTCGAAGGCTGGCTGCAGCGTCTTGTTGAGCTTTGACACCACCAGTCTCACGCTGCCACCCCTGTCAGGCCGGCTTTGAACACATCCGGACATCCGCGCTGGGCGTCGAAGGACCCACATCCGTCGCCTGAGGCCGCCCTCATGCTGCTCTCGGGCTTGGGCTCGCCGGCAGCATTCCTCATAGAAACTTATGCAGCACGGATGCAAGGTAGCAAACTGCAGATGGCCTCCCGACAATTTTCTTTCACATGAACATGCCCGTGCCGACACAGATCTTCATCCCGCTCCTCCAACGGCACATCGAAGACGAGGGCATGGCACACAGCGCCCTGCAAACAAGACCCGCTGTCTTCGGGGACGGAATGGGCAACGCGGCCTGGGCAGCTGCCAGTGACACCCATGGAGCCCTCTGCTCCTAGGCAGGTTCTGCTCACTACTTGATCTACTTGTGCCACCAAACCATCCTCCACCCCGTGCAGGGCCTGTTCTCGATGCCATAGAAGTATGCAAGTCAAGATTCTGCGTTGATGTTGGTGCGATCGATGATCACCGAGGTCCCCTGTCACGAATATGAACATGTGCCAGAGACACGTTGACAATGTGCCTCGCTTGTTCTTGCAAAACGCGGATGCCCAAAGCAAGAACCACATCTTCAAGCAGTGGGAAACTTGGTCTGGTCGATCTGGACGACGCTCCCAACAGACGTGCGCGAACCAGCTATACAAATTACAATTTTGAAGCATTAAGGGCTCATGTTGAATGGCCGGAAGCAAACCGGTGCTCGTCAACATGGACACAACTCGGCTTGTTTCGACCTTTCGCGATGTGGGGCATGAAACAGCACCGCACTGCTATGCCGTGAGCTTGTTACGTCATCTTTGTTTGATCGTGTTCGATGGATTCCTCGACGTGCAAGTCAAGTGAGCACGCACGGCTGTAGGGACTTTGAAAGGAAATCGAAAGCTTTCGCCACAGTCTTTGGAATCGTCGCAGTTTCCGGGACACCGATCTCGATGCAGTCCGCAATTCGCTATGGTGCATTGGCGACGTCCCATCGTTTCCGCAGTCATCGCTTCGCAGAACAGAGACAAGAAAGTTGTTCGAGCGATCCACCTGGCTCAAGCAGGTCGATGCCGCACGGACACAGGCTTCTTTACCTGAGCCAGCGTCGCGTTCCTTCTGGGCCCATGGCAGCTATGACATGCTATGACTGTGGGGTTGGCATTCCGCCTGAGGCTCGGACTGCGAAGCAAATCCTGACACACGCCTCGGCTGGCTGAAGGCCGCTCGTCCTACTGTGCTACGTTGTTTTGGTAGCAATAAGCGTCCCACGCCTCCAGGGCATCCCCAGCCTGTCCTCGGAGCCTTACAAGGGCGAGCCAAAAGCGCGAGGACTGCCGTGAGACAGCAGACGGCCCCACTACACACGCTGAAGCTGGCCTGCTGGTGGGCCAAGACGTTCGGCGAAGGTCGACTTGCCACAGCCAGGCAAACCCACCAGAATCAGCACAACCGGCGGATCTGGCCGAGAGCCTGCCAAAAAAGGCCATTAAGTCGAGACTGCAACTTACAAGTTCCTCGATTCGGATCGAGCCGTTTGCTGTGGAAACAATGGGCCAAGGTTGACGATCTCAAGTGCGGGCCAGGTCGTCGACAGCAAAACTGGAGGCACGAGGTCACGCTAGAATTATTGCCTCTTTGCCTGCGATGCCAATCGGCTTCTCCGGCGATTTCGCTAAGGAGTCGCCCAGACCACTAAGGCGGGCGACCTTCACATGGAGCTCGCAGGCTGTGCAACTCAGGAAGCCGCAAGCCGCATGTCCATGAAGTGATGGGTTGCAGACGCCTTCTTGGGCGGGCCCTGCACAGTGCCTGGTGCTTTGACCACTTCAGCTGCAGTTCAGCTGCAGCAGAATGAACACACCGCCACGAGAGTTTGAGCAAACTGCCTGCTTCACTCGAACCTCCGCCAGCAGGCCCAAAGTAGTCGCGAGTGTGCGTAAACCTGGCAGGGTCTAGGACCCGGAAGTAGGTTAAAAAGTGGGAAGTCTGTGGATGCTTCCGCAGCCTGACACCCACTGCTTTGGCAAACTCTGCATCGTCTGCAGAATGCTCACCTGCTCCACCTGAACAGAACGACAACTCACACAGTAGTTGCCTATCCACAGAATGCGGACAGGTTGAGTAAAGACCAGCCACAACGCAAACTCTCAACATGCTGCGCGCCTGCAGCATCTCCGATGTAAAAACTTTCTGCCAGGTCTATAGCCACGCCATTGACCTCCGTCGCACCCGAGGTTCGGGATGTCTCCACAATACAAGAGACGTTCAAGAAGCTATGAGGCGAGCCTTCGCAAGGTGCTCCCACATACCAGTGTTTGGCTTGCGGTACTTGTCCCGCTGTGTTGATGCAAGAACCTTCCAAGGGGAGCCACGAACCGGCTGTGTCAGAGCCGCACATCGAGGGCCCCCGCAAGTAAGGGCACTTCTAGCTTCTTCGCGAAGTCGTCCTCGGTACACACCGTGTGTGATGAAGCAAATGCAAATTTAAATGCCTCAAGTTGTGCACAGGCGTTGCCAAGCCGAGCACAAACTCGGGAAGAAAAGCGCCGGCTACAGACTTGCGTTTCCCAATGCTGGCGGGGCCATGAAGCGTGGCCGAGCGGGGCCAATGCTGGCTGCTTCTCAAGTTGTGCCAGGGTTCGACGTAGCCCTTGAAGGCTTCGGCTCTCTTCCCATCCAGAGCACTCCTCTGCCAGTCCCAGCCACTCTGAGGAAGTCTGCGGTTCGCACTCCACCGATGCAGTTTTGCAGTCTCAGTCTCCTGATGTTGCCCTGGTTGGTGAAAATCACCAGCCTCTGCGAGCCGCACGGCCGCACACTCTGCAGCAGCTTTGCAAACATCCTTCCCTGGCCTGTAGCCCTGGTCGTGCAACTCTGCGATTCTTCTCGGGACCCTGCACCCCAGCAAGGGACACGAGCAAACACAGAACAATAGCTAACAAAACCGGCAATGCGTTGGGCTTGTGCATGACAAGCTGCGCTTCGCTGTAGAAGATCCAATCGGACACCGTGACCTGGTATCCTGGCAATCGCAGCGATCTTTCGGAAGCACCCACTATGCAGCACTCACGCTGTCCTGGTGCTCCTATCTTGCTGGAGACGAGAGTGTCGTTGAGGTCGAAGCCGGCAACCTCTCTGTGCGAAGTTCGCCCGAACTACGTGAAACACCGGGCAAGAGGATGCCACACCTTCGCACTGGGCTTCGAAGCAGGATCCTGGCGAGCGCGTTTGGTTCAGCGAAGATGGCGTTTGATTCCATGACAGGTGTCTTGTTCTTGCGCAAGTTTACTTTCGCTGCGGATGCCGAGATGTCAGTCACCCAGTTGCAATCTGTTTCGCGCCTCGCGAACGAGCAGCGACGGCGCGGCCTTGCACCATGCCGGCCGCTTGGCCAAGCCGCAGAGCCGATCCATTAGCTCCGTGTGAGCAGGCTGTTTTTGGGGGATCTGAGTGAGTGAGCTTGAAAGCGGCTTTCCTTGAAGCTGGTCCAAGTCAATGCATAATCAACTGCCATTCTTGGTCGCATCCGCAGGCTGCTGAAGCTATGTAGGATACAAAGCCAAAACATTCACCAGCCTGCAACCGGACCTGAAAGTAGGAGTGACATGACATGCGTTCATGCAAATTTGGCCATTTGCTACTGGCAAGCGAGGCGCTGCCGAGAACAGAAAGCTATACGGCAAGGGTAGGCCAGTCTGCTACAGCATCTGCACATTGAAAACAATTAACGGATTCTGGGTCATCGACGCTCGCACTGGTTTACCTGTGATCTTGAAGAGATCGGTTCCTGAGCGACTGGCATAGTAACTAGCACTGCAACAGTTCCTTGATGCATCTCACCTCGAAAATCAACGCCAGCAGTCGTGTGCACCACACGGAGAGCATGTGAGAGCATACAGACTCATCATTTATCTGTGCTCTGCCGTGCTCCTGGTCGGTCATACTATACTCGTCCCCCAGAGCCAGTGGGAGTTTGGGTTGGGCCGCATGTTCCCACACTGACTCCGGGAGCTCCCTAGAGCTGTGTGTGGAGCAGTACGGGATGTGTATGAATGGATACTGCGACGCTGGCGACACGTGAACCCAGAAGCGGTACAATGGATCCCGCGAAAGGACGATCGGACGAGGCGATGGTCTCTCACATGCTTTGAAGGAGAAGGAGACGACTAAGAAAAAGCATGGCAACCTGCGTACCTTCTTGCAAACAGCAAAGCGCACGAGGTAAAGAAGAAGACCGCGCTTGGCGATGCCGGTTGGTAAGACTTGATCAGAGAGTCAGAGAGCAGTCAGTGGATAGCAATCAAACGAGCTGCACTAAAGCTGCATACAGTCTTTGAAGCTGGCGTTCAACTCCTGGGAGAATTGACGGGAAACAGCTCTCTCTTCTTTATGATCTCTCTGCCTTGCTTGCTTGCTTGCTTACTTGCGCTTGGTTGCTTGCTTGGTTGCTTGCTTGCTTTCTTCGGCTCTCTTTCGATCTGCCTCTCCGAGCTCCGTCGGCTGTTGTACTTGGACTACGGCCGGCCAAGCAGACTCCGCAGCCGGCACCTCAACAGAATGCGATCCGATAGCTTCTTGCAGAAGGGGACATGACATACTCGTGAATCCTGCAGACGTTTCAAGTTACAACCCTGCTGTCTCTCGCTCGGTGGCAAGCTAATCAAAGCTTCCGTTGCAGGGATGAGTTGCGTCCGAGGGCAGAGGAAGCATACATCTGCGGACCTGGACAAAACGTCCGCACCAAATGCTAAAGAAAGTGCTTGCAGCAAGCCTGCATTCAATCGATGCGGGAACGTTCATGACGTCTCGAATCCGAAGAGCTGCACGCTGTGCTGTAGCTTTTTCTTCACGCAGCCGCATCTCCAGTGGTCAGCAACTTTGCGCATTTGTGGAACCACACGAGGGGGCGCTATGGATCGTAGCCTCACTTCTACCATGGACGCAGTCAGGATGACACTGTTTGTCACGAGCGCCATGAGCAGAGCTTGGAAAAAGCTTCAAAAGAGTGACCAGCCTTCGACAGGCTCTAGAACTCCGAGAGTATACAGGAGAAAAAAGAGATTTTTAGACAATCGTTATTGGAAGTGCGCCATTGCGCAAGCACCGTCCTGTACAAGTGTGCGCTTTACTCCGCATGACCCCAGTGCCGAGTGCCGTGATGCATGAGCAAGGCACGATGTGCCAGCTGCGCCGATGGCCGCAAGCCTTGCATGCTCCAGGCTCCAGATGTCAAGCTGGGGATCCGGCCGCCGGACTTCAGGAGGCCTCTCTTCACAGCTCATGCTTGGGCACCGTGGGCGACGAGGAGCTGAAGGCTGGCCTCGCTGAATGCAAAGAGACAGAGCTCCTCTCAGACACCGCCGCCGGCCTCCTGCTTGTTCAGCTGCGCCACGGCCAGGGGCGTCTGGCCCTGTGCATTCCGCTGGTTCACGTTGATGCCCACCTGCCGAACAAAAAACAAGATGAGACGTGTGAGGACCTGGACGTCGCGTCGGGGCCTTAAGGAGATATTCCAGGAGCTCCTTGCGGCCGTAGCCAGCGGCGTAGTGAAGCCCGCTGTTGCCTTGGAGCCGCGCGGTCCGCGATCCGAAAGGGTCGTGGAGCACCGGGGGCTCACCGGAGCAAACTTTAAGCAGCGAACCATTGCTGTCGACCGCAAAGGGATTCGCCCTGCTGTCCAGGAGCAGCTTCACCTTCGAACATGGGATGAGGACATTGACGCCCACCATACTTTATTCCGTGAAGTGCGGTGTTAGCTTTGCCATCTTATATGCATCAGAGCTGCCACGGCGATGCGGTTTGAGCCGATAGCATAGCCCAACGCCGTGATGCCTTTGTGGTCCTGAGAGTCATCGGACCATCCTTAAGAGATTCCTAGTGGTGGCAACTTGCGGCTCTGAGAGCGGCCTGGGAGTCCAAGGGCTTCTTCTTCTGCAGAAACTCCTCTGACTTTCCACATTTGGGGAAAGCCGCGCGCTCGCGGGTGCAAGCACGGCGCAGCTGATGTACAAAGCAAACTGCGTGGGCCTAAGAAGAAGGGCCTCAAACTATCGTCTCAAGAAAAAACTAGCTCCTGCACAGCTTTGAGGTCACCGTTCTTGGCTGCCTGTGTAAGGGGGACCGGGCGATGCTGTGCGAGCAGACGGTCAACGCTCGCCTCATGGAGCGTGAGAGGGGTCTCCTGGGCAGCAGAGTGCGAAGGCGAGAGGGAGAAAGAGAGAGAGAGAGAGAGAACAAAAAACACCTAGAGGGAGCGCAGGGGAACGGATGTATGTTCTGGAAGCTTGATACAGGGATGTAGCTCTGCCTAGCCGTTCCATGCCGTTCCGGCGGTTGGTGTGTACCTCAGTATGTTGGTCAATGTTGGTTCTCTTCCGACTTCCGTTCCCGGCACCAGGGGGCCGGAGCAACATGCGAGGGGCAGGGGGAAAGTGCGGACGCTCGCGTCCCGGAAAAACGTGCTTTTTATTGCTGGTTACTATCTATTGATTATTAATCAATAATGAGTATGTAAGTGGCATGTGCTCACGAACGTTTGCATACGCAAGCAGTAGGTATGCGCGTAAGTACATCGCAAGGGGTCCTACGTTTGCACCCGTCCCGAAACCGGTGGCACATACCTTCGTGCGTGGGCTACCATGGCGGTCACAGAGGTACATACCCCCTCGCCCGGGGTGCATTTTTCGAGAGGGTGGGGAGGTGCACGTGCGTGCCTTGCAAATCCGTGGCATCATCATTTTCTCCTCATCGTTCTGACCATCACCGCCACCACCACCCAAGTACCGCACATACACAGGACGTGATGAGCATAGGAGGGGCGTTGGCATGAGCGGTGTAGGTTTTAGAGCGACTGCGGCTGACCGATCCATCTCAACTGCAAATTCGAAAGCCACGTGCTGTGAACAGCTTGTTGGAACTCTTTGTCAAAACACCCAATCGCAACAATCTTGCACACCCACCGATCGACAACCAGAGCCGAGCGACGACGTTTTTAAAATTGAGATAGGATATATGTATATGCACATGTACATGTACATGTACATGTACATGTACATGTACATGTACATGTATATGCATATGCATATGCATATGCATATGCATATGCATATGTATATGTATATGTAGATGTAGATGTAGATGTAGATGTATATGTAGATGTAGATGTAGATGTAGATGTAGATGTAGATGTAGATGTAGATGTATATGTATATGTATATGTATATGTATGTGTATGTGTATATATACATATATATATATATATATATATCCGCCGACCCCCCTATGGGAGGCGCCAGTGCAATCCCGAAAGGGGTTTTTGTTTTGTCCAAAGTTCTGCTTTTGCTTTTCCCCGCTGCTTGCTCGAACTGCCGTTGCCCGTTGCTGGTAGCCCGCGCCTTCACTGTCAGTACCGTGCGCACCGCACCCTGGGCGCCTGCCTTCACCACCTTATGCTTGGCTCGCCCACACCGCCCTCACTGTCCTTTCTCCCCCCACCCTCCTCCCCAACCCTCCACCCTCCCCACCCCTCCACCCCGCAACGAAACATCATCAGAGGCAAGGGCAAAAAGTTCGCGAGCCCTGACAGCGTCTGCTGCACAGTTCTTGCCACATGATCCTGATATGACACTCTGAGACCCAAATGCTATATGTTGGCTATATGCTGCATATGCTAACTTCATACAACCGTACCCCGTGCCGCTTTTCGAACATATTCAGACTATTTGACCATATCATATCATAATACCATCTTCTAATATTTATAAGAGATATAATTTATAATATAACATATAATATATAAAGCTTATGAAACTATAATTTCTGTAATATAATATGATTTAGTATACCTGAATAAAGATTACAATCGTCAGAACCATTCAAAACAGCGGAAAACCCAGAACTCAAGCGCATGCCGGCACAGGCGACACTTAGGGGGTCGGGCTTTCAGGGTTTGGGACTGGGACCTATCGAAGATGAGTGAACATGCAAAGGCGAGGAGTTTAGGTTCGGGTTGGGTTTCCGCTGTAGGGTTGCTGTTCGGGAACCTGAATTGGCAGCTGCATGACTCGAGCTCCAGCATCTACTGCAGGGACTATAGACAAAAGTCTATAACTAGTCATAGATAGAGTCCTTATCAGAAAGTTAGAAAAAGGCTAGGAAATTAGGGCATAGGCTGGTAGTGGCACAGGGGGCAGCGGCATAGGCATAGGGCATAGGCACAGGTGGCATGCGACATAAGCAACTCCTAAAGTAAGTGTTGATATAAGTAAGAAACAGTAACAAGATATATGCTGTAGATGCTTTTTGTATTTACGACTAGAGGGTTAAATTATACAGTAATTATACACCTACCCTGGCCCTGGCCTAAATCAGCCTAAATCGTTGGAGCGCAAGCATCCGCTACAGGCTAGAGGCT